TATCGTTTTACTGTAAAAATAAAATGTAATAAATAGTTTTAAAGTTAAAAAACATGTTAATTAAAATAATTAACGATAAGTGACCTTGAAACGAACAGTTTGTAGCTTAAATTATTAACGCCTGCAAAAATATCATTAAGTAGTCAGCCCTCTAACAATGGAAAAGAAATGAACAAGGTGCGGATTATTGATCTAACAGCTAGGCCCCACGCAGTGTACTCAAATCATTATAGATAGCTATACTCTATACTGTATAGCCATGTCTGCCCTCACCCCACCTGTACGCGACTAATTATATTTCAGAGTACCTGACTGAGCCAAAACCGTCCCCGTTCTTATTAAATTAGCTCATCTAATAAATGTTAGAGAATATAATTAATTATTTCAGTCTGAAACATTATTATGACTCAAATTATAGGCTACCTACATATAATTAGTGTGTGCTTATGTTATTTTGGGATACGTTATCTAATAGTGAAAGACTTTCAAAATCGGTTCAATAGTTTCTGAGTGTTTCAATAATTTAATAATGAACAAACAAACAAACCTTTTTTTGTTTAATATTTGTTTTTGTATAGATATACCTAGACGAGATAACTAGAGCATGAGATCGATTTTGTTATATTAAACTGGCCCATCTAAAAATGTATTATAGATTGTATTTCTTTTTACTTATATATTACTAGCAGAACCCGCGGTTCGTTTGCGCTAAAACTACAAAAAAATCTCTAAAAAGGTACTTTCATACAAACTTTCATCCCCTATTTTGCCCCTTATAGGATGAATTTCAAAAAATGCTAAAACACGTATTTATTTATTTTTATTGAAAGGTTTAAGTAATTCTGATCATAAATCTTTTTTAGATTGTCTTATAACGTGGTTTTCCCATGGGAATTAGATAAATTCCCGCGGTAAAAAGTGGCCTATGTCACTCTTCAGCTCTCCAACTATTTCCATACAAAAAACCACGCTAATCTGTCACTCCGCTTCGACATAAAGGAAGGACAAACAAACAAATAAACAGATTTTCACATAATATTAGGTATGGATTGTTTATTATTTCTAAGTCAAGTTACTCAACGAGATATATATGTATTTACGAAACAATAATCTAAATCATATTTATAAAATTTTATGCTGATTAAGGGCGCACCGAGGCAATTGCGAAATAATTGCGTTCGTTTGATCCCTTGCTGTATTGTTATTACTAAAACTTTAATTATGCAATTAATATGTAGGATATTTAAGGATTTATTCTATAAATCGTACACTTTAGAAACACGATTTCTTGTGTGTCCTCGATAGAAAAAAAAACCAAAATGATATCTAAAAAACAAAATAAACCGTTAGTGCGGCGTAAATTATAATTCAAGGAAATTCATCAGTTTTTTAATAATAACAAAACTATACGTTTTCTATGTCGTAGGTATACACTTTGCATTTTCAAAATGTATATTTGTTTTAATAATGCGAAGGAAATACCTAAATTTGCACGCGTTTCGTCCAACCTAGACCCCCCCCCTCCCCCCTCCCCACCCTGCCCGCTGTCGTGCCCTCTAAATTGTATAAAATATTCCAAAAACCGAATTTTAAAATATTCCAGGAAAAAATTTAAAGCGTAATATGATTAACTAGCGACTCACCGTCGCTTCCCTCGGGTTCATCCGTAGCTTGCTTCCCAATTCAAACTTTCATCCCCATTTTCAACCCCTTAAGGGATGATTTCCGGGATGAAAACTCTCAAACTATTAAATAAAACTATAAAAAGGTCTCAAACTATCTTCTTACCAAATTTCATCTAAATCGGTTCAGTAGATTCAGAGATTACCCTCTACAACAACACACTCACAATTTTTACCTCTTTAGAATATTAGTATAGATTACACTACCTCAATAACTATGGCGGTCTGTAACATTATAAAGAACTAAGAGTATGCTCAGAAATGAGACTTAAAAAAAAACGTTTCAAAATCAAATCAGCTCAGCTGTTTCTGAGGATTATGGTAATAGACACAAACACACACAAACACCTCTTACCCCAAACGCATGTACCGACTCCGTGGCCGTCGCGGGTAAAAAAGAAAATTACAAAATCGGAGGGCGTTGCGGTCGAGCTATTAATGAATTTTATATTTAAAAATGAGCAAAACAACGTCTAACGATCCACCCAGTATTTTATATAATTAATGTTATTTCAAGCTGAGACAAATGTTAAATCAAAACAAAATATTTTCTAACAAAACGAAATTCTGTCTATCTTATGAACATTCTCTTTCATTACATATTAATATTATATTACATACGTAGTACGTACGTAGTATTTATTCACTTATCATTATTTTGACATAATTTCTGGTATTACACTTCGAAAGTGTGTAGAAGTGAAATTGTTTACCTCAGATAAAGTCGTCGCTTTTGCAAATATTAGTGGAATTGTTTACTTTGTCGATAGACATTGTACAACCGGTTAAAACGTTTCAAAACATACGAGGATTTCTTATAAAGCATTTCATGTAACCTATTATATAATCCACTCTCTTTAAAACTATTAAGTTATATGCTATGTGTATATTTGAACCACCGTTAAAATTACCGATAGATAACTTATTTGTTTAGGTTTAAATAGTTAAATTTACAGTGAGACTGTTCTCTCTAAACTCCATTTTTGCCAAATATGATGATACTGTTAATGTACGTTAAATATTGCTTAATAATGCCTTTTTTTTAATGATTTCTTTTAACTAAGTGTGAGAAACATGAATTAAGGTGTATTATGCCACTAAGACATATATATATACTCTTTTGCATCTCAACAGTATAATATTTCAATTCCAAAATAGTAACAGTTATTTATAAATTCCACGTAGTCTGATATTGAGGAAAAACTAACAACAAGGCCTTATCAACCATAAAACTTGACACAATGCCATCTTTGTGCAAATATTTCAAAACAGGTAAGCCCTGTCACAAATAATATCCCATTCCATTGTATTGTATGCAACACGATCTTAAAATAAAAAGACTAAATATTTAGGCTTCTCGTTTTAGCAAGAATTTTAATGAAGTTCGAAAAGAAGACCAATCTCGAGTGACATACTATAAAATCAAACGGGTTCATGCTACATATTGAGTCACAAAACTCAAAATATCTTCACAAACTGTCTTATTTACCATATTAATAGAATTCCCCTGGTAATGTTCCGTGACTTCAGGAAATTCGTGACCTGAAAACGCGACGATGCACACTTCACCCTCTTTTATGTCTGACCTCATCAATAAGGGCTTGACGACAACTTCGCAGTCAATATATGTCTTTTACAGTTCATAAACACTTTTAAACTGTCGTTGCCATGACTACAAACTTTAGGCCCCAATCCTCAAATAACTAGTAGGTAAATATAATTATTATATGATTCTCGCTTCGCTCGTGTTCGTCCCTAAGTTGATTCCCCATACAAACTTTCATCCTTATTTTCACCTCCTAAACCCCTAAACGACCGCGGGCACACCGGTGCTACAGTTAATAATTAATTTCTTAGAAATTTAATTAATTTCTTAGAAAATTACCTGGACAAGTTAAGGTATGATTTCCAGGATAAAAAGTATCCTATGACCTTCCTAGGGTCTCAAACTACCTTCTTACCAAATTTTATCTAAATCGGTTCAGTAGATCCAGAGATTACCCCTTACAACCTCACAAACTTTACCTCTTTATAATATTAGTATAGATAACGCAGTTGCTTTCGTATAAATTAATATTAACCCCCAAGTGTAAGTAAAGATATGATTATTGTTATTTACCTATTAATGACTTTTTTGTTTCTCTTAGTATAGGAAAACTTTTTGATCACTCAAAATATAAATTTTCTAAAATATTTTCCTGTTCAGGTAAAAAAAAATTGTATCGATGTGTTACGATACCCTACAATTTAGGCTGTGGTTCTAACATTCAGTTATTTAGTTGTTATTGCACTTAAAATAATATAAAACTTCTCTTATTGATATAATGATAAAATATAGAGTAAACTGATATTCTCCATATCTAATATTGTTTCCCCCTAAACCTAGCGCCTAGCTATTATATGAATGTCGGTTTAATATATGACTCTTATACGAGAACTGAATCCGTGACATCTAACACAGTCGCCAATGACAGATATAGTGCATAGTACCACAAAACTAGGACGGCTTACGAATTTATATCCTTAAAAAAGTTTTGTGTACTATTATGATACAAACAAAATGAATTATTTTCCTTCCAACACAATATTACTTAATAATTCAACATTTCTGAACTAGACTAACTAATCAGATAGGTTTGTAGGTGTAGTTAGTTGGCGATGTTCAAGCGACCTAAAACAGGCGTAAATGTCGTTAGACACGCGAACCACTCGCCTGGGACTGACAACATTATATTGATTAAAACAAAATTGATTCCTTTCCAGTCACGATAGTTCCGCTCTAACTAGTTTATATTTAAAAAACAATAATAATTGCTCCAGTTTGCAAAACGTAACGGAATAACATATGTAGTGATGAGACGTCTTTAAAAAACTCATTAATCGTTGACAGGAAGTTTGATGTACGAGTATATATGAATTTGTATAACTATCCAAATACTTTGGATGTTTTACAGAACTTATAAATATATATCTTTACGATTTTTTAAAATTTTAAAGCGTTTGTCTTCCCAATATAAGCAATTTTGCACTAGAATCGACACTGCGTCTTAAGACGATATTAGAAACGGCAATCCGATGACTACCATTTTTGTTTCTACATTGCTTTTACCAATTTCCAATCAAGGAAATCAAAAATAAAATAAATTAATTACTTACCTTTTTAATTATTTTAACTTTAAATAGATTTTAAAGGTTGTCGCATGAAAAATTCAAGTTAAAATTCTATCCCAACGGTGATATAATTATTTTCAAAATGTTTTTATATTTATTTAGTTAAAAGTTAAAAATTATGTAAAATATTATTATCTTACATTCCAGATGGATGGCCCCAGTGAGTCTTGCCATTCACGCGCCCGGAGCGGACATGCTTCCGACGGTGAACAGCATCAGATACCTGCGAGATTGCCTCGGCAACGAACTCATCAAACAGTTTGTCACCTTCCACGTGTTCTTTTCTAATAAACATATACCTAGCAAGGTAAGTCCTGATGTCATAATATATAAAAATGAAATAGTGTTTGTTGGCCAACTCATCACTTGAGAACAGCTAGAATGGATGTAGCATCTTTTTAAGTTATACTGCTGAAAAAATTATGAGAGTAATATTTTTACGATGCGCGCGCACACCGACAGCCAAAAAAGCGACATAATGAAGTTAGCTGAAAGCGACATGATGAAGTTAGTTGCATTTCTTTTACAAACAGAGAGTTGTGACATACGGTATGAAATCTTTAGCTATTTTTGTTCTGTTACGCCAAAGAAGTATAGCTTCTTACGTGCGTGCCTGCCTCGTTTTGTCAGAAAATATAAAATCTGGATCTGGATACACCATCTACCAGGTCCAACTATAGCTAAGAATCATTCAGGTGATTCCCTAAGTAAACAATAATTTCATCAAAATCAGTTAAGCCGTTTTGTAACGCACATTGGGATATTTTATATAAAGATCAAAGTCAACGTATTATAAAGATAATAGTAACGTATGTATTCTGTTGTAGTATATAGAATTATACTTACTATAAGTTTTTCGTCTAACGTATTCGGGAAGCTCGCCAAATATTAAGATTTATTGCTCTACTTTCAGATACCAAATCCAGACACTTTTCTTCAAACACCATACAACTGCACGGCAAAACCTCCATACGACGTCAACGCCAACTCAACATATATGAAAGCAAAAAGTCTCTTGTATCCCGTGAACGTGGCTCGTAACATCGCTAGAGAGGCTGCAGTTACTCACTTCATACTGCCATCTGATATAGAGCTATATCCTAGTCCTAATTTAGTACCCAGGTTCCTAAACATGATTGCCAGAAACGCTAAACCATTAAGCACTTCCAGTAGACCTAGGGTCTTTCCTATAAGTATATTTGAAGTCGGTGCCAAAGTCCAAGTAAGAAATTTGTAATAAAACTTCATATAAAGCTATAATATGTATGTACGTGATTTATAGACGAACTAGCATTGCCCGCGGCTCCGCCCACGTTGACCAAAAACCAAATTCTTAGGCTTTACATAGTAGTATACTCTTACATTGCAGTTTATGTATTTTTTCTCAGAAAAGAAACATTTTCCCGCGGTAAACTGCGGGACAACATATTATAGGATACTTTTTAAAGTATCCTATATGTTGACCCGAATAACCACCTATCATTATACCAAATTTCATTAAAATCCCTCCAGTGGTTTTTCCGTGATGCGGTAACAGACAGACACAAAAATTCTAAAAACTATAGATTTGGACTCTGTATCGATAATAATGTTTATTTCAATAAGATTTTCCAAAAAATATTTAATGTACAGATTCGACTTAGTTACAATTTTATTATATGTATAGATGAATTCATTTCTCTTTGCTTGTTTATCGTCGGTGTAAAAATAGGATATCAAAAATTTTCCCCCTTTTTCCAATAGTTTTTTATCTATGGGTGCTAGTTACATATTATGTGGTATTAATTAGAATGAACATAACAAAAAATACTAATCTGTGTAATGTAATTTTATTATGTATGTAAATAAAGACTGTTTTTTTTATTATATAATACATTATATAGATTAGTATTTTGAGTTGATATTCTCTCTGCTCTTTAGTCTAAATAATGTAGTAATATAAATATATTAATTTACATACATTTATGTTGAGAATTGGAAATACTATTTAACCATAATACTTTCTCAGATTTACGAGAATATTTGACATTTAAATTTTTAATTAAATTATCTTTTCGGATTTTTTCGCGGATTTATTTTGTTTTTTGGTTTCCAACATGTCGAATGCTTTACAGCTTACATCAATAATGGTCACGGAAGAGACTAAGGTTTTAGACGTCTTAAAGGTCATTGTATAGTTGTTATAGACAGTAGGTACATACCCACAAAATTATACAACGATTTTCAAAATACCAAAAATAACTATTTATTTAAAATACTATTTAGCCAATTAAATATCAACGTTTTATTTAAAGGCTTATCGCTGGCAAATGTAAATGTGTACAATTAATTTACAAGATTTTCCCTATATATTAAAGTCAAAATATGTATTTCCAGGTGCCATCGACAAAAACGGAGCTGCAAACGATGTTGGTCAATAAGACTGCAATACCGTTCCACAAGTTCGTGTGTCCAAATTGTCACAACATACCTCAAGGGCAACAGTGGATGAATGCACCAGAAACTAATCGTAAGAATTACAATGCGCTAGATTCTCTACACATTATTAAACTACACCAGGTCAAAATTTAGTTTATAGATTATCCCGTTTACGAAACTTCCAGCTTCTTCCTGTACTTGAATACGCTTCTCTGACTTTTCATAGACACTCTTTATAAAATGGACATTTTTAAATTTTGACTTTTCCATATCCTTTACATTATTACCAACATAAATGACCAATAGATAGCGTCGAAACTTTCTTATCTTTGAAATGTACTATCCTATTTATCCTGGCCCCCTTTATATTAAAGATTTAATTTATTTTCATCTGATTAACATCTCAACTTTTATTAAGTGAGCCTGGTTGAATAAGCATTACCAGCCAGTATATCTCAACTACATTATACTAGCGGCCTACTCTCGCTTCGCTCGGGTTCGCCTCTAGTAAAACAAATACGAATCTATCCCTCGGGAGCCGTATATTTTACCGGGAAAAAGGAGCCTATTCCAGACTATAATCTACCTCTGTGCCAAATTTCATCCAGATCCGTTCAGCCGTTGTGTAAAAGAGTAACAAACATACATCCATACATAGTAGGATTTTATATACATATGGATATGTAAATAATATATATTAGTGTATATATTATTATTATACACTTATAATTAATAATTTATAATTAACATATTGCGGTTGTGTGGTTTTACTGTACTTCCTCTGTATTCCAAAAGACAGACTAAGATTATGAATATTATTAAAAATAAAAGAAAGTTTTCTAAAAACTACACGTTTATGATCATTAGACACGCGATCCTCTTTCAATAACCAACATAATCTGATCGCATATCACAGGTATTTGAAAAGATAAGTAGAAATGAAATTCTTAACATGTATCCAAATATAGTGTCATTATAACTAGTTTATGGTCACATGCCGTCAGAGAAATTCCTCAATCTGCCGTTTGATATTCAAATTTTTTCGCAAAAGTAACAGAAAAATGTGATTTCGTGTGATTGGAAACGGGCACGACCGAAATGTGCATGTAAATATGTTGACGTGCGTTATTGAATATCAATAAATGAGTGAAACTGCAATTTTTTTGTGAAACAAGGTCGATTCCATCGACGCGCGTGTAATTACGATGCATTGCCGATTAATCTCGTAGTGTGGGCCGTGAGCTATTTATGCCATAAAAAGAATAAAGTGACCGTATGGGGCATTCTAATTGTGTATTATGGTTCAATGACCGCGACATGCACGCTGGTTGACTCCATTCTTACGCCAATTTGCAAAATCGGTAACTTTCCTCTGCTACTGCTTAATTGTTATATAAACTGTTTTAAGAGATGAGTTGTGTGCAAATAAAACTTTACGATGGTCAAATTATAGTACAATTAAAGAAAAAATAATGAAATGTAATGTTGTTAAAAATATTTATTATTTACTTAGAAATGGATGTCTTTCACGTTGGAAAGCGACGTGGGAAGTTCGTGCATTGGGAACCAATCTTCATAGGAACTCATCAAGATCCCTATTACGACGAGCGACTTAGCTGGGAAGGCAAGAAAGATAAGATGACGCAGGTTAAAAGATTATTTTTAATAATTTACGTATATAGTCAATTTTATTCTAAATTTAGAATTAAACTTATGATAGAAGCAAAACTGTCAAAAAAGTTATTTTTTTAAAAAATAGGCCTTTTCCTTAAGTTTTGAATTATTTGTAGATAGATACATAGTACGTCTATTATATACTCATAATATTACTTGTTGAAACTATTACCTATAATGGTCTATACAGAAATCTTTTCTGAAAAACTTCAGGCTGCGGTCAGAATAGCGTAAAAACACATTTTATAAAAATATTTCAAATCATTGGTATCATTTGGAAAATACAATGAAAATAATTAATATTTGATTATTTTCTTACTTCTTTCTTCCTAATAACTATCTATTTTTACAGGGTTATGTTCTGTGCGTCAAAGACTACGACTTCATGATATTAAACAACGCATTCCTCATACACAAACCTGGTATCAAACACTACGTGAAAAATGCAAAGAGGGATGCTATCGCCGGAAAACAGTCGTTATACATTAAATCGGTCATTATGCCACAGCTTAAAATTCTATTTGGGACGAGAAATGGCTGTGCGCTGTGATTAATCTGACTAGACCAATTTAAAATATTAACTGTTATTATAAATGAAGTCGATATTTCGAAAAACATTCTGGAATATTTATGACTTATTTATAATCGATATATGACTATGTAATCGATATTATAATATCGGTCGCTTTTAATGAACGGAAAGTAATGTTGCCAACATTGTGTTACAGGGTGCGTACATCCGCCTCAATTTTTTACACCTTTACCGATTGTGTCGATTCGGAACGAAACATATCATTCTATTATTCGTATGTAAAATTAATGTAGACAATATTCAGTGAATCCCTCGAATCCGTGTCACTATGACTTTTAAAGCGAGTAACACAGTGCCTGTAAGTTTATACTAAAATTGTATTTTGTATTAGTATTAATCATACGCTATTACAATTAAAAAAAATATGGTCATATTTCCTACACTATTCTTCTTACGTGAGGCCTACATTAAAAATATGTGAAGTCAAATAAAAATTAATTAAGTTTATTGTATATTATAATTATTATTGTTTTGCTTAGAAGCTTTCGATAAGCGGTGCAAGTAAAGACACACTTGACTTTAACATTTAAGTGCTTCTTTACGACAGCCAGTGATTTATTGACTCGAATGTTAAACCGATACTTTAATTTTCGTACACTTTAGACAGAAAAGTTAATTTAAGGAGATTATAATTTTATAATGTAAACCATTTTAATCATGTAATGTAAACTATTCCTGAAACGCATTTTACCTAAATGATATTTAACTACATTCTATTAAGTCAATATCTGTATGTCTTAAGTCCACATTCGCTTGCAAAATGATTCCAAAAACATGTCCATGTAAGTCAACATTTATTATAAAGTTGTAAGGTTATTTATGCCTATTATATATAGATGTAGGTGACTTTGATATGAATGGTCAAAGTTTATACACAGCCTAAATGCTAGTTGTAAAATGACGGGCCTTACGGTACTGGTGATGATAATTTTACGATAGTGATTAAACTCACCACGTTCGATATAGTTAGTTTAGGATTTAGTTATAGTTTTAGCTTCTTTGCAATACGCTTAACACCTCCAGGTAAATTTCTAAGAAATTAATTAAATTTCTAAGAACGGCCGGCGTGTCCGCGGTCGTGGAGGGTTAAAGGCTCTTCAAGTTCAGTCCTTTAACTTATTGAAGTCAGCAATAGCTTTAGTATTTAGCTTCAGTGAAACTAGAAGTCAACTCGCTAGAAAACTGTATAAAAGAAATGTAGCTTGATAATATCAGATATATATTTTTTGAGATTTTAAATTAAATTTATTGCGTCTAAAAATATACCCTACTAATCTTTGTCGAGAAAAATATTGCATTGTTACAATAATACCCAAAAGCTGTCCCACTAATTGTGCGGTAAAGTCTACTTACTTGTTATATACGACTCTTTTCAAGATAGTTTTAAGTTTATGACTGTATTTTATTCTTTTGACGTTATTTTAAAGCTTTTTTTAAGTGAATATATATAATATGGGGTTTGGTTATGGTTTACGCATGTGGTGAGTTTTCACATCGGAGGCAAATATGCCTATTAGCATAAGTGCAATAACCTATAAACAGTCTCTCAATGTGATCATTTACGGAAATGTATTTATCGATATGTACTAAATAAGTAAGTTGGCTAAGAATTATACCTTGTACGTGAATTTCATAAAAATCTACAGGTAACATATGATTGGAAATAAAAAATTTAAAATATTTTTGTTTTTATTTTTGATGCAACTTTATTTATGGGAGAGATTAAGATTTTTGACGTCGGAAAACTCAAAGTTTTTTAAAAATCTTTCGAAGTGTCGGGAAATAAATGAAAATAAAGATCAAACTTCCAAACAATGATAAAATAGTTTTATTTAATGTAAGAAAGTACTGTTACCTTTCTTAATCACATTTTACATTTTTGTAAAATACCTACAATAAGGTAAGTATACTAACTATGTCTTCAATGCCGGATCTAGCCTTAGCGCCGCACCTACGCACTGTAAAAAATGCCGCCCTCTTATCGAAATCTATACATATAATAAAATTGTTACTAAACCGATTCTGTATATTAAATATTTTTTGATAATCTTATTAAACTAAACATTATTATTGATACAGAGGCCGAATCTATAGTTTTTAGAATTATTGTCTGTCTGTCTGTCTTTCTGTCTGTTACCGCATCATAGAAAATCCACTGGAGGGATTTTGATTAAATTTGGTATGGTGATAGGTGGTTATCCAGGTCAACATATAGTATACTTTTGCCGCGGGAAAATGTTTCATTTCTGAGAAAAAATACAAAAACTGCATAGTAAGAGTATACTAATATGTAAAACCTAAAAATTTGGTTTCGGGCCATCTGAATGCGGGCGGAGCCGCAGGCAATGCTAGTTTTAAATAAAATGTTGAAAGTTCAAAAATTTTTAACTATTAATTTTTTGAAAAATGCAAAAAAAAATAGTAAAAGATATCAATTTTCAACAAATGTACCTAGTAGTTAATCTTTTTTTACTTTTTGGAAAATAAAAAGAACAATTTCGATAACGCGAAGAATTTTTTTCCCAACCTCCGAATTTTGACGCTCCTAATATGCCGCCCTGGGCACTAGACCCTAGTGCCCCTAGTGTAAATCCAGCGCTGTGTCTTAATGGAAAGTAAATATTTTTGTCTTCAAATGATTTGCCACAAATTATATGTTGAACTGTGACTTCATTTAATTTTTATTTAATACTAACGATTTATGATGAAAAATTAATTCTGTTGAGCGAAACGAGGCTGAGTCGCTAGTTTATTATAAAAATGTACGTATTACAGATGTAGAGAAAAATAAAATTAACTATTTCGTTACTACAGAAATGTAGCAGATAAAGTTTCAGGATAACAAAAACTTAAAGCAAACAAACAAATTCAAATTACCAAAATACGCCAACATTCCAGGCAATATTCACGATGAATACTGATGAGATAGCGGCTTTGAGATAAGGAAGTTGATCTACACTCTACGTGTGCAGCATTAATCCTGGAAATACAATAGTCTTACTTTACACAGTATTTATTGCCAAATATTAAGCCAAAATGAATATGAGTAATTAATTACAATTATAGATAGTGGTAGCCCAGTGGTAACGAGGTCGGTTGGGAAACCGAGTGAAGCGAGTTCAAATCTCGGGTCTCGCACTTCTGATATTTTCTTGTGCGAATTATTTGTAACATGATTACCACTTGCCTTACGGTGAAGGAAAACATTGTGAGGAAAGCTGCCTGAGAATCTGAGATGATGATGTCTGCGCTGAGAGAACCTAGAAAGTTTTAGAAATATATGTGAAGTCCGCCAACTCCCACTTGGCCAGCGTGGTGGACTATCGCCTGATCCCTCTTCTATTGAAGGGAGGCCCGTGCCTAGCAATGGGACGTTCAAAATGGCTAAATACAATTAGGTGCAATTATAGCATTTAATTATATATTTTTCGAAAATTTAGAGCTTTTTATCCGAATTTGAGAAAATAAACGCATTTTACTTCAATTTCCTAGAATCATACTATAGTTCAGTCATTGAAGACAAAATGGGACTTTCGCTACAAAAGGTCCAAGAGAGTTCTAATTCGGCAGAATGTTGGGTTTTTCGTAATAGTTTGTAATTTAGAACCTACTCAATGACTGCACTACTATGTATAAAACTACAATCAATCAATCATAATTTAAATATCGTATACATACGTATCATTTAGGTTTTTTTTTTTAACGTTGGGAAATGCATTTACGCACGACGTGTGGGACTCACCGGCGTAATACAGCCAGTACTACCCACTAAAACCCAACAAAACCTTCCCCCGTCTTAATGGGGCGTCGCAGGATCGCTTACGCATTCAACTACGACGCCCCGACGGCAGGTCTGCTGAAGCAGACCACCATAACCATGGGGTTGCTCCACAGTCCACTCTGCTATCAGAGAAGTACCAGGAGCAACCCGCATTGTACACCGCCCCCCGAAGAGGGCCACCTCCCACCGCCCACCGAAGTGGGCAACCTCCCTGTGCGTTTCTTAGCTTAGCGCCCGGTTGGATTGCCGGGCACTACTGAGCCCCCCCACCAGGACAAGGTGAACGCACGTTGGGGGGGATCATTTAGGTACCTTCGCTATTGCTAATAGAAACGAATATAAATATAATTTAAAAAAAATGTGTTTAAATGAGGTTTATTCCTATAACACCGAGCAGAGAATTTGAAAAATATATGGGCATAACAAAGGGCTTCTTCTTCGCCCATATCTCAAAAAGGTTAAAAAATAACCAACGCAATGTCTTGAAATTCTTTAAAATCCACGGAAAAATCCGTCTACCATCAAGACAATGGAACCTACATTTATCGTTATAAAGGACAGGAGAATGTTTATGTACTACAAATATACTTCTGCAGTTCAGCAAATCACAAATAAAATCAATGTAAGATAAAGTAATATAATTAATAAATATATTGGGACATTAACACACATCACCATCTAGTTTCATGGTAAGTTACGAGGCTCGTGTTATGGATATCATCATATAGTTGATACACTACACATAGATGCATAACTTTAAATACCTACATACATATTATAAATACAAACAGCCCTGATTGGAGTATGTGTAGGGTAGTATGGAGCTGTAGTACATGTAATAATGTTATATGACATTTTAATAACCTGTACTTGTGGCTCACATTTAGATTAAAAAATATATGATAAACGAGTTATTAAATTTATAAATTTTCCTCCATCTGTGTCTTAATTATATGTACCTATTATATTTGCTTAACGTTCGTACATATATACATAAGTATATTCATAATTTAATATTAATTAATAATGTGAAAATTTGTGTAAAATGTATGGTCTCCGTGAGATAGATTTGTTTTTGTCTAGGAACGAACCCAAAGCGAAGGGAGGGTGAGTCGCTAGTAAATTACCTATATATGTAAGTATTATGATGCTTGTAACTTAAGTATAATTAATAGACCATTAAGCACAGCGTGAATTGGTGCTCGAACACAGTGAGATGCAGATCTATAGAATCAATTTGAAAGTATTTCTGCATATATAAATCCCTACACTATTCTATTTTTTTTTTTTTATAGAAAAAAAGGGGCAAACGAGCAAACGATCCACCTGATGGTAAGTGGCTATCGTCGCTCATGGACATCTGCAACACAAGAGGAGTTGCGAATGCGTTGCCGGCCTTTAAGGGACCTATAGACAATTATAATTAATAGTATTGTATCTAACAGCTCCTGCTAGAACTGGTAAAGCTAGTACAAAGAGTAAAGCTGTAAGTCCCACTAAATTAGTTAATAAATATATGTTATTAACTCGTATATTAATAACTAGCGGCTCACCCTCGCTTCGCTCGGGTTCACCTCTAGAAAAGCGCAAACAGGTCTATCCCACGGGAACCGTTAATTTTTCCGGGATAAAAATAAGTAACCTGTTGTTTGACCTGCAATATAAGGTATCAGCATGCCTAATTTTACTAAATTAGGTGCATAAGTTGTTGTGTACTGAGCTGTATAAGTTACTATAGTTTTTTTAACTATCCCACGGGAACTCTTTAATTTTCCGGAATGAAAAGTATCAAATTTCATTTAAATAGGTTCAATAGTATCGGAGATTAGCCCGTACAAACAGACAGAGAAACAAACCATTTAAAAAATCTGGATTTGTTCTATTTCTCTCCTTACGTAATGTAAGAAGAGAACTGACTGGTTTTTTAGCATTTTTTTCTACCATCTATGTACAGACATTTGACCTCTACAGTTTTATTATTCATATATGTATATTCAGATAGAATAAATAACGTAAAATAAAACAGTAATATATAATAATGAAAATAGTTATAGCGAGTGTACCTTAGGAGATAGACATATATTATGTAGAACTTTTCTATAGACCTTTTTAAGACTTATAATTTTTTGTACAATGTTTTGATGAGCCAACGTGAGCCATATAAATTTCTAAGGACAATTCGATAGAACCAGTTATTGTGTTTTCCCGTGGGAATGAATAATTTGCCTGTCGTTAAAGGTATTCTGAATGTTAACCCGAGCACTAAGTTTTATCACTATACAAAATTAAGTTAAAATCGGTTGATTACTTATTGCGTGAAACGCACACATCGTTTGACTAAGTTTTATTATAGGTATAAGAAATAAATATTGCGAGTGTAACTTAGGAGATAGACATATACTATTCAGAACTTTTCTGTAGGACTTTTCAAGACCTACAATTTTTTAGTATATTGTTTTGATGTATGTATGTCTTAAGGCTTAGCCAGCGGAAGGTTTCTAGGGAGGACTCGATAAAATCAGTTATTGTATTTTCCCGTGGGAAAGAAAGATTTTCTTTAAGTAAAAGGTATCTAGGCAGTGGTATCCTAGTGGTAACGTGCTCGATTGGGAAACCGAGTGAAGCAAGTTCAAATCCTGGTTCTCGCACCTCTGATATTTTCATGTGCGAATCATTTCTAACACAATTACCATTTGTCTTAACGGTGAAGTAAAACATCGTGAGGAAACCTGCATGTCTGAGAGAACGATAAAAAAAACCTATTTGTTATTCTGATGTATGAATTATATTATTGTAAAGTTTCATCAAAATCCAATCAGTAGTTTTTGTGTACTAAGCTGTATAAGTTACTATAGTTATATTACTATCCCACGGAAACTCTTTCATTTTCTGGGATGAAAAGTAGCTGATTTTTTTTTATCATGTATGAACTATATTATTGTAAAGTTTCATTAAAATCCAATCAGTAGTTTTTGTGTACTAAGCTGTATAAGTTGTTATAGTTTTTTAAATATTCCACGGGAACTCTTTCATTTTTCGGGATGAAAAGTATCTAAGATGTTGCCCGGGGATATAAGGTACCACCATGCAAAATTTCATTTAAATAGGTCCAATAGATCCGGAGCTTAGCCCGTACAAAGAGAAAAACAGACAAACAGCTCGCTCGGGTTCGTCCATACCTACGAATATGTTGTATTATCTCTTTAACCATTTGTCCAAATTATATGCAATAAAAGGGAAAAGTCTTTTATTTTAAACATTTTAGACGATAAATTTACTTATTTTGATAAGAATTCATAATTGTTGATAATATGACCAATAAACATGACCTATCGATTTAAATTATTTTTTTAATATAAAAACTACTTTTTGTGACTTAAATATAAAAGTTAGACATATGCTGTCGCTGACTTTTTTGTAGGCATTATTAAGCTCTACAACTTTTCTCTAGAACATAATCATACATCTCTCATCGTTAAGACAGCGTTCGTAAGAAACGTTTTCGTTCGACCGTTTTTTCTCCGACTTACTTTGCAAATCCGACTACCACGAATAAGCCTTTTCATTCTTCGGGTTAATATATAGCCTATGACACTCAGAAAGAACGTGGCTTTCTATTGGTAAAAGAATTTTGAAAATCGGTTCAGTAGATCCAGAGATTACCCCCTACAACGTCACAAACCCACAAACTCACAAACTTTACCTCTTTATAATATTAGTATAGACTAGCATTGCCCGCGGCTCCGCCCGCGTTCAGATGACCAGAAACCAAATAAAATAGCGCTATTATTATTATTTTTTCAAGATAAGCTATTTTTAATAGTTTTTGCCTTATTTACTAAGTTACCTTGCTAAAATATATATAGTATCATCGTGGTTTTATTCTAACCAATTCTTTGTATTTTTTCTCAAATGAGATATTTTCCCACGGTAAAAGGTATCCTATATGTTGACCCGGATAACCAGTTACGAGCATCCCGAATTTCATCAAAATCCCTCCAGTAGTTTTTCTGTGATGCGGTAACAGACAGACAGACAGATAAAAATTCTAAAAACTATACATTCGGCCTCTGTATCGATAATATTTCAATAAGATTTTCCAAAAAATATTTAATCTACAGATTCGACTCAATTAGAATTTTATTATATGCATAGATTATAGTAATAACATTAATTGCTCTAAAGATTGAGGAAATTCCAGCTGTATTATTGATTTAAAAATTTCGGGTCATAACCGGCATAAAACAGGTCGGAAAAATTAATATTTGTTTTGAGATTTGCATTAACTCTGCGTAGCATGCAGCGAGATCTTGTTAATAAAAACTATAATATACTTGTATATGAGTGAGTAATATAAGTTTTTAATATCCGAAGGTCGACTTCCACAAGTCGAGTCATTTCAGGTTTAACTATCGCGCGTCAGTGTAGTGTTGAAAATGAGAATCCTATTGAGTATAGCAACTTTGTATACAATTTGTAGGTATACCTAATTAGTTCTATTTTTTTATTAAAAAAGTTAATTAAGATTGCGCAATAAAAATAATCTATGTTTATAGCAATCAGGCGCATTAAACTATAATATAACGGATAAACATGGAAGTGAAGTGCTAAATAAAATATATAAGTGTCTATTAAAAATAAATGTTTTCTTTTTAAATATTATGTAGAGTTAAAAATTGTAAAATTTAATATTTTTTATACCCTATAATAATAATGAATTCATAAATACTTTACATTACAAGTAATATCCTTGTTGAATTCCAGCTTACCTACCAAAAAGCGCGCTATGGTCCTATAGGCATGACGAATCATTCAAGGAAAACCCAGTGAATGTGGTTACAAATACTGAAAGTACTTTTAATGATAAGAAATACCCGAATACCTCTAATACCGGTGAAATTGGTAGTACCACTGAAAAAATACTTAGTGCTAAAGACAAAGGAGGCACAAACATAAATAATAAAAATGAAAGCACCGTTAGCGTTATAAAAATGGACACTAGAAAAACTAAAGATACATTTTTAAGCGAAGACGCGTATTACGACTATTTCGATATGTTGCATTATTATCAACTATCCGTAATAGAAGATGTAAGTAGCTATACATGTACAGAAAAAAATGAAAGGCATGCTCTTCTCGGAAGATCTCAGAATTATATTGAATGCATGGTAAGATGTTGGATTTAATACTTTCTTAGATTTACGCGAATATTTGACATTTTAAATAAAACTATCTTTTCGGATTTTGTCGCGGATTTATTTGCATTTTTGTTTCCCGACGTTTCGAATGCTTTACAGCATCCATGGTCACGGGAGAGACCATGGATGCTGTAAAGCATTCGAAACGTCGGGAAACAAAAATGCAAATAAATCCGCGACAAAATCCGAAAAGATAGTTTTATTTAAAATGTTGGATTTAATTATATGTTAATTGAATATAATAATTTGCTTTAAAAATTTCAGTAAAATTCAATAGGTGCTCTTGATAAATATTGACACATTATAATTAAGAAAAGGTACATATAATTATAAAAATCACTCCAAGGTAATTATAACATTCTTAAGGATAATGATTATGATGTTCTCCTGGCCGATTCCGGCTACGGCGGGCAATCTTATTGAGACTAGCCAACTGCGCAGGAGATATTATAGTGCACAAGTGTACGCGCAGACACAAGTGTACTCTCTATTCCTGTCACTCTCATACTCTGATGGGACGATCACTCGACACGACCAGTGAGAGTTAAGGCGCAGGACCAACGGCTTTACATGCTCTTCAAGGCACGGGGGTGAAACACCGCCAACACCCCAACTCCGGGCTGTTACTGAGACTTACTATAAAGAAAGACTCAATAACTAAACTTGGCCAGACCCGGGACTCGAACCCAGGATCTCCGAGTGTGCAGCCACTACACCACCGAGGCAGTTGATCTTATGGATATAACCTATTCATTGAGTAAAAAACTATGAAAATCGGTTCACCATTCACAAAGAAATTACGAAGCAAAGATAATATCTTGCTTTGCTTCGTGATATCTTCACATCGCATACACAAAAAAAGGTGTGTGTGTACTTACATATGTACGCACATAAGAAATTATATTTCTTTATCGTAACAGAACAAAAATAGCTAAAGATTTCATCCCGTATGTCACAACTCTCTTTGTAAAAGGAATGATAAATTAATAAAAATAAATAGTATACCGAACCTTTTGGTTTTTCCATCCAAATATGTTTTTCCGACATAACGAATCCATTATTGTCATATCCACGCTTTTCATTCATATTTATTTATCTCTACGATCTAAATAAACTATTATATATCAGCTAACTTCATCATGTCGCTTTTTTGCTGTCGGTGTGCGCGCGCATCGTAAAAATTTTACTCTCTTAATTTTTTCGAAAAATCTTAAAAGAAGTATAACTTCAAAAATACAGATGAATAAGTAACAATTTCTTTTTATAGTCAATCAAACTTCTCTCGTATTTTTGTCATTTTTTAGATTGCTATTTTGTTATTAATTACAGAACGGAACTGCTTACTGCTTGGAATGCTTGAATGGATTACACGTCGATCCTGAGAAAGTTTATGTATCACCTTGTCAATACGCAATTGATGTTCCAAATACCGGGAAAGCTATACCCAGTAAGTTGTTTATGATAACAAAGATAACTGCAAAATAAATTATTACTCTGTAAATGAACCAGATGACCAAAGATTTTTTTTATTATTCTTTCCCAAAAATACCGTGTGAAATAAATGTACTCGTGCCATATTAAATAATAATCTAATTATTTCAGGAAGAAAACCTACAAGTGAATGTCCACACGACTTTGGTTATTATAAAATCGAAGACAAACATAACTGTAGTAGTTTCAGGATATGCGAATTTGGTGTCGGATACGATTATGAATGTCCTAATGGGCTTGCGTTTAGGTCAGACACTCTCCGATGCGACTGGCCACACAAGGTCCCTGAGTGTGATGCTGAAGGTATATACATAATGTCGATATTGATTGTCCTGTTGGTCTTGTGGCTAGTGTGTACGGTTACAGATCTCGGTATCCCAGGTTCGAGTCCCTGGTAGGGCCAAGTATAGCATAATATGCCTAACATATAAGCCTTTCTGTCAAGAAATCCTCAATGATAGTCAGGTCTTGGGATGTTGACTGCATTACAACCCCATGTCTCAGAGAGTAAGAACTGATGTACTGTCAAAATTTTCCTAATTATATATTCATCAAAATTAATGTTTAAGGGTGTACACATATTGCCGTGGATCATACTAGTATAGTTCCTAAATAATAACTCTTAATACTCGTACATCAAGTAGTTTCTCTATACCAAACATTTTTGAAGTTATATTTTATTTATTGAGGGTCTTTCTCCTTGCGACATAAATATTAAAATATATTCGCTATATTTTATAAGAACGCCGGCTATATTTAAGCCAAATTTTAACAAGGATAGTCGCTTTTCTGTATAAAGTTATTAATTAATAAACAGAGATATATCACAAAATAAACGTATAGATTTCATCCATCCATGAATCTATAATCTATACATATAATAAAATTGTAACTAAGTCGAATCTGTACATTAAATATTTTTTGGAAAATCTAATTGAAATAGACATTATTATCGACACAGAGTCCGAATCTATAGTTTTTAGAATTTTTGTCTGTCTGTCTGTCTTTCTGTCTGTCTGTCTGTCTGTCTTTCTGTCTGTCTGTCTGTCTGTCTGTCTGTCTGTCTGTTACCGCATCACGAGAAAATCGCTGAACCGATTTTGATGAAATTTGGTATGATGATAGCTGGTTATCCGGGTCAACAAATAGGATACTTTTTACCGCGGGAAAATATCTCATTTCTGAGAAAAAATACAAAAACTTCATTGTAAGAGTATACTTATATGTAAAACCTAAGAATTTGGTTTTTGGTCATCTGAATGCGGAGCCGCGGGCTATGCTAGTATTGAATATAAATTTAATTAATTTTACTTTTTTTTTTCAGCTTATGCTAACTTTGTTTGCCCGGACAAAAAATTAAGTTTGGAATATTACGGGTAAATATATATATTTTAATTTACAACACTATTAGTTGGTAAATGTATATTAAAGTAACGGTGCCTTTTTAATTTTATCAAAATCAGCTTCATGACATCATTGTATATTTTTTTGCTATTCCTGTATTTTCTGATGATTTATGATTTTGTGATCGGTGGTCAATCAATCAACTATTGAATTATTGAATTTTTATGGCTTTAAGGTGTGCCAATTGGACACAGATTACTTTGCTATTATCGCATGGAATGGAGAAGACAATTCGTGCACCATAGACAGATTTCAAAATATTAAGTAAAAATCTTCATTTTATTTACGCAATTGAGTAAAATTTAATCCGGATAGGTACATGAGAAATACTAATTTTACATTTTGCTGCCGTTTCGTTTGCTAACATATTTTATTTCTGCCGGATGATATCATTAATTTTATTTTAATTTAATTATAATTAATATTTTTTAGGTAATTTATTTTATTAATTTTAATTAGTTCAAATAAAACAATCATAGTTCATTAGCATTACTGGATTAAATAAAACTATCTTTTCGGTATTTTCACGATTTTATTTTTCACTCTCTCTCCCGTGATCATAATTACTATACAGTATTCAAAACGTCGGGAACCCAAAATCAAAATAAATCCGTGAAAAAATGCGATAAGATAGTTTTATTAAAAATGTCAAATATTCGCGTAAATCTAAGAAAATATTACTGAAATAGTAAAAATATAAAAGTCATTTGTACAGAAATCACATAAAGGTATCTTGATATATTTTTTTGGTTCCACAGTAAAGTACTTAGTATATGTTGTCAAACCAATCAGAAACCAAACTTTTCAGATCTCCAGTTGACTGCCGAGAATATTTTGTATGCATACAAGGAGTGCCACGTCGCCAAGTGTGTGAACAATATATGGGTTTTCATCTCGAATTAAATTATTGCGTGCCAGCTGACAATGTAGAAACATGTAACAGAGAACTTAAACTATCGGCCAAACAATATAGAATCAACAAGCCAGAAACCGATGATGATGATGATGACGACGAGTATCTTAATAACAGATTTGAGGAACTTTCCTTTAAGAGACATATTATAAAAAGAAAAAGCAAAATAATTTATCATACAAAATATTAAATAGCTATACTTTTATGAAATTATTCGAAAGCAGCCTTAAATTACTGTGGGCTTTCCGGAAGCAAATGAAACGCAATTTAATTTTTTACTTTACGAATCTATTTTATACTGTATATATTATATAGTAAAATATAGTGGCTAAACATTTTTTTACCAAATTTGGGCAATTAATCGAAATAGAATCTTAATAATTTTGTAACTTTCGTCTGTCTATACTTTAGGATTAACACTATGCAACTGTGAAGAAGATTAACTCTGTCTTCTATATAAACTGATACAAAATGATAAACTCATATTGTAATTAACAGTAAAGTAACAGTCAAGATGGAAAATTAAAAAAAAGGAATAAAATTAAAATAAATAATAATATGCAATGCAATAATATTCACTTGATAAAACGGACATTGGCTTACATTTGACACTTTTAAGTTGTAGCCGCTAAACCCACTTAGTTGTTTTTATATTATAGTATCTATGATATTTATACAAATTTATTTTTGCGTTAATAAAATTAAATTTGTATTCGTTATCGAATTAAAAATCGAATCTATACATTAAATATTTTTTGGAAAATCTTATTAAAATAGTCATTATTATGGATACAGAGACCGAATCTATATTTTTTAGAAATTTTGTGCTGTCAGTCTGTCTCTGAGAAATCTATACTAACCTCAAAATATAGGGAAGAACCCGAGCGGAGTGAGGGTGAGTCGCTAGTATATCTATTATATAAATAAAAATGAAATGTTCACCCAAGATTCGAATGGTGTTATAGTCGTCGGTGACGAGCGACATGTTTTATTATTATGCTTTCTTTCCTTTGAACTTTATTATTAGATCCCGCAGGACTCAGGTGGTTTGTCCAATACTGAGTTCATAGTTGGTAAGACGTCATAATGTTCTCAGCTTCCAGCCTACGCTGATCCTGACATATCTTGTCTGTTTAAGAGGTAATCTGTGTTGAGTATGCCTTTGCTCCATGATGCATACCTAGAACTAGCTAGCTCAAAAATATAACTGAACTCGTTTTAAAATCGTTTTAAGTCTGTGCATCGAAGCGCATATTTTGCGATGCTGCCATATTTTGATAGTTTTTTTTTATTGTACGATAGGCTTGCGCTTGACACAATCAGCGCTGGGGAGCACTGATGAGGTCTAGGTTGGAGCGCGCTTGCTTAGAAAATGCCTATTCACTCTTGTCTTGAAGGTACTTAGATTATAGGTAGCAGGAAACACGGATGCTGGAAGGGTGTTCCACTCCTTAGCAGTTCGTTTTGGAAATGTAGAACTAAAGCGTTTCGTGCGAGTTGGTTGGATTTCTACCACATAAGGATGCCAGCGCTCACGACTTCTCGCAGTTCTGATGTTGTGAAATTCCTGCGCGCACTACCCCTCACTTGCAGGCACATTTCAAGAGTAACAATAACAACAGGATATTGATATCAATGTATCAATACCATTGAAACGGCATACAAGATCTGTCTTTTCTGTATATACACATCATGTTAATTACAGTTAGCATTTAATGTTAATACCACGTGAAGAAAAGAACTCTCTTACTGTCGGTTTTGTGCAAAATATAAAAAAGGGGTATAAACCTAAAATAAAACCTATAAAAAAATTATGTAAAATAGACGTAAGAAAAATATAGAAAAAATATAGAAATGTTAATAAAAATATTTTGCGAATTGTACGAAGTTTTAAATACAATTAGTTAAAACGTTTCAATGTAGCTCGCTTATAAAAACCAGTTTTCTTCATACCTCGTTATCTTTTAATTAGAATTTTTTATCATTAAATTGTTGCAATGAGTCATTATAACCCTTCTTGTTATTCTTACGTAGATGTAACGTCAAACGATTATTTGTATTACAATATTTATCTAACAAAACCACAAAGAACGTTTTCCTGTTGTTTTGTAATAATTAAATATTAAGTTTCTAATAAATATTAGCAGCCTATCTAGTTTTACTTGACCTGATTTTATAATCTCCCTTGGTCCCTTCTTTTTAGAAGAAGTTTTAAGAAGCCGAAATTCATCAATAATTTAAGACAATATACCTATTTGAATAATACGTCGAAACAATTTAGTGTTCGTTCATAATTTATTTGAAAATATATCAGAAAATTACATTAAAACTTTGAATAATACTATAAAAGATATTTTAAAATAAAACAATAATTTGGAATATGCATATTACACGACGTATATTTAAGAACTCTCCAACCAAAGCCACGCCTAGCCTCAAGCAATTGACTGTGCCAATGAAAGTAGTGAAAAAATTACTGGCATTATATAATTTTATGAAAGAAACTGTAAAGATATTCATTCATATAAATCTCGTCTCGAACATTTTAATATTTTACCATTTAATGAAAGAAGAAAAATAGGTGATTTAACTCTTTTGTGTAAATTAATTAAAGATTTAATTGATACCCCTGAATTACTGGAACGCTTGCATTTTTCAATACCTCGCCAACAAACTCGATTGCATAATCGCAAAACCTTCTTTTTACCAGATACAAGAACCAACCTCGCTGAACATAGAAATATCTATAGAATGGAATCCTTAGCAAATTCCCCAAGAAATGGTATAGATTTTTTCGGTAATTCCGTGTCTTCGTTAAAAAGAAAGCTTTAGTAACATAAAACAAAAGTAGGTAAGTCGGTTTGTGCTATATTTTATGTTATGTTTTGTCATAATACAATAATAATTAGATTTAATTTAATTTAGCCTTGTTTAACAGTATACATTTTTATTGTTAATACTTAGTTCTGTTCATATGCATGTGATGTTCACATCTTAAAAGACATCATTTGTCTGATTGTATACTTTAAACTTTAGAATAATTATAATTAAGCTTATTTATATGTCGATTTTGTAAACTTATAAATAAATAAATAAATATACCTTAATCCAACATTAGATATGCTGTTCATCGCAACTTGGGTCCCTTCTGCGATAAACAATAGCATTCCCAAGGAGGGTTGAGGTCAGGCAGGCCAGTCGTAAAACTTTTGCCAAATCCTATCAACAGTACAGAAGATGTACCGCGCCGACCCCAAGTCACTGGGAAGTGATCAGGGAGATGATCCTAATTAGAACTTTGCTGCCCTTATTCACATTCTTAGGAATTATATTTCAAAAGTCCTTTCCAAGTAATGATATTTATAGGAAATGTGAAATACGCAATAGCAAATTTCACAAAATTTCTAATTTTTAATTACATAATATACAATTCGTTTATATTATTACATATCAAATAATAATACAGGGGAGAAGCGTTATCTAAATGAATAGCTCTTTTTAAATAAAACTATCTTTTCGGATTTTGTCGCGGATTTATTTGCATTTTTGTTTCCCGACGTTTCGAATCCTTTACAGCATCCATGGTCACGGGAGAGACTGAGGTGTTACATGTCTTGGAGGTATAGTTGTTACAGACAGCCTACCCACAATTATAGCATAGCAAACTAAATTAAAATAATTATCCTTAATTAACTTTAACTTTTTAAATTACACATGGAACAATTATATGGCTTAAATAATTAACACTATATTTTATATTTTTCTTTATGGTTATAAATATAATAATGGCAACACTAAATATAGATTACTAATTAATATTTTAAAATTGTAATAATTATAAAAATAATAGCAAAAATTAAATAAATAATATTCCATATTCAATTATAATTAAAATTATAAAAATGTTTAAAGTTAAAAAATATTGTAATGTAATTGGTGCAATTTTCATTTTGTTAATTGTGGGTAGGCTGTCTGTAACAACTATACCTCCAAGACATGTAACACCTCAGTCTCTCCCGTGACCATGGATGCTGTAAAGCATTCGAAACGTCGGGAAACAAAAATGCAAATAAATCCGCGACAAAATCCGAAAAGATAGTTTTATTTAAAATGTCAAATATTCGCGTAAATCTAAGAAAGTATTATGAATAGCTCTTTATTTCAACTCCTACGTACAACATGAGTCATTTTAAGTTTAAGCCTCATGTGCCTGTGTTGTGTTAATAATGAAAATTATAGTATTATTGTCAATAATACTACTTGTATTATGTTCCTATATAATTTGTAGGTATTAAACGATTTTTTTTTCTTTTTAAATAAAAATATTATAAGTATTGCATGTTTACCTTCTAAATTTCAATAAGGTAACTTCTTAGTTACCATGATATTGAGTTGAATAAATCAGGAATGCAAGCGATTGGCAAAACAAACAAAGTTAACGATCTAGTTATAAACGTTATTAATTTTTTATTTTTTTCTTGAAGAAAGTAAGTAATGACAATTCTCCAAACCTGTGATAATAAGGAATTGAGAAACATTAGAATTCACTGACCTTTTCTATTAATTTTGTCTTTATTTATTCTGCAGTTGGTATACCAACGGACTTAGTAACTACATTATGGATCCAAGAAGGTAACGAAACATTTATAAATCAAGTAGATAAAAGTGCAAATGTGCTTAATAAACTTAACCAAAATTATTCCTACTTGGCCAATAGAAGTGTTGGCAGATATGCCAGTGAATCTACAAGTACCACTGAAAAAATACGTAATAGATCTATACACCAAGATGATGCAAAGCATAATAATATCAGTGAAATAATTGGTACAACTCAAGACAACGATGAAGACTGCCCACGAATAAATAGAGAAAGCGAAAAGATAATCGGCACTATAAAAAATGATACTAGAAAATCTATTCAAGATATATTCATGAATAAAAACGAATATAATAATTACGTCGATAATTTATATTATCATCAATTATCAGTACGTCGAAGTTTAAGTAATTATACATGTATAGAAAAAAATGGACGATATGCTCTTCCCGGAAGCTCTGAGGAATACATTGAATGCAAGGTATTTTTTCTTATGATACTCAAAACAGAAATAAATGCTATTTAAGAACCTGAGAAGTTATTTCTTTCAGTAGAGCATTTGAACTGTTTTTTAAAGCTAAAAAAAGCACTGGGATGCAACCCACCTTGTTGGGTGATATGCCATGCGGGTTGCTCCTGGTACTTCTCTGACAGCAGAGTGGACCGTTGGAGCAACCCATGGTTGTTGTGTTCTGCTTCAGCAGGCCTGTCGTCGAGGCGTCGTGACGTGTACGCCCCATTAAGAAGGGGAAAGTTCTGTTGGGTTTTAGTGGGTAGGTACTGGCTTCTCTAGCCAGTAAGTTCCATATAACCACCTGTATACAGGTGGTATGCGTACGTGTTCATTGGTTTAGCTCGTGAATCATACACCACGATTACTCCCACGCTTGTTTGTAACTGTGCTTTAAAAAAACCTACTCATCGAAACCAATGTGATCGGTCCAAATATAAAATACGTGCTGTTTATTTTTAAAGAGTTACAGACATATTGTAATGCTGGCCAATCTGGTGCCAGCATCAGGTCAAAGTTAACGTAAATCATTATTATCATTCATTCATTTAATCTCATTTAATCACCTCCCGCACTCGTAGTCCAAATCTAACACTACCCTTATCCCTTACTATTGTTTAGCGTACAATATCAATATCAAACAATCTACAATATCAAACATTAATACATTCGACACATAACACATTCAAATACTAAATTTCTCTATTCTGCTCCAAAATCAAACCCTGATTACAACTATTCATTTTAATGAACCTAAATATGATATCTCTGCAGTATGTTATTAAAGAATTGATTATCTTGAAGATTCCAGGTGACGTTGTAGTATCAGATCAAGCAATATCCATACTGTATACTATACATACAAAGTTCCGAACGGAATATCAAGTTGCTCATATCCCTTTAATGTCTAAAAAAGAACTGATGGACTGCAAACGGCTGTATGCATTTTTTTGATTTTTAACTAAGAATTCTTTCGCTCAAGTCCCATCTTTCAAACAAAATCAAAACTAAATTAAAATCTGTTCATCATTTGGGAGCTTCGATGCCACAAACAGGCTCACAAATACAAAAATGTCAGATACAAAATTTATAACTCTCTTCTTTTTACGTCGGGGGTTAAAAAATAATACTATTTAAACTAATTAGATCGGTAAACCACCTGGGAGAGATCAGTGAGTCTAGTTGAAAAGAAGTATACGTATTACGTATCGAACATAATTTCTTCCTTTGTTAAAGTTGGATAAATATATATTTAATGCGAATAGTATTTATAGAGCAAAATATGTTATCTTATTAATGTAACAATTTATTTATTACAGAACGGAACTGCTACACACATGCAATGTCTTGATGGATTGCATTTTGATTATGAGAAAGCCAATGAAAAATCGCCCTGTCAATATTCGATTGATATTTCTGGTGGTAAAAAATTAATGAATCGTAAGTTATGTTGGAAAAAATATTTATAGTGTAACGTTGAATGTTCAAATGAACAACAAACTAAATAATAATTTCATAATAATTATTATAAGAGTTATGCTTTATTCAAAATTATAGGCTAAACTTAATAAACAATTTAAAAAGTTAATTTATAATTTGAGAATAGAAATATATTTTTTTATTAAATGTTAATCTGAAATGAAACAGCAAATTTGGCTGGAACGGATTTATAATAGACAATTAAAAATATATATCACAATATGTATAAGATCATTTAATTTTAAAATAATGATTTTAGATCACAAACAGACAGGAGAATGTCCTCATCAATTTGGTTATTACAAAATTGAAGATGCACACAACTGTAGTAGCTTCAGGATATGTGAATTCGGCATCGGCTATGATTTTAAATGTCCTAATGGGCTTGCGTTTAGGTCAGACACTCTGAGATGCGACTGGCCACACAAGGTCCCTGAATGTAATGCCGCAGGTATGTGTCACATTATCTAAGTACTCTAATAATAAAACAGAAGAGTTTTTTTTAATACTTTCTTAGATTTACGCGACTATTTGACATTTTTAATAAAACTATTTTTTCAGATTTTTTCTCGGATTTATTTGGATTTTTGGTTCCCGACGTTTCGAATGCTTTACAGCAATCGTGGTCACGGGAGAGACAGTCACAGGCAGTCTCTCCAAATCCAAATAAATCTGCGAAAAAATCCGAAAAGATAGTTTTATTTAAAAATCAGAAGAGCTTGTTTATTTGTTTTAATATGCTCATCTCTGAAATTTCGAGTCCGATTTGTTTTAAATTTCTTGTTGCATTTTATAGACTATTTATTGAGAAAAGCCATAAGTTATTTAGTATCACGCTATGACATTGAGTAACGTTATAAAATATATTAAGCGAGCGAAGTCCCGGACTAGCGCTAGTAGTTTAAAGTAGAAAAAACAATTTAAGTATCGATTTCATTTTTGCCGTAATCTTGCCTTCATCTTTAGATTTACTTCCAATATTTTCAGCTTATGCCGACTTCAGTTGTCCAGACAATAAGCCAAGTTTCCAATTTTACAGGTAAAGTATAAGTCATAATATGTACAGAGACAAACGGATACAAAACTATTATAACATAATAAATGATAACCAAACATTTTATAACATATCTTGGTTGCTTGAGCTTAAGTAGAGCTACTACTTGCTAGAATACTACTTGCTTTGCGATGAAGGAAAACATCGTGACGAAATCTGCATGTCTGAAAGAACCTAGTAAGTTTTCGAAAGACAAGTCAAGACTTTGTCAGCGTGATGGACTATGGCCTGATCCTTCTCATATTGAAGTGAGACCCACACCCAGCAGTGGAACGTTAAAAAAGGTCGAATACTTAGTAGCTATTACAACTTTTAACTACATTACTACTTTAAAAACAAACACATGTTTAAAAAAAAAAGACTCCATGGACATTATTTTTTTATGATCAGTGCCGCACTATGTATTTAATATTTTTTACTTATTTTTTTTCAGATCACCCACGAACTGTCAAGTCCATTATATTTGCATACATGGAGTACCACGTCGCCAAGTTTGTGAAAAATATATGGGATTTGATTTGGTATCCAATTGTTGCGTGCCAGCAGATAGAGTAAAATCTTGTGACCAACAAATTCAACTGTTGGCCAGTCAATATAGAAAAGACAAATTACAAAAAAATTTTCACTCGGATCCAATTTCGAAATATGATGACGGCGATAGCTATTTTAACTTCAGAAGTAAAGGACTTTCTTTTGAACGACGCTTATATGGAAAAGCTAAAGTAATTTCTTAGAGAGAAATTAATTTAAATTTACTGCTTATTATTATTCAATGTAAGCTGATTGAAAGCACTTTATTTTACCTTTAAATTTTTTTATACAAAATATCGCAATGAAAACTTTTCAACGTGGCCTCTTAAACAATAGTCAATAATCATTCGATCTTCTAAATGTCAACTAATGTAACCAGTTTTATCAGCAGCTCATGATATAATCGATAGCTTAACCTATAATTTTAAATTTCAATAAGATTTTCCAAAAATATTTAATGTTCATATTCGAATTCATTAAAATTTTATTATATGTATACATCAAATATAGAAAACAAAATAATTTCAATGTAATACTAATTAATAAATTAATTCATTACTTTTAAAAAGTTGACTAATTTTAATTTAATATTGTTGCATATGTGCAATTTTAGAACATACACAATAAAGTAATTTACCTGAACCATGGCGACTGGACCGATTATTATGATCTTTAATTTGTCGGATTTGCCTCCACCCCGAATAACAGTTTAACGATTAAAACATCGAAAAACTTCAAGAAAAAGAATGATAGATTTACATGGCTAACAATGGCTAATAACTATTTATAATTTATATCTATTAAAAACGCACCTACAACCCATCCGAGCGAAGCTAAGTCGCTTGTTATATAATGAAGATAAAAATTGTTATGTCATAGAATCACAATGCCAATCTTACAAAACTTTTTTAGATTTCTAATAAACTCGTAGAGTTGTAGAATGAATCCTTGTCGAAGTCCCAAGATCGCGTAATTTTGTGCGAAAAATTAAACTAAGATAATAAATATATTTATTAAGATGAATAATTGAATGGGAAAAATTCTTTTGAATTCTTTCACCTCCTTGCATCATTTCTTAGGAATGATACAATATTATACCGCACAGAACACGTCATGCAATTCTACATAGATATGCTTTCATATGCTCTTGACATTAAATCGATGCAATCATGTCTTATGGTCAGAGACTTAAAAGTTTATCCTACATACAGAATTCGGCTGAAGTAAGGCATTGATAGGCTAGAGTAACACGTTTGCATGAGAAATCAATTAAAACAAACGGGCTCGAAACTGCGGGACTCGCATCTCTGATATTCTCATAATATACGAATGATTTTTATTAAGAAAGCGGTAAATTTAATTCATTACATAAACAATGACCTGATCCTGAGGGGAATCTGCCCTCCTCCCTCGTTACAAAGGAGAAACAACCGACGCTGAAGCTTTTAGTAATACACAACCATATGATGATTCAAGACTAGAGTTACATTAAATTTAACTATTTGCATAATTTAAAGATTATATTCTAAATCTATCAAGTAGTGTATAAAATCATAATTAAAAAATTAAAAAATGTTCAATATCTTTATTTATTCTGCCCAATAACCATAATTCTTAAATTAAATATTATTAAATCAACTTATTTTCTCACAATGTATTCAGCCTGATAAATTAGCTAAAATATTGAACAAGTTTCTTTTGTCTCAAAATTTTCCATTCATTTGTTATTAATAAAAAAATCTTATTTAATAAAACATTCCTTCAACTACTAATATTATAATTTATTAATGTGAAAGTGTGCTTGTTTGTCTTTCTTTCACGTCGAAACGGAGTGACGGGTTGACGTGATTTTTTGTATGGAGATAGTTCAAGGGCTGAAGACTGACATAGGCTACTTTTTACCGCGGGAGATAATCTCATTCCCACGGGAAAACGCTACAATACAAATTAAAAATTATGACCAGAATTACGTGAAACTTGGTATTAATACTCTTCAATGCAATTAAACAAATACGTGTTTTAGCATTTTGCGATATTCATCCCATAAGGAGGTAAAATAGCAGATGAAAGTTTGTATAAAACCTACTTTCTTAGTTTTTCTGTAGTTATAGGGCGAGCAAAGCCGCGGGTTCTGCTAGTAATATATAATTATGTAGGTACTAAAATGTACAAAGAATTCGTTACAAACAAACTACTTACTTATTATACATATGTACATATATGCAAAAAAATTGTGTGTGTATGTTTGTTGCTAATGCACGCTCAAATGTTTGTACGGATTTAGATGCTTAGACCTCAGTACACAGATAAGTTATAAATATTTTATGCAAATAAGCATAAAGTGTTTTTTTTTCGGAATTATAAGCATAAATTATTACAAAAGGCATTTAACCATTTGGGATTTGAAATAGAATATTTAAAATTGATGATTGATGATAGTGTCTAAATTATCCTGTACCTTAAATACTGCACCTTTTGTTTAGTGAAATTGCTTCCTTATGTACTTAATGCCTGATTAACTTCTTTCTACGAAACTCCACTTACAAATTAAATTAATTAATAAATAAATTAATTAATAAATTAATAAATTCATTAATTACGCAATCCCAATAACTGCTGAAATCGGGTTATGAAATTTAGTCGAGTGGTAATTTGTGTAAGAGGGAAAAAGTGGTTCGAGCTTTTTAAAAACTTTTTTAGGCTTTTTTTATTTAATTGAAAAATGCGTAACAAGTATAACGTTAGTGATATGTTTATCTCTAAATCAATACGTATATATGTATGTCATTGAAGACGCGTATTTTTATGTAAGTACCTACTTATAATAAATTTTATCACGCAATACACAACTTTTTATAGAATATTCGAATTTTAAAAATTCATTTTTTAGATACCGCAAACATGCTTCTATTTCAAATTGCAATAAAATCTAACACCAAGGGGACTCATCCACTTAATTAAGTTACTACTAAGTAGTTTTTAGTCATAAAAATAATTAAATAAAAACTTTGTAACTCCGAAAGTAATGTAAAGACTAAAGATCTACTTAGGTTCTAACTAAATTTTAATTCGCGCCAGACAAAAATGTACTCAGTATTAATAATACATATAGTATATCAGTATCTACGGTAACTGACGAACTAACGAACTGTCTAAGTTTATTTGCAATTTTCTTGGTTTATATAGTTATTATGGACTGAAAACTTGTCTAAACTTTCAAAATTAGTATGAAATTCCCATCATTTTAGCTTTTATTTCATTTTCCATCGAATATGAAACATGTCTGTACACAAAACGCACTTTTGCATTGCTGCAATGATTACATCACAACATACGCATAACATTGCTCCTACTACCTGTTGACGAATTCGCTAACTCCTTGTCACGCAGGGTGGGGCATCATCCAAGTTTCTTAACGGTGTGCCCCCAAGGCTTGCTCATCTCCGGCTATTCATTGAGAGTAGAGAGCTCGTGCGATAGTGTTGTGTCAAAATGAGAACTCTTATAGTGTTGGCGTGTATTTGCGCCCTTGGTAAGTTTTTATACGCAGGAATAATATAATTTATTATTTTTCTATATTTTATTTCTACTACTGCTAGGTTGTACTTTATTTTTCCTTTACCTTAAGAATACAACTCCCCTTTTTAAAAAAAAAATATTTTATTAAATTACTAATAATTGAGTCCTTTGGAAATGGATGATTTTAAATATTATAAATATTTTCATAAAAGACATTCTTAACCGGGATTGCAATAAATTATACGCTATATCAGATTTATTCTACTAATATTATTATTTTAAGAATAGATTTACTAGATTAAATACAATTGCTAACAGTTGCTTTTAATTAGTAGGTTTCCGCATTATGCATTTGATTTAAACACAATAGTCTGAGAACATTTTATTCAAAACAAATAATAACAACGCAAACGTGTAATGTTTTTTATAAGGAATTTATATTAGCTCGTTAAAAATAAAATAAGATATATGAAGACAAAAAATAAAAGAAAAACTACGTGTACAACCCAAATTAGTCTACCTAAATATAATTTGAGAAGTTTCCTTGAAAATCAGGTATAAGGCTTATCTAACGTATAATTATTTAATATTCTAATAATTGAGAACCCAGATTAGAACTGGGTGAATAAAAATTGAAAAAACTGGGTGAATGAATAAAATATAAATTCACTTAAGCTGATTTTTCAATCGATCAAATTTCAATTTTTAATTTAAATAAAGAAATAATTCATTTAATTTTATGAATTACTTGTATTGTATCTTATCTTACGATCGGCCTGTAGTATAACGATTTATTTACGAATTTACGATTATGTAAATCGACATCATTTTAATAACAAATTACTTGGACATAATTAACGGCTTATGCCTTAGATGAAGTAATATAGACTAAAATGAATAAAAAGATGTCAACTCATTCCATTAACATTCAAAAGTCCAGTCAAATAAGGTCCGTAATCAAAATTTTGGCACTCAACTTTGCATTTTTGGTATAATGTACTTTTAAACACACAAATGTGTAAAGGTTTTTGTGTCTGCAACCCCCAGCAAGGGTTGAAAAAAAATTGTCAAAAGTATTTTTTCGTAATTACTCGAATACGGTAAAAATATGACCAAAAAATATAACAATATGAAATTTTCAAACTGAAATTTCGATACTAAAAATTAATGAATAATTTATTTTATGCCATATTTAAATTCCTCGTAAAATTTCTTAAACTTTACGATTGAAAAACATTTTTACCTGGTATATTTCGGCAAGTGTGAATTTATACAGGTATAATTAAAAAAATAAATTAAATTAAAAATTATATTTTTTAAGTCACGTTTATCCCTTAAACTTAAAACCTCCCTAATTCGGTTAATTTTGACTGGAGGAAAAAAAATCATGAAACCTTTTTATGTAAAATTTTAAGCTCTGCACATTTTTATGAAACGGTAAAACTTAGGTAAAAAATCTAATTTTTACCGTTTTCGACTAACAAACTACATTATATCAAAAATGCAAAGTTAAGTGCTAAAATTTTCATTTCAGACCTTATTTGACTGGACTTTACAATAAAAATGACATTAAAACTGATATAACGCAAATGAATAAATATGATTGAACTTTTAAAATAGTATAATGAAATTAAGAAAATTGTTTTAAATATTTCGTTTTTATGAAACATCATTGTTTTATTATTTTAGAAAAAATCGCTGGAATTACTATTTTATTTTAAACTAGTGATTTAATCTTGCTTCGCTCAAGTGCAACCCTAGGTACGTTTAAATAGATATGAATAGTTATTGCGAGTGTACCTTAGGAGAGAAACTTCTGCTATTGCAGATTTTTCTGCAGGCCTTATTAACCTACAATTTTCTAGATACATTATTTAGCCAGCGTTAGACATGTAAATTTCTAAGTACGGCTAGATAGAACTAGATATTGTGTTTTCCTGTGGGAATGAAAGATTTTCCGTAGTAAAAAATATACTAAATGTTGACCCGAGTTACTTATCACTACACAAAATTTATTTAAAATCGGTCCAGTACTTTTTGCGTGTAACGTTTTTGCGTTCACAGACAAAAATTTTAATAACTATTGTTTTGGGATTATATTTTGTACACAATACGTTTACCAGTCATTTTTTTTTAATATTTCATGTAAAGATTTTGCTAAGTTACTGTTTTATTATATGTATAGATACGACAAAATGTGCAACATATTTAACATTATTCATTTTCTATACATTCTGAAAAGAAAAATAAAATTTCGTAACATTTTGATGTTTTTTAAAGTTTAAGATCACGCATAACTTTTAATAAAATACCTATTGGATTATTAAGAAACCTTAACAGAGTAACATTTCGGTAATTATTACTAGGTACTGCAAAAAATTGTCTCTTTTGAATTTCAAATTAAAATCAATGCCTTTAATATTTAGCTGGAAGTAGGTAACAAGAAGTATTTAATAGTTAATCTATAGCTTCGACTATTAATTATTGTGCCAAAAATAAAAAAGTTAAAACAAAAAAATATATAAAAAAACACGATATTAGAAAAAAATATAAAATTGAGCAACCTAGAAACTCACTTACTATATTTACATTTATTTACTACTTCCAATTAAATGTGTCCTTAATATATATGGGTTAAGAAATAGATGAATAATAAACAGATATATTATCCAGGCCATAAATTTTAATCTCATACATTTTTTTTATTACAGCATATGCGCGGGAAGAATTTGTAGTAGACGATACTTCAAATTTTGAATATGACCGAAATGTAAATAGCGAATCTAACAACAATTCCAATGAAGAAGGTAGTACTGTAAGCCAAACGCTAAATGAACGTAGACAAGGACGCTACCGAGCTTTACCTAGGGAGCATAACGAAAAACCTATTCCTAAAGAAGCAATCAGTCAGATATGTAGAGAAAAGAATGAAAGATACCCCGTTCCTGGCAGCTGTGATAGATATGTCGAGTGTTTGGTATGTGATCGTTATATTTTTACATTAAAATGTGTTATATTGCATATCATTAGTTTGTGGAAAATTACCCCCAAAACATTTCCAAATCATGTTATGACATGTTTTTGCTTGTGCCAGATATGTTACGTGACATCTTTGCCAATTTTAAATCGATTATCATATATATTTTTTAATAAATAGCTTTCGTTAAAATGTAATTATAAGTGCTTAAACTGTTTATTTAATAAAAATAAAGCAGTATTTTCAGTATTGAATCAGACATCTAATAAAGTATACTTAGAAGTAGACCATTATTATGAAATCAAAAATTATTTAAATAATTAAATAATTTATAAATTATAAAATATATAGCTATAATATAAGTAGAATTTATTTATAATATATTTACAATTAATATATTATAAAAAATATCTTGTTTGCAGAACGGTACTGCGGAGGAAAAGCAATGTCCAGACGGTCTTCGCTACAATCCTAACGTTAGATTCAATGTCTACCCTTGCCAATACCCCGTAGATGTTCCATGCCTCGAACGATCTGCATTACGTAAGTTACCTATTGACTCACATTTAAAAATTTACATTAATATAAAGTAAAATCCGGTAAAGATCATGTTTAAAACATTTTTCTAAATTTTGTAAATGTATAGTAAAAATTTTGACCATTATATAATGTAAATTTAAAAAAAAATTGCGCACCTCTAGAACACAAAAGAGGCCGAGCTGTTCCATTATGCAATACTTAACAGGATTTAAAATTGAGATGAAATCTCTACACTTATTAATATTAAAATATTTCAGATTATCAACTGCCTAAATTTTTTTTATTATAATATATTCGAAAGGAATAAAGAGTAAATATTAGAATTCAGACGAAGAACTTCATAAATATGTTAATTAATTGTAATATGTAACATTGGCCTATGTCTAAGGTCAAATGTTTAAAAGACCTTAGACGCTTCTTGTCTGTTTTTTTTTATTAATGTACTCAAATCTTAAGATAGAGCAGCCTTGGCTTTTTAGAATAAATTATCAACTAATAATATATTCTAATTATACATCTTCTTACATTATAATAAATTCTGAATAATAATTTAGAATCATCACAGCTAGTAATAAATTAATTAAAAATCTCACCTTCAACTGTTTAATCGATTAACATGAAGATTTTTTTAAAAATATTGATTTAAATTTTAAAATATGTATATTATAAATACGGAAGGGTTTTTTTATCATTAATACATAATATTTCCTAAATCATTTTTTTATGTAAACCGAAATAAAAAAAAATACAAAAAATAAGAGCAAACATGTTTCATGGCTGAACCTTTTTGTTGTTTATTAGATTGACATTTTAATTGAACCTTAAGCCAGAAGACCAAAGTATTAAGATTATACAAAAATTTTATTTTCTTACAATTAACTCATCTAATATTTTCAGAACCTGCCCAACCCACAGACGATTGCCCTCATCAGTTTGGTTACTTTAAAATCGGAGACGCCCGCAATTGTAGCGGTTTCAGGAACTGCGCCCACGGAGTGGGTTTTGACTTTGTTTGTCCAGAGGGTCTTGCCTTCAGCTCTAGTACTTATCGTTGCGAATGGCCTGATGAAGTCGAAGACTGTGATGCTGAAGGTATGAAATATGTACCGATTATGTAACAAATATTGCAAATGTAAAATTTTATGAAGATATTTTCGTGTTTATGACACATCATGCGTAAATCATTAAACTTTTATAGAATATTTTCAATCTTGGTAATGAATGCCCATGGATTATTTGTTTTGTTTTAATACCATTTATACAATACTTTAGATCTCAGCTTTTTCATACATGGCGCTGTTCAAAAATGTTGCAAGAATACAAATAAAATACGCTGCGGGCATAAACTAATTACAGTTTTTGTCTCAACTTAATAAAAATATATAGAGCATTCCAGACTTACTTTAAAATCGTATTACTTAAAGATACAGATAACAAAATGCAGACGAAAAACGGGTTATGTCACTGTGACACCTTGCTGTTATGAAATCTATTATTTTAAGTAGGTACGACCGTTGTAGCCAGTAGGTAAAAATATTGTGAGATTTTACATCTTTTATTTGCAATACACGACATTGACCTTAATAAGCGATGAGTATGACAAATACGTGTATGTACGTGAATGACTACAACCCGCAGTTATGTGTACGAACAAAAATAGAACTTAGCGGGCAGGATATGGAAATTTAATAGACATTTGTTCGTCTTTCCAATATATCTGTTATACCAGAGGTCGTAGGTTCTATTCACATCGTAGTATAATCACCAGATGGACCAAAAGCTATATTATGGAAACCCATCGTTTATACATATTTATTACATCAGGTGACAGGTATAGAATTCACAAAATAGCAGGAATTTATAATTAATTGATTTTTACAATCTTCATAAAAAATCCAATGATTGATGAAAATGATATATTTATAAATGATACCTTTATAATGTAAAATATATTTATTCATTCATTTCCCCTCAATTCAATCTAAATCTCTAATTCAATCAACCTCGTATTGAAGGGAGGCCCGTGCCCAGCAGTGGGACGTTACAAAGGGCTGAATACAACACATACAACAATAATTCATTTTATACTATGAAACTAAAATATACACATTTGCTTAATTTAATTACATAACTTTTATATGTATATTACGTGAAGAAAATACATCCAATTTTATTTTGAGGCTATTCGGAAAATAACTTAAAAATAGCCCTTTCATTTTCTAATAAATAAATAGTATATTATAATAAAACTATTCCAAATTTTCAGCATTCCTTGGTTTCCGCTGTCCTGAAGTTCCCGAATCAAAAGAACTAGGACCTCCCGCTGGCTACAGGACATACAGGTATTGTATTTAATAGGTTTTAACACTTGGTACTTAAATTACTCATTTTCATCAACCAATTTTAAACAAGTTAATAAGCATTTCATCATACAAAGTCGTAATGTTTTTACCAACTATAAGAATAAAAAAAGTGTTTTGAAATAAAAAAAAACATCCGATGTACAAACAGATCAGTTTCCATGACATTTAAATGTATTAAAAAATTCAATAATTTGCATTGATAATAATCTTAAAGTTATCTCTTTGGACTAACTTGAGAATATTTAAAAGAGGTTGTGATTCAAACTTTAAATATTTTTTTATGGTTACACATAAACCTACATACAAAAGGGTTTTGCCATATTATTATAAGAACTTAGTAAGCTTTTGTCGTATACAATAGGCCATATGCATAAAGTATCTTTATTGGTATCCGTTTTAACATTTATGATATCAGCGAATAGCTTTATATATGTACTAGCAGCTCACCCTCGCTTCGCTCGGGTTCGTCGCTAGCTACGTTTTAAAAAGATATAAATAGTTATTAGCCAGCGTTAGCCATTTTTTTTCGTTAATTTTTCTGATGTTTTAATACTTATTACCCTATTTCGCACTAAGAGAAATCCAAAAAATCATATATCATAAAAATTGGTCCAGCCCTTCTTGAGTTATAAATGGTGTAACTAACACGACTTTGTTTTATATATATGTAGATATAGATTAGAAAGGCAATCATTAAAATTGATTTTACTGTATATATTTGTGTCATCTCTCTTATGATTATTTAAAAAATCCAATATCTCTAATTTGGACGTGGTTCCAAAATCTGCGTTTTACCTAAGCCACATTAACTTCCCATCAACAAATGTTAATGTAGTGACCGGCAGAAGTTATATGCAAAAAATGGTTAGTAAAGGGAAAAATTTCCAGGTCGACTAGCAATAAAATATTTCTCCAAGCCACAAAAGAAAACGATAAACTTTGTAAATGTGACTATAATAGAGAATACAGCACATTTAATTATATTACCTTATATATTTTTTCCTTTAAGGTTAAGTATGCTCAAAGTTTCCTATTTTTTCTTTATCTTTTGGTAAAAACAATTTCTGATATAGACTTACAACGTAACGTGTGTATCCTTGCCCTTATCCAATATGATCCTTGAATCGTCTCACATAAATCCAATAAGTCAGTTAACCTCGAACAAAGCTTGTAATAAATCTTAAGCATCTTCTCAACATTTAAATACATACGTCTAAAAACCATTAATGCTAATTTAGAAACATTAATTTCGTCATGTATATAAAAGATAAGCAATACTTGTATATAGCACATTTCTCAATTAATAGCATCTTTAAAATTTCTAACAAATAATAATTTATACCTACAATTATTATAATATTAGTTTTAAGAGATGGTAGGAACAGGTTACCTAATGACCGGTCAGGCGTAGAGTCGCGGCTAAATGTCAACGATGAGACCTTGGGATTATGTAATTTTATATTCACAAATACCACATAGTGTGTTAAACACAAATGCGGACATCATTCAATTGAATTGTAATAGTAATATAAAGTAAAACAAAACGGCTTAAATTGGCGGATAAAACATCTATGTTAGCTTATGCCTCTTAGCCAAATAAATAGAAGATCTAGATTTCAATCAAACTTGTTATCCATTCTTATTGGAGTCAATACCTAAGCGAATATATAATTAAATAATGAACAAGTACGGCTTCCTAATAATACAACTTATGTCATTAAATTGTAGAGATCCTGCTGAAAGTTATACCTACAATCATTATTATTCATCACATGTAGTTTTTGAGATAAAATCAAACCTGCTGTAGCATTTTTAAATAATTCGTTACTAAGTTGAATTTTTTATTATTTTAATTTCTGGCTTATCTCCATTTACATTGGTCAGTCGTTTAATATTATTTTACTTATAAATGAATAGCTAATCTGCTGTTATAAATCTCATTTTATCATTAAAAATTACTCTCGTGACTATTCTTGTTTAAGACGGAGAGATCCAAAAATTATAATAATTTCAAAAGTATATATTATAATAATGAATAAAATCATTGTTTCAGATCATCAACTGATTGCCAAATATATTTCATTTGTATTAATGGCAAACCACGTCGTCTCTCATGCGGAGGATACGCAGGTTTTGACGAGCTCACTGGATCCTGTGTTGCCGCAGATGAAATACCAGCTTGCCCTGAAGAACTACGACTAAATGCAGCTAGATCGAGAGATGCCGAAAAAGAACGCCAAACCGTTCAGAACGCTTACGAAAAATTCAAATCCGATCGCAGATTATTTAACTATTCGCCGACTACTCTACAGCCACTGTTTGGCGATATAGAAATCGGGTCTAACCCTGAACAAGATTAAATGTACATACAATGTATCTTTTTTGTAAAAAAATTTGTATATATCAATTTTTAATGTAAGCCATACTTGATCTAATCACTGTTCAATATTTTCCATTTAATCCACTTTTGTATAGAACTAATTAACTATAGTGCCATTCATCAAATAAAATATTCCTAATAAAAATGTGTTTTCATCCAGATAAAACTATATTAATGGCCTAAGCAATTTTAACCACAAAGCTGAGATATACTTTTACTATCAGTTACAGCTCGTTTAAAAAAGATTATGCCTAAAGTATAAATTCAAGATGATTCAAACATTGGTATCATTTGAACTACCTTTTCTCTTGGGTGTATCTCATACTATATACATATATAAAGATGTATTTCTTTGTATGTTTTGCTGTGTTGCTTATTTCTGTGTCCTGTAAGTATTTTTTGAGTTTAAACACAAATATATATTGTATTTTGAATAAATCCTATAAGTCTTCAAATAAACCCCATTTGATTTCCAATAGGCAATGCGCAGGTCAAAAAGGAAGAAGAGAAGAGCGCAGTTTGTGTAGTGCGGAATATGTACATAAAAGTGGACGGTCAGTGTGATGCCTATGTAGAATGTCTAGTAAGTTTATTTCAAAAATATTTCTTATAATTTATCAAAATTTACCTGCTTACCTAAAATTGTGAACGATTGTCCCTCATAGGATTATCAAGCGATGAACATGCATTGTCCGGATGGTCTTCATTACGACCCCGAAGCGAAATGGCCTGCTTATCCTTGCGGTTATCCCCAGGACGTTCAATGTGATGGACGTGGTGTGAGCCGTAAGTTAATAATTCTTAAACTTTTAATAATATAATATTTTTGTATGTAGTACCAAATTTTTATTTTTCACCAAACAGTAACTTAATACTTCGCCAATTAAAACGACAATTTACAATTCTCATTAGAACCAGCTGTGTCGAATGCTGACTGTCCCCATCAGTATGGATACTACCCGTCTCCTTTAGCATCCGCTAACGATTGTGGACACTACCGGATCTGCAATGGTGGCAAGCCCGTTGAACTGTACTGCCCGGCAGGTCTAGCCTTCAACCCCGCCACTGCCCGGTGTGACTGGGCCGACAATGTACCTTCGTGCAACGTTGATGGTAACATCTTGTAATATGATACAAAAATATATAAAAAAAAACTTCTAGCTTTTCAAATATCCATACTAATATTATAAATGTGAAAGTTTGTGTGGATATTTGTTACTCTCTTTTTTTTTAACGTTGGGAAATGCATTTACGCACGAGGTGTGGGACTCACCGGCGTAATAAAGCCAGTACTACCCACTAAAACCCAACAAAGCCTTCCCCCGTCTTAATGGGGCGTCGCAGGATCGCTTACGCATTCAACTACGACGCCCCGACGGCAGGTCTGCCGAAGCAGACCACAACAACCACGGGGTTGCTCCAACGTCCACTCTGCTATCAGAGAAGTACCAGGAGCAACCCGCATGGTACACGGCCCTCCGAAGTGGGCCACCTCCCTGTGCGTTTCTTGGCTTCGCACCCGGCTGTATTGCCGGGCACTACTGATCCCCCCCACCACGACAAGGTGAACGCACGTTGGGGGGGATTTGTTACTGTCTTACGCCAGAACGACTGAACTTCTGAATCTGGATGAAATTTGGCATAGAGATAGATTATAGTCTGGAATAGCACAAAGGTGACTTTTTATCCTAAAAAAACGTACGGGCCCCGTGGGATAGATTTGTTCTTGTCTAGGGATGAATCCGAAGCGAAGCGAGGGTGAGTCGCTAGTTGTTATAATAGACTATTTTATAATGATTTACCACAGCTTTTTGAGCAATTAAATCCGTAATATTTGATTAAATATTTAGATTCACTTAGAAGTGATTCGTTATTTTCAGAATACGTTGGTTATAAATGCCCTCCAGCAGCTCTAGACGAGGAAGGCAAGCCCATAGAGACAAACCATAAGTAAGTAGAGCTTAATAAAACATTTAAGAAAACTAATTTGGCAGTTGTCATTACTTTATAAGTAATAATTATAACTTATTACTATTTAAAATAAATAATATTGCTTTAGTTTGATTTTGTAACAAATGTATTCAGTTTCATAACTCATATAAGTATTACTGTAATGTGTTTAGGTATCTATGTAATGTTTATATAACAAATATGTTTATAAAACAAATATGACATAGTATCTTATATTTTGTACATTTCCACCTCACCAAGGGTTGTCTGTAATAAAATGCTTATAGCTATATCTAATACTCTATATGTTATAAGAGAACTTTGCACACGTTTTATAAACATCTTTTTCGTATCTTATAATTAATTCATAGTATTTCATAGTATACTTATTTTGTTTGTATTTTTAAGTTTTTAAGTACTTATTGTTTCTTTTTTTAGATATGAAACCGACTGCTATGCATTTTATTCATGTGTGAATGGTTTGGCTCGCTTACTCTCCTGCGATCCCGGATATGCCTTCAACGAGGATACTGGCCGGTGCGAGGACGCCGATAAAGTTGCCTGCACCCGTACTGCCGTTGTTCAATAAAACAAAATAATTAAAGAATAATAATTATTATCATTTTTGTATGTTTTAATAAAATATTTTTTCATTTATTTTTTTATTTCATTGGATTAATTATTTAACCTAATTTTTACTTTTATTTCAGACTATTTTAATATAGGACTAATAAATTTCTTCTTAAACTATTCTAACTTTTTTAGAAAAATGAAATTTAAAAAATATATACATGGACATGATTATAATTGTCAGCTAACTTTAATACAAACAATAGGTATTTAAGAAACTTATCATCATTATCATCATATTACACACTGTTGGACATAGGCCCAAAGATTTCTAGGCACAAGTTCAGAATTGGGGACATGGCCCCTGGCGAATGGGTGGTATTTCTGGATAAGGGACGTGATAGGGAGTCGAAATGTTAAATAAATTTTTTAATACAACAAAAGATTCAAAAGTTATTGAGACTTAAAGTTACAACATTTCCATACATTTTCATATATTTCTTTACCACCATTCGGAGTGGGTGGTATTTTTAGATAGGGGAGGTGACAGAGAGTCAAAATATATTAAAAATATTTGGAGGAAACGTACGACTAAAAAGTTATTGAGACTTAAAGTTATAACATATCTAACACATTTCCATACATTTCTTTACCTAAATAAGTGATTACAACAGATAAACATACCTTTAACGAATAGTACGCATCCTTTTTTATGTACATTACACATTTTCACAACAATTAATGCTTTATTGTATTTAATATTTTAATAATTTCACAACACAAACAAAATGATCTTACATTTTGACAAAAGCAAAACTGACACTTTGTTTTATATTACCGCTTAAATGACAACAGATTATATTTGATTATTTTTGCTTTTTCTGTTGGTAAAATATTAATATTAATAAATAAATAAATAAAAAGAAAAATATTATTTTCACTTTATAAATACATTTATGACTTTTTATTTGATTTATGTAAAATATATTGTTTTACAATTGTACATTTAGTAAAAAAAATCATTTTTTTTTATCTGTGAATATTTTTAATTATTTATTTATTATTCGTCATATCTGGGTTAGGTTAGGTTAGAACATTTAAGATTATTTATTAATTATTCGTCATATCTTGGTTAGGTTAGGTTAGAACAGTTCCCCCGCCAGAGTACCGTGGGGGACTTAGAGGGCTCCGTTACGCGATAGTTGGCGTGTACTTCTCCCCCAACCGCAGTCTGGCGGAGTTCGAGGTTTTTCTCGATTCCGTCCGCGCTGCGGTTGGTAGGTTGTCGCCGAGACCAACGGGGAACCCCACCACGGACAATCGTGGACGAGCCGTCCAGGTGTGGGGCCTACTCTCCGGGCTGTCCCTCCTCCGGCAGGTCTGCGATGCGGCCATGCCGCGAGTTAGGCGGCACGACCGGCGTCGCCGGTGTGTGTACTGGTGGTCGCCCGAAATTGCAGGACTCAGGGCGGCCAGCAGTAGGGCCAGGAGGGCATATGTCCGGGGGCGCCCTTACATCAGCGCGCGGAACAAGCTCCGCGCGCACGGCGCCCCGGTCACGGAGACCACGCCGCCCGATGTTCTCCTTCGGCTTGTGGGAGGACTGTTTCCGGAGTCGTCGGGTCACAACCCCCCAGTGATGGCTCCTCCCTCATTCCACGAGGGAGTTGAGGAAATCCCCCCGATCACTGAGGGAATTTAGCCTGGCCCTCGACAAACTACGGGCCAGGCGGAGGGCTCCGGGACGACGGTATTCCGGGGCGGATTCTAACCATCGCCCTGGAATACCTGGGAGGGGACCTTCGGGCTCTGTTCAACGCATGTCTTCGTGTTGGGCAGTTCCCGAAGGTCTGGAAGGAGGGGAGATTGTGCCTACTGCCCAAGGAGGGTCGTCCTCTGGACTCTCCTTCGGCGTACAGGCCAATCGTGATGCTGAGTGAAACGGGCAAACTCTTCGAGAGAATTCTCGCTGCCCGTATCACTCGGCATCTGGAGGAGGTGGGGCCGGGCCTTTCAGAGGCTCAGTTCGGGTTCAGGGCGGGAAGATCAACGGTGGACGCCCTGAACGCCCTGAAGGTCCGGTCCTTGGCCGCAGTGGAGGAGGGAGACGTGCTCTTAGCCGTCTCGGTGGATGTGGCCAACGCCTTCAACACCCTGCCGTTTGAGACTCTACGAGAGGCACTACGCTATCATCAGGTGCCTCTCTATCTCCGGCGGGTGTTGGACGCGTACCTCCATGACAGGCAGGTCATGTGGATGGGGGCAAATGGGGTGGCCGTTTTGGGCCCGGTACTGTGGAACCTCGGCTACGATTGGCTCCTGCGGTGTCCGCTCCTTCCCAGGCTGGGTGTCATCGCCTACGCTGATGACACCCTGGTGACGGCCCGGGGTCGTTCATATGAGGAAGCGGCACGCGCTGACACAGATGCTTACGGCACGGGTGCTTTGGTAAGTATCTGTGTCAGATTGCACGTCGGGAACCGTCGCCCGTATGCCACGAGTGTGGTGCGTCCGAGGACACCTCGCACCACACCCTCGCGGTATGCGCCGCATGGACTCCCCAGCGCCATGCCCTGATGGCGGTAGTGGGTGGAGACCTTTCGTTGCGAAGCGTGGTGGGGGCCATGCTACGCGACGCGGGGTGAAAAAAAAAAAAAAAAAAAAAAAAAAAAAAAAAAAAAAGGTTAGAACAGTTGCCACAACGCACGAGCCGAGCGAGCGAAGCGAGCGTGCCGCGGTAGCGGCCGGCGAGTGCCATAAATGACTAGAAAACTAGAAAATTCGAATTTCACGCAAAGTACAAATAAAGACAATCATCTGGAGATCATTTTGACAATTGAAAGTGACGTTTTGACTCCAAGTGTCTAAATGGTAGTAATGTCAAAATAATGTATGGAAATGTTATAACTTTAAGTCTCAATAACTTTTGACTCTTTTGTTGTATTAAAAATTTTTATTTAACATTTCGACTCTCTATCACGTCCCTTATCCAGAAATACCACCCACTCGCCAGGGGCCATGTCCCCAATTCTAAACCGCAGCCGATTTCTACAACTGCCAGTATTTGCCATCTAGCATTGCGCATCTAGTGGCTGCCAGCGACTTTGAAGTCATAGGTCCACCTTGTGGGAAGCCTGCCCCAGTGCCCACGCTTCGGCTTTGGTACGCGACCGCCACTTGAGAACTATTCGTCCTCAACGAACGTCCGTTCTGCGAGCGATTTTCCTCGCCCACTGCCACTTAAATATAGCTAAAATATTAACTCGAGAACGGAATAATTAAAATTAATATATATATATTTCTTCTGTACTATTTTGTAAAAAGTTTTATGTAAGAAAACACTTGAATCGACCATACTTCATACAACTGTGGTTAACGCTGTTTAGTACTGTCTGTGATAGAGCGCACAGTAGCAGCGGTATGCGGAAAATGATCAAAACTATTAAAAAAACATAAATATTATTCATTAAGTAACAATTATTTAAATAGCTTTATTATTATTGCCAAATAGCATTTTAAAGTATGCCTAATTAATTGATAAAACTTGAACGATTGTTAATTTCATTCTGAAGGTGAAAATCTATACATATAATAAAATTGTAACTAAGCCGAATCTGTACATAAAATATTTTTTGGAAAATCTTATTGAAATAAACATTATTATCGAAACACAGTTTTTAGAATTTTTGTCTGTCTGTTTGTTTGTTACCGCATCACAGAAAAACCACTGGAGCGATATTGATGAAATTTGGTATGGTAATAGCTGGTTATCCGGGTCAACATATAGAATACTTTTTACCGCGGAAAAATGTCTCATTTCTGAGAAAAAATACAAAAACTGCAATGTAAGAGTATACTAATATGTAAAACCTAAGAATTTGGTTTTTGGTCATCTGAACGCGGACGGAGCCGCGGGCAATGCTAGTCGTTAATAATTATTGATATTAAATATATACTTTGTTATGGGTTCACTAATATTAATGAAAGATTATATGAGTTTGTAAAATTTAATAATAGCCTAATAATAATTAATACGGGTCATTAGCGTAATAATTTGCAAGAAAGATTATTCACAATCACGCCCTTTAGACGACATGTAAATGTAATTAAATTAAAAAAACATTATATTTATTCAAATAAATGAATAGAGATTATTTATAGACGTTTATACGTTCGATTCTCATTCATATAAATTTCTATATACATAGGTTGTTCATTACATTAGCGGCTCCAGCAGTTGCAACAACAGAGTGGAAAATTCTTAAGATTATGTCTTCTTCATTAGAGTGATACGTAACCTACTGACATTTTGCATAGAGAGGTTACGGACTGGACATTGACATAGGCTATTTTTTGTGACTTATACCGAGTGTTTCTCTTGAAATATTAATACTTTAGAATATCTTATTATATTATATATTACTCATATTAAAATAATTAATTGAAAGTTCATAAGAATTTTAATAAACAAACATTTTAGGGTATTTCAAGTATAAACAAGTACGCAGTTACAGCTTATATCAATTTATGCTCTTTAGGCTTAAAGACATTTTTTACTAAATACGTTGTTCGATTTAACATTAAAAATCTACTCATTAGAAAAGAATTACGAAGAGCTAAAAAAATATAAGCAATCGAAGCGGTCTGAGTTCGAAGCGTTTCTAAGTTCGGTTATTAAGAACCATTGTATGGAATCACACGTATTATTCACTAACAAATTTTGTTACTCCGTGCGTTATTACGAAACATACACATCTGACAGCCATAAACATTTGCAAGACTATTTGTCACCGAAAAGCCTTCTTATGCAACATGTAATACAATACATCAACAACAAAGTTACAAAAAAGTTATGTAATAAATTTAAAATTTTAATTTATATCTTTATTATTTTAATTTATAGAGAGATTTTACACAGAAGTCTATTAAAATAGTCACTTATCTGAATAAGAAAAGCAAAATAAATGCTTTATAAATTACTATATCCTACTCCTTTTTTTTTTAACGTTGGGAAATGCATTTACGCACAGGGTGTGGTACTCACCGGCAAAGCCAGTTGTACCCACTGAACCCCAACAAAACATTCCCCTGTCTTAATGGGGCGTCGCAGGATCCCTTGCGCATTCAACTACGACACCCCGACGGCAGGTCTGCCGAAGCAGACCACAACAACGACCCCATGGTTGCTCCAAGGTCCACTCTGCTATCAGAGAAGTACCAGGAGCAACCCGCATGGTACACCGCCCACCGAAGAGGCCCACCTCCCACCGCCCACCGAAGTGGGCCATCTGCCAGTGCGTTTCGCTTTGCGTTCAGTAGTACCCGGCAAGCCAGCCGGGCCAGAATACGCAATGGTAGCCTAGAAGTAACGCGCTCGCTTGGGAAACCAGTGAACTTGTGAAGCGGGTTCAAATCCTGGGTCTGGCACCTCTGATATTTTCATGTGCAAATCATTTCCAACATGATTACCACTTGTCTTACGGTAAAGAAAAACATCGTGTGGCAACCTGCATGTCTGAAAAAACCTAGCAAGTTTTCGAAAGATATGTGAAGTTGGACGTGTCAGTCAGAGTCAGCAGTGGGACGTCGAGAAAAGGAAAGGGCTGAATACAAGGGTTTACTTGAACGGTTCTAGACAAAATTCGTTTTATATGGGAGCCACTGTTACCTTTTGTTTAGTCTACTAGATCTCTAAATCTGGAAGCAAAAAAATTGTAAGGACCAAAATTAGTCCTACTAAAGACCAAACATATTGTATTAACCGGAAAAGATATTGCATATTTTGGAAGATAAAGCTCTAAAGTTTTAAGCAATCAAGGTTTTTACATACTGATATAATTTATTCCTTTAAAATCAATATAATTTCTAGATAATATATTTGAGAGACTGTAATTCAAAATCTCTGCTTTACAACTTTCACGACAACGCGACGCTTAAAACAAATGTATAGAACAAAAATATTATATTTAAAACTAGTATTTAATGACAAAAATTTCATTTATAGAATAATTACGTATATTGCACACAATAGATCAATAGTTACCGCTAATTATTTAATATTCGGTTAGATTCATTAGTTCTTTGAGTATAAAGTGTTCAAGTAACATAGTGTAAGTACCATTCAAAGTGAAGTTTCCACACAAGGAACAACTAGAGTATATAATAAAAAATGTTATTTTTCGTTATTTTCGCCGCTGCCTTAGTGGCCATGTGTAAGTATTTTTATTTTAAAAATTACTCGCTATCAGAGTTAACTCCATCCATATAATAATATGGAAATTAAATTTATATTTCAATGATAACATGAGGTTTCACTGTTTTTAGGCAAAGGAGAGGGAGTAGACTCAACTCCGGTCTGTCCACGTCGGAACGCATACTTGGCAATAGACGGGAACTGCGATTCTTACATTCAGTGCAGAGTAAGGATCTACTATCTCTATACATACATTTCATCCATTCCCATGAAATAAAATAAAAATCTTGCATTATCATAATTTGAAATCATAATAACAATTCTATTAAAATTTTAGGAAAATGAACCATCTAACATGATCTGTCCTGATGGTCTCAATTTCAACCCTGCTGCTGTATTCCCCGAGTATCCCTGCAGCTACCCAATGGACGTACCATGCAATGGAAGAACCCGCGCACGTAAGTATCACTAACAGTTAAACGTCCAATCCTCTCTGTAGATTTTTCCAAATATTTACAAGATGATACTAAACCTAATATTATGATAAGTTTATGATTATAATTTCTTCAGAGCCACCACAGCCAACTGCCAATTGTCCACATCAGTACGGATACTTCCCATCTCCAGTGAAGTCAGAAGATTGTAGCCAATATATAATGTGCATCGATGGAATCGCTGTTAACATGAACTGCCCTACTGGACTTGCCTTCAACCCTGATGTTGCTCAGTGCGACTGGCCCGAACACATCCCAGGCTGTAACGCTAACGGTTATATTTTTATTATATTTTCTTATTTTCAAAAATATGTAATACTGTGTATTTTCAAAATTCATTCCTCTTAAAGATATAAAAATGCTTACAAAAAGCTCTATGAACTAACGACTAACTATAAAAAAGTAATTGATAATATAAAACATTTAGAAATATGTATGTAGTGGCATAACTTACGTTCCATTATTGTGATCGTTGTTTAACCATAAAATATTCATTGCAGCATACCTCGGCTTTACCTGCCCTCCACCTTCTAAGGACGAAAGCGGCAACTCAATTGTGACTAACCACAGGTAAATTTTTATATCATTTTTAATTAAATTGGAATGAATTTACCATATTGATTTTATTCACATTAAAAGGGCAAATTTTTCTGATTATAAAAGCATGTTCCAACAGACTCTACTATTCAATTTATGAATCATTATGAATTATGATAACATTATTTAGGTAGTATGGGACAATAAGCAAAGTATTGCCTATTGTGTTTAACCAAGTCAAACCAAAATATATTGTCTGAGTTGTAAAGTCTTTTTCTCCTCTATAATAAATTGTGCCTAATTGACACGCCAAAAGGTATTAACAAGAAAATGGAATTCAGAAATAAAGTCACTTTACTTGATTTTATTTTACAGATACGAGGGCGACTGCTACGCTTTCTTCTCTTGTACGGACGGTAAAGCGCACCTTTTGTCCTGTGACATGGGACTCGCCTTCGATGCTGTATCCGGTCATTGCGTGGACGCTGATCTCGTTGCGTGTCCTGTCAACGATGTTCCTGTAGAGATTTAATGTTAATGTAGAAAATTTATAATGTTTTATAATAAATATTTTATTAAGAAGCCTTTCTTTACATGGATTTCTTTAATGTATATCTAAAACAGTAATAACATAAAAATATTTGAAGTAGTCATATTGGTTATTATTTGACCCAAAAATTAAAATTAATTTATCTTTATTACTTACTAGCGACTCACTCTCGTTTCGCTTGGGTTCGTCCCTAGGTTGGTTCCTCATACAAACTTACATCCCCATTTTCATCCCCTTTAAGGATGAATTCCCGAATAAAGAATATCCTATATCCTTCCCAGGGTCTCAAACTATCTTCTTACCAAATTTCATTGGTTCAGTAGATCCAGAGATTACTCCCTACAACCTCACAAATTCACAAACTTTACTTTTTTATAAAATAGTATAGATTAATCACTTGAAAGTCTAAAGAAAAGATTTTTATTGTATAGTTCGTTTGAAATTGAGACTAAAGGAACGATTACGTAGTATACTATAATAATAATGTCCTCCAGATTTTAGTCACGGCGACCATTTCTATTGACACTAACCATCTGCGCAGAAGATAGAGTGCACATGCAGTGCCCGCGCAGGCACGAGTGCACTTTTTTATTCCTGTCACCTTCATACTCCGGTGGGACGCCTACTCGACACAATCAATGAGAGTTAAGGCGCAGGACCGACGGCTTTACGTGCTCTCCGAGGCACGGGAGTGATAGAATTTCTTAATAGAAATACTCAATGACCCGACCCGGGACTCGAGCCGAGGACCTCCGGATCTGCGGCCGTACATGCAGCTTCTAAACCACCAAGGCAATTTATATATTATAATATAATTTTTGCCAAAATCTCTATTGAAAACTATAATATCTATTAGATGCTTTACATCAGTTCAAGTTGGAATCAATAATTATTGTAACTAAAAAAACATTGAGCAGTCTATTTATTTACAGTAGTCAGTACTCTACATATGTACATACTCGTGCTAGTGATATATATTTACTCCCGATGTGATAAATATGTGAATTTTTATTTTACTAGCAGAACCTACGGCTTTGCTCGCGCTAAAACTACAAAAAATCTCTAAAAAGTTAGTTTCATACAAACTTTCATCCTCTATTTTACCCCCTTATGAAATGAATTTCGAAAAATGCTAAAACACGTATTTATTTAATTTTATTGATGTGAATTAACACCAAGTTTCAAGTAATTCTGATCATAAATATTTTTGGGATTGTATTATAACATGTTTTCTCGTGGGAATTAGAAAACTTCCCGCGGTAAAAAGTAGCTTATGTCACTCTCTTCAACTGGTAAGTAGCTTATGACAATCTCCACACAAAAAATCACGCCAATACATCACTCTCGTTTTTACGTGAAAGAAAGACAAACAAACAAACAAACAAACAAACAGACAAACAAACAAACAAACAAACAAACAAACAAACAAACAAACAAACAAACAAACAAACAAACAAACAAACACACTTTCACATTTATAATATTAGTATGGATACATGTTATAATTATTATTATAATTTATATGTAGGAAAATAATGAAATATAAACTTTGATTATGTACCAAAAATTTAAAAATTAAACTCTCCAACCCGTAATGTCCAAGTTCAAAGGGCGCTTGTACTCTTAGTTATTGAAGTGTCCAGACTATACATGTTTAGGCTCTATCATCAGATCAATTTAATGATACATTATTATTTATAGTCATTGGGAACACATACATTTCAAAAAGTTTAATGTTACGACATACGACAACTCCAGCTAGTTTAAAAAAAAACACAGGACTCGATAAAAACCTCAAATCCAAAAATGGCCTAAACAAATATTTTAAACCACCTGGAATATATCTAAATTTAGTATACAATTTAAACTAGCCAGACTGGTCAAGTCGTCTCTGAAAAATCAATATAAAAGCGTCAAACATATTAAGCTCCTCCTTTTTTCAAATCGAATAATAATTCAATATCGAAATCGAATAATAAAAACATTGGACATTAAGTTCATTTTTCTATTCTTTATTATTAACTTTAGACTACTCTTTTGATATACTTAAACAATATACTGTACCCATAGCTGTACATAGATTTCATATTTTATAGTAGTAATGTGTCAAAACATCCATCCAGTAAAATCCAGTAAATCCGAAAGTAGCGTCCCGTTCTTCACGCTCCTACATAAAATATAGACCCTGAGAAATGGTGGTAGACTCAGCAGACAGAATTTTTTATTAGGTTAGAATGCGAATGCCACAGAGTCCGTGCCTTTTTAGAAGGCCCTTTTTATATTAGCTTTCTTACTAACTTTTAAGAATTTAAGTATTTAAGCACTATGAGCATAAAGCGCTAGAAGCTTATTACCCATATAAATACTATTATTTCATTAAGGAATAATAGTCAAGGCAATGGTAGCCAAGTGGTAACGCGCTTGCTTGGGACACCATGTGAAGCAAATCAAAAATCCAGGGCCTAGCACCTGTGATATTTTCATATGCAAATCATTTCTAACATGATTACCACTTATCTTACGGTGAAATAAAACATCGTGAGAATATCTGCATGTCTGAGAGAACCTATCAAGTTTTCGAAAGTCCCTACTTACCGTTATATCTGATTAGTCTATCATTTATTTATTCTCAAATGCAATTCATACACATAAGTTATAATGCTAATTATATTATAATTAACTAAAGTACCTAATTAAAAGCTTTGTAACTTGAAATTTCATTACAAGTTTTAGATTTTTAGCACCATCAAAACATTTTATAATTTTGAGAAACATCTTTGATATTTTTTTTCGAAAAACTACATTATTTTATTCGTTTAAATAATTAATAATAAAATAAAAGCAAGTTATTGGGTTTAGAAATCCATTACGAACTGTAAAATCATATATTTCACTAAACTTGTTCGATATTACCATCTAATGAATAGAATTTTGCGGCAAGCCACATTACGTTATGCGAGTTATTAGTAGTCGTTATAGTTATTGTAAAGTCGATTTGTTGATGATGAACAATATTAAATCTTGTCATTTATCTAAAAATATGATAAGAAACTGTATAAAATAAGTATTTTGTATATTTATTATTACTTCAGCTAAGAGCGTTGGTCAGTCGTCAAAGGATTGAAGCAATAATAATGTTAGGCACAAAATTATTACTAATACTTGCGCCAATATTATTGGGTAAGTAAAACTTTACCTATGATTAGTGCTAAGAACATTTTATTATTAATTTTCAATTATTATTTATTTTTTATTTGTAGTGGAAGCTCAAAACAGCTTACCGCGGGCGTCGAATGGATTTTCACGTAGATTACCATTACGCAGACCATTCATACGACCAAGACCCGTTGTTACATCAATTCCAAATGTTCCAATAACAACAGAAAAAATTGAAATTACCACGGTGCCACAACCTCCCATAACACATCCGATAGAAGAAAATAATATAGTACATGATCGCACGGTTATTGTTCCTCCTCAATCTACTGAGCTAACTATTATATATCCAGAAAATTATAAGCCAGCCACCTCTTCGCAACCATCTTCAAGACTGAGAATGCCAGTTAGACTAACATCATTTCAACTAAGACCAGCTGATTCCAATTACGTAGCCCCAACAACAGTGCCACCAACTCCGCCTACTCCATCGCATTTCAATTTTAGGCCTCGTTTATACGTTACCTCACAACCTGCAGTTATACCTGAATCGGTTAAACCAGTTGATATAGTTGCCCCAACCGAATCAATCCTTTCACAATCCACTGAAAAACTGCCCGAATTTTTGGCGTTTGAATCTAATGAACCTGTTAACAAGCCTGTGCCTGCATCAATAGAACCAGCCGCTGAACCAACAAAGTATATTATTAAACCATCAGAGACTGAACCAATAGAGCCTGCTCCTAAACCACTAGAGCCCGTTCCTGAACCGTCTGTGACTGTTCCTGAACCAATAAAGTCTGTTCCTGGACCAATAGAGTCTATTCCTGAACCAATACAGTCTGTTCCTAAGCCCATAGAGTCTGTTCCTGAACCAGTAGAGTCTGTACCTGAACCTGTTCCTGAACTGGTTCCTACATCTGTTCCATCCTTGGAAACATTTGAACCGCCCACGCCTTCAATCAGTATGCCTTTAAATTCGCATCCTATCATAACTGAAGAACCAGCCCCTCCTGCAACTACTCAACAACCTGCTATAATTCTACCTCCAGCATCCACTACAGTAAAACCCATTGAAAATAGACAGCCTGAAATTATCCCTACAAGGCCACCAACAATTATAAAACCCGTTTCTGTGGCTCCAAGTGAAATTCCAAAAGAGATCTCGCCCGTGGATGATAGCATCAAGCCTTTTATGGATGACGTTAACCCTCCTGTCTCAGAATCAGGACCCGTTATTATTGTTGAAAATAATAATAAACCTAACATAAACTGGTATCCAGCGAAACAAAAACCCAAACCAACATTAGCTGTTCCTTCTGCAACTGAAATTTATTCCTATAAACCAACGGCTGCTACCAACAAACCAATAGTGCGACCTGTTTCCACTGCTAAGCCCTGGTCTCAACCTTCCGTAGATCTATACTCATATGTTAACCGACTCCACAATTACAGTTGCAGAAGTAGCGATGGATACGAATCAGTCTTAAATCAATGTGACGCCTATGTTGAATGCAAGGTAAAACATGATTGTTATTTTTAAAATATATATTAGTATCATTTTCATACTTATATATTCACATTAATTGAACATTAAATTCATTGCAGCAAAATATGGCATTCCACAATATATGCCCTGATGGACTTCATTTTAACCCTGCCGCGAAATGGCCAGAATATCCCTGTGGATATCCTTCAGAAGTTAAATGTGAAAGCCAAGCTGTAATACGTATGTATTTTGTAAATTGTATTACTTATATTATACTATTATATTCGGGTAAACGGGTTTTGTTAACCATTTCATGGGTTTTAATTTTTTTGCGCGGAACCCTAATTCTTATTCTAAAATAAAAGTAGCCTAAGTTACTCCTAAGAACATCAGCTATCTAACAGTGAAAGTCTCATCAAAATCGGTCAAGCTATTTCGGAGATAAGCTGGAACAAACAGACAGACAAAGGGAATTTTACAAAATTACCTATTTTTATGTATTATAAGTAGGTATTTAGTAAAAAGCTGTTATTTTGACATTAAGTACATATAAAAACACCAATTTTATTTATTTGTATAAATTGAAAGTCAATTTAACTTTTTAATTACATTTAACTATATTTTACAGAGAAACCACGGCCAATTGGACAGTGTCCTCATCGCTATGGCTTCTACCCCATCCCGGATGGTGACTGTGGACAATATATAATGTGCCAAGAGGGTTCAGCTACAATAATGTCTTGTCCACCAGGCCTCGCTTTTAGCTCAATAACGAATAGTTGCGATTGGCCGGCGAATGTACCGGGCTGCAATCCTAATAGTATGTACCTCTATATCAAAGTAAACCATCTCTATAATAATATAGTTTCTTTAAAAATAAATGTTGATAAATTTATTATTTACAGTATTTCAAGGATTCACTTGTCCAGCCCCAACACTGGACAAATATGGCAAACAAATCAATAACAACTCCAAGTACAGGTAAAACGATATTAAAATTAGTATTTGTACCTACCAATATATTTCGTGTCTTCTCCATTCTTCGTGATATTGGCTAATTAATCTGTGCTCAACTGTCAATTGAGACGCGTTTGAGCCATTAACAAGAAAGTTGAATTGAATTAAATTAGAATTAACATCTAGTACTCTGACCTCTAATTGTTTATCAATACTTATCGGTTTAGAGGATGTATTTTAAATATATAATATATATTTTCCAGATATAAAAACAGCTGCAATCAATACATCGCTTGCTACAAAGGAAAGCCACGTCTCCTCAGCTGTGACGTTGGCACGTCCTTTGACGCAAGATCCGGAACCTGTATCGACACAGACCAAGTCGTGGATTGTCAACACTAAGAAAAATATCTTATTAATTATGTTAACTCAAAAATTTATTAACACTAAATTATTTATGGGTGATTTTGTAAAAACCAAAATCTGTCAAATTGGAATTCTAAACATACTTCTCTACAGAGGAACATTTTCATGTCATACACATTATTCTCATTATCTTAATATTTTTAATTTTTAAATGTTTACGTTAGTATTCAACTTTATTAAATACAGAATAAAACATTTAATTAATTTTAATTGATATAGTTCGAAACTCCTTAAATATCGGGTCAACCTATTTCCAATATAATAAATAAAATATTAAAAAAAGAGTGTATGTAATAATAATGTCCTGACCAATTTCGGCCACGGCGGCTAATCTCACTGAGACTAGCCAGATGCGGATGCCAGGGAAATAATATTATAATACACAAATGTTTACTAATAGTGCACTCTTTATTTCTTTTTACTCTCAAACTCCGATGGGACGATACTTTGACACGACGGACCGACGGCTTTACGTGATCTCCGAGGCACGGGGGTGATACACCGCCAACTTCCCAACTCCGGGCTGTTACTAGGAATATTTAACAGAAAAACTCAGTAATTAAACTTGACCCAACCCGGGACTCGAACTCAGGACCTCCATATCTGTTGCTATACAAGCTAGGCACTAGACCACCGATGCAGTTAAAAGTGTGCGTGTACTGAAGTAGGCACATAAGAAGTTATACTTCTTTGTATTTTAGAGCATTTAAATAAAAGCTTGTTTTTATTTGTTTTATTTGTTTGAAGTATACGAATAACTAAAAAATAAAAATAAAAAAACAATTGTTAAAAAACATTTTCAAATCTAGCTTACATTTAAATACTCTAAGAAGAAGAAAATAAACTTTAAATTAAATCAAACCCATCAATTTATTATACTACACAATTTATATGATATAATAGCTTGTCGCGAGATTTACCTGTGTAGAATGTAGATAAACAAGAAACAATATATTAAAAAATAATGTTTTTAATAAAATACCGCAATAAATATCCTAAATATAGTGATCACTTCGTGTTATACTAAAGAGAGATTTAACGACATATTAGTTATTTCATACTGTAGTCTAAATCTGTCCCATCGTAAAAAAATCACTCTCATTAATTTTTCAATTTTCATAACGCGGCAAAAGTAGTATACCTTCAATATAATATTCTTGCTGTATTGTAAAAATAGTATTAAAATGAACCAAAATTTTAACAACCCTAAACATAAATCACCCGTACATTAAATCATTTTTTTTAATTTTTTGGTTTAAAAAAAGTTTTGATTGACTAATCAAAACTGACTGAGGCTTCCCACCACATTCTGGTATTGCTTTAAACTATTGACAATTTAATTATGGTAATTACAATTTCCCTGAATGTGCTTAAGGAAATTATAATCTACCTAAAGATGTCCAGATGTGAAAGAAAAGAAGACAATTGACAATACTCCGGGTGATTATAATTTCGCTAGGGTAAGTATAATTTCACTAGTAAAATTATAATTCAACGGATCTTACAATTTCTCTGCAACAGATAAACTCATATAATATTATAAAGTTGAAAAGTCTGTTAGTTTTTATTCTGTGTCTGTTAGTTCTAATTTCTGGAAATACAATGTTTTATCAAATAGACTTGTAATACGTCCATTTGAAAAATCCTTTTTGAGTTATATCGCCGATTTATTATTGAGGAAAGTTAAACTACTAATATATTTTTGTATATAATCATTTTTGCATGACTGATACAAGAAATGTAGGTTATCTAGAAACTCCGCCTAATAAAAGAGACGGGATTTTTTATTTAATTTTAAGAAAAAATTTGCTGATTAGTTACGATCTTTAGGAGATATTCATAAAACATTTTTACATTTTACTTAAAATTTGATTAATTTAAAAAAATATACGCGTAATGGAATGGACTTATGGATTTCTTTGATATAGATTTTTTAAGATCATTTCATCATAAACAATGTATATTTTTTTTAAGATTATAAAGTATCTATTTTAGTAAAATAATTATTCCTTAATTTACATTATTATTAGCAATAACACAAAATATCAAAAATAAATATTATATAAAATTCTTTGTAATGTGGCAATAATTTCAAGGAGAATTTCACGTGTAGCAACTATATTTTGAGATAGCCAGTGTTTCATTGGTCAATATTATTAAGATTTTCGTAATAATACTTCTGACCAATCAAAACAATTCTGATATTTATTTCCATTATAATAATGCATTAATAGCCAATAAGAGAAGGTTAAACTAAAATAAGCACAGCAGAAGTAGAAAACCTTGTTTTTTTCTGCGAAAGTAGCGCGGTTTAATTACAACTTTAAATTTAAATTTGAAATTTTATAAAGATTTTAACACTAACCTTTCGAAACATTTTCACTTAAAAATTATTACTCTAATTATGACGAAAAAAGAATCTCCAAGCTTATTACCATTTAGTGAATGTTTAATATTAAAGATAGTAGGGGCGGCGGGACGTTCCTCTAGCGCAGCCCTGCTGCGGAACATCGGCCCAGTTGACTCGGATCGAACGATTGCGTAGTCGCGACTTGGGGCCGTAGCCTCCGACTTTCGAGGCTATTGTTCAACACTGACATGGCGTTCCAATGATATTTTAAAGATTGAAACAAAAAAAGACGATCGAATTAATAGTGTCGACAAAACTAAAGTCAATGGGACAATTTATGTTAATTATATTTTGTGCTCAAAATGGATGATTCCTTTATAATTGCAAATTTTCACGCACTATGTCGTCTTTGCCTAAACAAAAGTGGACTTACCGTATCAATTTACGGAACCTCTCCTGATGATGATGCAAATTTGTCTCTAACCTCGAAAATCGCTGAATGTTTTGAACTACAGGTACAAATTACAATCGCTACATATAATTATTTACGACGTTGTTATCTTGCGAATAGTAACTACTATTTATTGATTTCTTGCGTTTTACAGATGGATCCAAATGACGGGCTTCCTGCCAGGATTTGCTACAAATGCTTATTTAAAGTAAATAAATGTTCAAAATTCAGATCGCAATGCATTCAAAGTGAAGCTAGATTACGACAAATAACTAATCGTGCTCATGAACTGGACAATTCAAATTCATTAGAAGTAGGTAGTTTTAATTATAATAATACTCAGGAAACTCAGAAACCAAAGCCAGAAGATTATATTGTTGAAGATAGTGTGGTGATGGTTGTAGACCCTAGTCTCGATTATGACTCCTCTGAAGAATCTGAAAATGTTGATCAAGTTGACACACCTGAACAGGATAATGCCCCTGAAGGAGAAACAACTTCGGAGTCATTTTATAAGAATGTTTTCATGTGCCAATATTGTGACCAAGCATTTGTGTCTCAAGAAAAATGTAAAGAACATGAACAAGGATTCCATGATCCAAATTTACCATATAAATGTGTAGAGTGCAGCTTAGTTTTTGCAGAGAGAAGTCAATATGTTGCACATACAAAACAAGTGCATGGCAGTGATAAACCCTACCACTGTCCAGAATGTGATAAATGTTTTGGACGAAGATCTGATTTAAGGAAGCATTCTATTGTTCACACAGGTATAAGACCATTCCAATGTCAATACTGCCTAAAAAGTTTCTCCAGAAATACAAATTTAAGTAAGCATTTACGAATTCATGCTGGCCACAAACCTCATGTATGCCCATTGTGCCCTCGAAGTTTTGTAGCAAAAGGAGACCTACAGCGTCATGTCCTAGTTCACTCTGGTATGAAACCGTATGCATGTCGTAAGTGTCCTCTTACATTTGGACGACGAGACAAGCTTCTCAAACATGAAGTTAGACATGGACCCGTAAGTCCAGAACATAAAGAATATGAAAATGACCAAAATACACATGACATGGTGGTGAATGTTAACCCATTCAGTAATTTAATGACATCACCAACTCAACTTAATCCTGGTAATACAACTCAACCTAGTGATTATGAATTACCAAGAGTTCCAGATCATATCGCTGGTGAAGGAAGCTTCTTGAGCCAAATGCAAAAAACTCCATCTACCTCAGGTAAACAATTACAAACTTCTCCACCAAAAACAAAAATGCCAGTATCGAACAAAAATAAGCCTAAAAATATTAAATGTCATCAATGTCCAAAGAGATTCTCTTCCTTGGATGCATACAAAACGCATGTTTCTATAGCTCACATTGGTTCAAGAGTATTCCAATGTAAAATTTGTTTTAAAAAATTCCCACGAAAAAGAGAGTTGGATCGTCATGTTTCAATTCATTCTGGGATGAAGCCGTTTAGCTGTAATCAGTGTGATAAGAAATTTACAAGAAAAGATAAACTTGACAAACATGAACAAACTCATGAGTGTTTGGTTGTGAATATGCCTTGTATAGAGTGTGGAGCCACTTTTGTAAAGAAGCCAGACTTAGTGGCACATATCAAATCTCATTTCACTGATAACTTTGATGAAAAAATTCCTGAAACTGAAATCAAAAAGGAGAATGAGCCAGAGTTTCCTATAGATGAAAACTTTTATGACTTAGAGACCTGAGATTCAAGACTTCGCATGAATAAAATGTCATAGAAATAAATATAGATCAGCATTACATTATATTCAAAAATATTAATTTTAGTATGTAACTTGTTAAACTTAGATCAGTATTTTTAATAAACCTTATTGCTTAAAAATCTATATTTTCAAATTTAACATAGTTTGTACTTGTAGATTTTTTGTTTCTATAAATTAAAAGTAGCCATAAGAATTACCACCTGTTCACTAATTAATAATTTAATAAGAAAAATAGTCATCTAATTTAAATGTATGTAAAAATATTATGTAAATTTTAACATAAATATCAGATATCTCAAAAATTTTAATAATTTATCAGTAGAGCACTGATTCCTTTTTAATTTATGCACAAAAATATTTTAAATCTCCAACAGACTAATAAGTGTAAGCTTATCATGATATTTAATAGAGATGTAATTGTTACCAGTTGTTTTTATAATTATGTATATATCAAAAAATGTGGAAAATTGTGGACAAATAAAACAAGAAATATTAACTTTGTTTTTTATTAAAACTATCCAGCTAATGGATTAGCATGTATAGTCACAGAAGTAATTCTTGCTTCTGTTAAGGGCTTAAAAGTTTTAGGGTTCACTTGCATTTTTTCTAAGTCATCCAGTGCTTCAAAACCATCAATAATTCTGAAAATTATTATTTTTGTTAAAATGAAGACACAAAAATTGCAAAATCTCTACTTTGAAGAACACTACAGTTATAAAATATTGTCATAATTTAAAACTAATCAATGACACATGTCCAAATTAATCAATTTAAACAAATCTTTCAAAAATATGAGCTTCATCGATTTACACAACTACTATGAAAAAAGCAAGATTAGCAACCTTTTCTTTTGCAGTATTCTGTTTACTTATTATTTACCTATGATCTAATGACTTATGATTATACATTTTACAACTGCAGATAAAGTCTAGGTAAATATTGCAATTAATATGTTGACAAAAATTGATTTTTTCTATCAGCGCATAACATTGTTTTTACAAAATTATAAACAAGAAAAAAACTAAATGAAAACATAGAACTTACCTTCCAAAAAGTGTGTATTTGAGATCTAAATGTTGCTGTTCTCCGTATGTGAAAAAAAACTGGCTTCCATTTGTATTAGGTCCATTATTGGCCATGCTCACCATTCCTCTTGCATTATGCTAAAACAATATGACAATATTTCTTACAAAACACAAAGTAAAACTTATAGGTAATTCATGCTGATGTAATATTTAACCATTTTATGCAACATTTCAAAACTAGTATAGTTTGATACACAAAATGACTCAATCATGCATTTAGAAATTTAAAACTTTAAACCTTTAGTTCCTCTTTAAATTCGTCTTCAAATTTTTTTCCCCATATAGATGTTCCTCCTTTGCCTGTGCCTGTTGGGTCACCTGTTTGTACTATAAATCCCTAAAATGTATTTTTTAATTAATATTTAATACACACAATGTTTCGGATTGAAATTATATATTAGGTGTTCAATTTTATTAATTGTATTTAGAGATATAGTTTTACATACCTTTATGTTTCTGTGAAATAAACATCCATTATAGTAATCGCTGGCGCATAATGCTAAAAAATTCTCACAAGCCTTAGGACATTGTTCACAAAACAATTCAATTTTTATATCTCCAACATCAGTATGTAAAGTGACCGACATTGTACATACTTATAATAAAATATAGTTTTCAATTAACACTTTGTTGACAAAGACAAGTTTTTACGTGCGCGGCAATCAGAATTCAGAATTCGACGAATTTCAAAAACACTTCAAAATAAATTTTAATATGTCAATTTGACATTGACAATTGAAGGTTAACAATGGATGTACAGTGCTACAAGGATCTTTTGGCACTTACATGACAGTGACATGAGGGCGTTGGTGTGAAATTAGGGTTACAAGCTAATAAAATCCACTTAGTTTTAGGGAATTCTTTTAAAAACTCTATCTTTATATTCCGTAATTCAATTTAACTTAGGAAATGAAAAAAATAAAATTAAAAGTGAATGAAATTTAATTACTTAATATACAAATTATTTAATTAATATAAATAAATAAAACATTAAATTTTTTTGCTGTAACTATGTTCTGCATGAACTATGTCAAGAGGTTGCATACTACTAAAGCTTTCCTCATCTTCATCGTGAGAATCATCATCGTCACTGCTTTCTTCACTCTCAGAGCATAATTGTATGAAAAAAGGTTCGTCCAAATATCCATGTTTTTTTTGATACTCTTTTTCTATTTTCTTGACATGGGCGCAATGATTGCGCCATTCATCGACAAGAATGGAATCAAAAGCATTCTGTACCATTTCTGGCATTTGATTGGATGGCTTTCCAATATTTATCTCGGCTACTTTTCGTTTCATGGATGCCTAGACCATTTCAATGGGATTAAGATCACAATGATAAGGTGGTAAAAGCAATATCTGAGAAAAAAAGAAGCAAAATTAAATAGTTTACTCACCCATACTTAAAAAATTGTTTTAAAAAATAGCATAATAAGAAGACACTTTATTAGTGCCTCAATGGGTCTAGTAGAGCATTCAAGCTATAATTACCTTGTGACCCTACTGCCTCGGTGGTGTAGTGGCTAGCATGTACGGCTACACACTAGGAGGTCCTGGGTTCGAGTCCCGGGTCGGGCCAAGTTTAGTTATTGAGTCTTTCTGTATAGTAAGTCTCAGTAACAGCCCGGAGTTGGGAAGTTGGCGGTGTTTCACCCCCGTGCCTCGGAGAGCACGTAAAGCCGTCGGTCCTGTGCCTTAACTCTCACTGGTCGTGTCGAGCAGTCGTCCCACCGGAGTATGAGAGTGACAGGAATAGAGAGTGCACGTTGTGTCTGCGCGTACACTTGTGCACTATAATATCTCCTGCGCAGTTGGCTAGTCTCAATGAGATAGGCCGCCGTGGCCGGAATCGGTCAGGAGCACATCACCTTGTGACCCAGTCCTGTTAAAATAGCATCGACGGAATACACTGGTTCGGGTTTGTTTTTATTTACAATTTCTAATAGTTGTGGTCTAGTATATTCTTCTGAATATTCAAAATTATTTATTCTTAACCACTCAATTATTTCATTTTTTCTTGTGCTTGTGTGTTTATTAATTCGTGTGTTATGATATGGAGCATTGTCCATTATAATTAGACTGGGCTCCATCAAATTGGGAGCCAACTTTTCTAATTCCCATTTATTAAAAATTGTGTTATTCATGTCTCCATGGTAATCACCACTCTTTGTGATTTAAAAACCAAACAAGCATTGTTCACAAAGCCTTGATTACCTCCGGCATGAACAATAATAAATCTTTGTCCTTTAGAGATGGGCTCTAATACTCCATCTGAAATTGAATTTTTGAACTATAAAACAACTATAATACAAGCAGAGTAGAGTCTTAGAATAAATATTAATAATAGATAAATGAAATTAGTCAAAAAAGATTTAAAAATATATTACTCATTAATATTTCAAGATATTTAATTAATTAGCCAATACCTTCATCATCATTCTGCCAACATTTTCCAGCTGTATGACCGGTGTGAATATATGTCTCATCTAAGTAAATAACAGGAAGTTTTTCTGTCTCATCATTATACTTTAAAGTCTGAAATAAAATAATTCAACGGTTTGTGAATTGGTGTGGCAGTTTCATAAATGTTTCCATTTGTCCTTATTAACTTTTTTAATAATATTAAAGACTATAAAAGTACATGTACCCATACCTGCAGATAACGAGCGCGCCAAGCAGTTATATCGTTACGTTCTATCAGGACTTTTCTGTTGCTTTTACTTTTTCTAAAAAAAACCAATCATTTTTATATGTTGTCTGAGAATTTCTCGACTGCCTGTGAATCCTATCTCTTCTTTAAGTACATGTAACAACTTATGCACTGTTGGTATTTCTTTTTTCCAAGCATAAAATTCATCATGATCGGCGTCGGGACGTGACGACCCCACCGCCCGCTGGTGGGATAATCTAGTGACAGAGATTATTCCACCAGTGCAATCAGTCAACCAAAAACTGTGGTAGTGCCATGCTAGTTACCTTCGGGTAGCAGCCGAATGGGCCGGCACGTCCCGTCAAGTACCACTCTCTCACAGAAGTCCGGCGTAAAGTGGCAGCTTTGCTGTCGCGTTTCGTTCGGTAAGTGAGAGTCCCGGGAGGCCCACTCCCCACCCCTCCCCCACACCACTAAATCTATGATAGTGCGAAATTTGGTCAGTCTACCCCAGGAGGGTACCACCAGCGCACATCGCGGTGGAGAATCCCTCTCTGGGCATCCATGTTCAGCTCGTACACTACCTGACCGTGGGTGCCCAGGCTGCCCTCCGAATTCTGGGGGGGGGCAATTTTGCGCTCTCGTCTTCTGTTCGGGGCAATCGGAGCAGGCAACGTAAGGCTACCCCTTTCACACTTGCTGTGGACTTCTGCAACATAAGGGGACTAAATTCCAACTTGAACGCCGTCCACTTCCACCTTGAGACGGCGAAGCCGGCCTTGCTCTTCCTTACCGAGACGCAGATATCGTCCCCGGCTGACACCTCTTTCCTCTCTTACCCGGGGTATAATCTGGAGCATTCCTTTGTACCGCGGGCTGGAGTGTGCGTGTACGTCAGAGAGGACATCTGCTCTCGTCGCCTCAGCAGCCTTGAAGGGCGGGACCTATCCATCCTCTGGCTACGTGTAGACTGCGACGACCATCCGCGAATCTACGCGTGCCTGTATAGGTCTCATAGCGGCAATGCCGAAACTGACCGACTCGTTGAGCACATGCAAATGGCTAGAGATTCCGTGCTCCAGCAGATCCCATCCGCAAAGATCGTGATTCTCGGCGACTTTAACGCCCATCATACTGAATGGCTTAGATCACGTACCACCGATTATGCGGGGAGATCTGTTCACGATTTCGCATTGGCATATGATCTGACACAACTGGTTACCTCGCCAACGCGAATCCCTGATGTGGAAGATCATACACCTTCCCTGTTGGACCTTCTGTTAACCTCTCATCCGGACGGCTACCTGGTCTCCGTCGATCCTCCTCTTGGCTCGTCGGACCACTGTCTTGTCCGGAGTACAGTGCCAGTCACGCGCTCAACACGGCCTCGCTTTGCGGGCTGTCGCCGTGTATGGCACTACAGGTCAGCGGATTGGGACGGGATGCGGTCATTCTTTGCGTCCTACCCATGGGGGCAAATTTGCTTCTCGCCAGATGATCCAGACGTCGTTGCTGATTCTGTCACCGATGTGGTACTTCAGGGTATGGAACTATTTATTCCGTTCTCTGCAGTGCCCATCGGAGGCAAATCCCAGCCTTGGTTTGGTCACTCCTGCAAGATGGCATCTCGCCGAAAGCTGGAATGCTACCAAGCCTGGGCTGTCGCGTCGGCGTCTAGTGATGTAAATACTAGCGCCTTTAAAAAGGAGTATAACTTTGCCTCCAGGTCCTTCAAAAGTAGTATTGCTAATGCGAAGTCGAAGCACATCGGCAGAATTGGCGAGAGATTGGGGCGTCTCCCTTCGGGAACACGTGCGTTTTGGTCTCTCTCCAAAGCTGTTTTAGGGAATTTCTGTAAGCCTTCTTTTCCACCTCTGCACACGGAGAATGACTCGCTGGCTCATACCGCGAAGGAGAAAGCCGAACTACTGGGCACTCTCTTCGCATCCAATTCGACTCTGAATGACCAAGGAAACTCACCACCGATAATCCCGCGGTGTGATACTACGATGCCGGAAGTTCAGTTCCGGCAAAGTGCAGTTCGCAAAGCACTTCTTTCCTTGGACATTCATAAGTCGAGTGGGCCCGATGGCATCCCTGCGATCGTGTTGAAGACATGTGCTCCGGAGTTGGCACCGGTCTTAACGCGTCTTTTCCGGTACTCCTATTCATCAGGCGTAGTCCCGAAATCTTGGAAGGCCGCTTTAGTGCACCCGATCCCAAAAAAGGGCAACCGCTCGGATCCGTCCAATTACAGGCCTATAGCCATTACCTCCTTGTTCTCTAAGATAATGGAGTCCATTATCAACTGCCAGCTCCTGCGGTACCTAGAAGAGCACCGGCTGATTAGCGACCGCCAGTACGGCTTCCGTCGAGGTCGCTCAGCCGGTGATCTTCTAATTTACCTGACACATAGATGGGCAGAAGCAGTTGAGACCAAGGGGGAGGCGCTTGCAGCCAGTCTGGACATAGCGAAGGCCTTTGATCGGGTATGGCACAAAGCGCTTCTTTCGAAGCTACCTTCCTATGGGCTCCCCGAGAAATTTTGCAACTGGATCACCAGCTTTTTGGCAGATCGGAGCATTAAGGTCGTTGTCGACGGTGCTTGCTCTGATCCTAAATATGTCAATGCTGGTGTTCCACAAGGTTGTGTACTGTCTCCTACTCTGTTCCTTCTGCATATCAATGACATGTTGCAAATTAGCAACATTCATTGCTATGCAGACGATAGCACTGTGGATGCGCTGTACACTGGCCGCGCTAATATTTCTCGGGAATACGTCGACGAGAGCCGGAACAAACTTGTGTCTGAAGTCGAATCTCTGTTAACCAAAGTCTCGGATTGGGGTCGACTAAACTTAGTCCAATTCAACCCCAAAAAGACACAAGTTTGCGCGTTAACCGCTAAAAAGTCGCCATTTATCGTAGCTCCTCAATTTGAGGACACTCCTCTATCTCCCACAGCCAGTATCGGAATACTTGGCGTCGACATCTCGAGCAACGTCCAGTTCCGTGGTCAATTGGAAGGTAAGGCCAAACTGGCCTCAAAGAAGCTTGGTGTGCTCAGCAAGGCGAGACAGTACTTCACGTCGCGTCAGCGTCTTATTCTTTATAAGGCGCAAATTCGGCCCCACATGGAGTACTGTTCTCATCTTTGGGCGAGAGCTCCCCAGTACCAGCTACTTCCATTTGACCGCATTCAACGTAGGGCGATTCGAGTGATCGACGATCAAGCTCTCTCCGATCGGCTTGATCCTTTAGCTCTGCGTAGAGATGTTGGATCACTCTGCATCTTCTACCGCATCTATCACGGGGAGTGTTCCGAGGAATTGTTCGGACTGATCCCAGCTGCTGAATTTCACCATCGGACATCGCGCCAAAATAGTAAATTCCATCCACACCATCTCGATGTCCAGCGTTCCACAACAGTGCGATTTTTAAGGCATTTTCTGCCCCGCACAACCACTCTGTGGAACCAGCTATCGCCGGCGGTCTTTCCGAACCGCTACGACCTGGCCACCTTCAAGAAGAGAGCGTATTCCTTTCTTAAAGGCCGGCAACGCGTCTGCAAGCCCTGCGGTGTTGTAGATGTCCATGGGCGGCGATGATCACTTTTCATCAGGTGAGCCTCCTGCCCGTTTGCCCCCTTAGTCCCATAAAAAAAAAAATGTATCTTTCGTCTAAGAATACCAATATCGAAATTGTCCATTACAATTTTATCCTTTCTCGTTTTTCTACTTTTCCCTGGTGTAACTATTTTACTGGATGATGCTTCAGCCAATCTGCCTTCATTTTCAATTCTTACAACTGTTCGTAAAGATATACCTGAAATCGTATTTTTTTTTTTAAATTTGAAGGACAAAATATGTTTCTTAAGGATACAAAATATGAATTAGTATTCTTGGTAATAAGTAATAACGGGCACACTTACGAGGTATAGTATGATAGCACTTACCTGTTGCAGCTGCGACGCGCTCATTTACTCTTTCAAATGGAATAATCGGAGCGCCAGATTGCTTTTCTTTCATAAAAAAATCCTTTATTTTTAGCACCACCTCTCTAACACCACTTCTTATTACCTTTGGCATATTTTGAGATATTTATAATGAAATAAAAGCACGACAAACTTATCAACTCCAGCTATCTGTCAAAAGTGACGCTTTACAAGATCCGCCATCTTGTCTGTTAGTTCCGATTTCGGCCACGCGCCAAAAGATCCTTGTAGCACTGTAGGTATATCAAAATCATGGATGACAAATAAAAATCAAAATGTATATCATCAGTTAAGAGCAACACAGCCAGAGAACTCAAAAAAAAACAAAATTTACTTAAAAATACTTTTATTATAAACTATACTTTAATTTTACATTTATTATGTCTAACGCTACTCGATGTAACAATTAGAATGATGGAATTTATAAATTTATTTCTCACGTAAAATTGAACAAACAAAAGTGTAACGTTACAATGCCGCGAATACTAACTCGACGCCTCGTGTCGCAATCGTTCCTGTTAGGTCAGCGATCCACCTGTAGCTATGTGCTATAAGTCATCCAAATCGTGGATGACAAATAAAAATCCAAATGTTTTGGTCTGCTAACCACCAGGGTTGCTAGAAAAAAAATTAACAAAAAAAAGAAACTTGTTAATTTTAAAATGTGAATTATTTGTTACTTATAATATCCACTTAAAATTAACTTTATTTAAAATAAGATATATTTCGGATTCGCGACTCTCGCGATTCGGAGACGTACTTGTTGCTTCTCGTTAAGTGAACCCAATTAGGAATTGCGATTTTATCAATTCTTCTAATGATCAGATAGTGGAATATGTAGCCACAATTTACTAAAATTGGACAGATTGTGGTTAAAACTATATAAATTAAAACCTTTTTAAACTCAGAAATTATTTCTTGGTACATTTGAAATTGAACATAATTTTAAATTCCATAGAAAATCACGGTTGGGCAATATGATCCTTTTGTTTTAGGACTCTTTTGTCAAAGGTTTCAGTACAAACACCCACAAAAACCATTCAATAATTTGGAAGAAATAGAAAAAAAACAAATTATTGTATATATCTTGTGGGTACATTGGGTACATACCGTCTGTAAGAACTACGTGACCATTAAAAGTAAATTTTACAACAAAATGGTTGTGAAACATAAAATAAAACCTTAAACCACGACAAAATCCGAAAAGATAGTTTGATTTAAAATAACAAATATTCCCGTAAATCTAAGAAAGTATTAAATAAACCGGTTGAAGATGAGATTTTTTAGTGCCATGCTTATACTTCAAAGTGTGTATGATAAACATTTAAACAATATGCTTAGAAAGTAATAAAGAAATTTTTAAAATACCTATAGCTATTTAAGCCACACTGGTAAAATTATTTTACTAATATTATAAATGCTACTTTTTATCCCGGTAAAACGTACGGTTCCCGTGGGATAGATTTGTTTTTCCTTGTCTAGAGGTAAACCCGAGCAAAGCGAGAGGAAGACGCTAGTTAGATAGTCTAAGTGATTGTATTCAACTAATTAAGTTAATTATGATTATATTAAATAAACAAAAGAAACAAGAAAATATAGTTAATAGTTTAGTATTTATCCAATAAGTCTAATTTAATAATATTAACTACTATTTTTTTTTTAGTTTTCTAATAAAACTAAATTAATTTTTACATTACATGAGTAATGGCGAATGTAAAAATTTAATTTTATTTAATATAACATTAAAAAAATTATTTAAATAATTGGAACATTTAATGGAATAAAAGAAACTGTTTATGAAACTAAATTTTTATTTAAAATGAGATCAGATCTATTCGCTACCACCTGCCCTTTCATTTTGACCAGCGTGTGGTTCGTGTGTATTTTCATCCATTCCTAGCGAGCCATAGTTGCCTAATAGTCTTTGTCCAGTGGGATCAAATGGAGATTTTAAATGTAGATTCGCTTTATATCTTTTCCCCATAACTTCAATCGCATAGTCTCCCTTTACTAAGTAGTCTTTAGTGACCTGTGAACCTTTATTGGTTATATAACCAATGCCTATTGATTTATCTAAGTAAAACCCGTAATCCCCTCTACGTACGTAGCCTACGGGCTCGCTATTTCTGTATATTGCTTCTTGGCCATATATGGCAATCTGAAAAATAAAAAAAATAAAGTTTCTATAAATTTTTTTTATTGGGATTTCTTTTAAATTAAACTAGTTCTTTTTACCACATTTGCTATTTAATTTATCCTTGTTTTTATTTAGGCATAGACCAGCTTTAATGTATTTGAAATTTAACTTCATCTTGAACTTTTTGCTTAAAGGTATGACAGAAGGTGCCTGGTTTTAGACATCTAATTAAATATGTACTATCCTATTAAAACATTATCCTGGTATACAATAGGGATAATAGTTTAAATTATTATTATTTTGAAAACACTTCAGTTCAAAAGCTTATCCTTCTTATATTATATAGATAATTATAACTCTGCGGCATATACGTGCAATATAAAATTAATTATGACATATTTTTACCTTATCATCAAGAGTGAAGAAAGCATATTTCTTAGTGACTCCATTCTTTCTAAACTTCTCAACAGCCTCATTGCCGACGTAGTCGCCATCTTTACGACAAGCGAAACCCAGATTCGCTTCTATTGGATTGTCATCAATTCTCAAATCCGAATTCCACAAATGAAAACCTAGAATGCATAAGTATTATGTTAAAAACATATACATACATACATACATAAACTATATACATTCTATAAAAAAGTAGCTATCTGCATCTGTCTGTCTCTCCGTTTACTTCTTCTAAACAACGCAACAGTGATACGGTTTTCACTAATAGAAAGAGCGATAAACGAGGAAGATTTGTGTATCCAATTTGTAAATATTTTGTACAAAGTAACTGAGTTTAGACACTGTGTCAGTCAGTGTCAAAAAATTGTTTTAGTCCAATTACATGGCTAACGCTGGCTAAATTTTTATAAGCCATTGGTAGTAAGATATACAACAATGTACCGAAAATTGTAAGCCTTAAAAAGAGGCGTACTGAAAAGTCCGCGAGAAACCTTGTGCATGTCTGAGAGAACCTAACAAGTTTTCAAAAGACATGTGAAGTCCGCCCCGCACTTGGCCATCGTGGTGGACTATGGCCTGATCCCCCTCGTACTGAAAGGAGGTCCGTGCTTAGTAGTGGGACGTTAAAAAGGGCTGAATACAAATACAATACAATGGTCAAGAATTAACCTTTCTCTGCACTTAGCGAAGTTAGAGCCCTCCACCCCGCATTCTTCAACCCCTTCGCCTTTCTGAGTGCCTGGTACATCTGTATCGCGTGAGACGACGGTACATGCAGCTCCCAGCCTAGCTCGCCCGCCCACGAGACACGCAGTGCTCGGCAAGTATAGGTCTTATTGTCTGTGGCATTAGGTGCTTTTGACACTTTGATGCTCCGATTAGTGTGTAGTGGGAACGCGTCGTTTGAGAGACCGGCATCTGTGTATCTTTGGAGGATGCGTTGACTGTAATGAGACAAATTCAATATTAATTAATTAATTGTTCATCTCAAGTCTTTTTATGGCCTTAATAGTTAATACTTCAGTCCACTTATGTACCTAATTATGTATGTATGTATATGTGTACATATATATTATATTTGTATATATTTTTGTGTTATGTATTTATGTTTGTAGACGTAGGTGTATCATTGTTCCCCCCAACGTGCGTTCACCTTGTCGTGGTGGGGGGGCTTAGTAGTGCCCGGCAATCCAACCGGGCGCAAAGCTAAGAAACGCACAGGGAGGTTGCCCACTTCGGTGGGCGGGGGGAGGTGGCCCTCTTCGGGGGGCGGTGTACCTTGCGGGTTGCTCCTGGTACTTCTCTGATAGCAGAGTGGACCTTGGAGCAACCCCATGGTTGTGGTGGTCTGCTTTGGCAGACCTGCCGTCGGGGCGTCGTAGTTGAATGCGTAAGCGATCCTGCGACGCCCCATTAAGACGGGGGAAGGTTTTGTTGGGTTTTAGTGGGTAGTACTGGCTGTATTACGCCGGTGAGTCCCACACGTCGTGCGTAAATGCATTTCCCAACGTTAAAAAAAAAAAAGGTGTATCATTGTTGTATTTCGTATTAATTGTACCGTCCCATCTACGGTTCCATTAATCCTTTCACCAAAGGTTGTCTGTAAGAGATTGCTTATAGCAATAAGATCGCCTTTGCATGCCTTTTTGTTATTTTTTTTTCTTTTCATCTTCTGCATTCTTCTTTTGTGTGTGCAATAAAGTAGTAGATAAATATCTATCAATCCTCCTCACCTATCAGGTCCTTGTACCGCCAAAATGCATAGCTGTTTGCTGACGTCAGTTAAGTTTGCGCGCAATTTGTGCTTGTGTATTATACGTCGAATTATAGATGCCGTGTGGTTCGCATTGAAGCCACTGGTCACTATGTAGTAGCCACGACCCTAAAAATAGGTAAATAATGATGTTTCTTTATTATAAATTATAATAGCGGATAATAACAAAAAGTTAGTAATAATTGAAAAGAAAGTAAAGAGCTTCTTTATGCAATGTTCATTTTTAAGCCGCATCCAAAAGCTTAAGGTTTTTTTACTGCGTTAGATAACAGATATAACGCGACTATTTAGAGGCCAAGTAAAATTCGGTGTAACAGCACACAGTTTTTTTTTTAATTTTATACAGTCAGAGTAACGCCTCAAACGAGATTACAAAAAATAATGACGCATTGGCCATTGCATAGTCATAAAACAAAAGACAACGCTGTTCCCGCCCTTTTTTTACTCAAGATGACAACGTCAGAAAACTCAAATATGTATTTTACATCAACATGAGAATCTAATAAATAATTTACAATAATTGCTCGTTTAATATTATAATATAGGGAAAATCTTACTTTGAATATAGGCTCATGTAACTGTCCACTGCCTCCGTCGAGGATGCTCACTGTTAGGTCCGCTTCAACTCCACCTTTGTCATTTAGAACCAACGTATATGTTACCCTGTAAAATTAGGTTGTATAAATAATTTCTCTTTTAATGTTTCTTTCCTTTTTTATTTTTTCCCTTTTCTCTTTTTTTCTCTTTCTTTAAATGTTTTTTATGGTTAAGATAACATGGAAATAAGCAAATTTTAATTTATCATTGAAAAGTACTTCTATAGAATCTGATTTATTTTTTATGGGTAATTCATATGCGGTTTTATCTTGCCAAAGCATAAACGTGAGGTTAATCTTCAATCGTTGGTAAAGCGGGATCTTGATCATGGAATTAACCGTTAAATAGACATAATACACTAATATCTACACTTTAATAAACTAATAAATTTTTTAAATAAAACTATATTTTCGGATTTTGTCGCGGATTTATTTGCATTTTTGTTTCCGGACGTTTCGAATGCTTTACAGCATCCATGGTCACGGGAGAGACTGTAGATCAAAATGACAGCTTATCAGATTAATATTTTTCATTTTTCATTTGTAAAAGTGTAAAAATTAATAGTGTTGGTTAGTAAGTTGTTTTTTAAATAATAGCAAACTAAATTAAAATTATTATCCTTAATTAATTTAAACTTTTTAAATTACACATAGAACAATTATATGGCTTAAATAATTAATACTATATTTTATATTTTTCTTTATGGTTATAAATATAATAATGGCAACACTAAATATAGATTACTAATTAATATTTTAAAATTGTAATAATTATAAAAATAATAGCAAAAATTAAATAAATAATTTTCCATATTCAATTTTAATTAAAATTATAAAAATGTTTAAAGTTAAAAAATATTGTAATTGGTGCAATTTTCATTTTGTTAATTGTGGGTAGGCTGTCTGTAACAACTATACATTCAAGACATGTAACACCTCAGTCTCTCCCGTGACCATGGATGCTGTAAAGCATTCGAAACGTCGGGAAACAAAAATGCAAATAAATCCGCGACAAAATCCGAAAAGATAGTTTTATTTAAAATGTCAAATATTCGCGTAAATCTAAGAAAGTATTAAACTAATAAAAAAATATTAACTAAAGCCTTTGTAGAACTGAGTCTGAAAAGTCACTTAATTTTTTATAATTTCTCATATAATGATTTTTTTTATAAATTCCTATCTTAGATGTTGATGAAGATATCGCACTACTACACACTAATAGACATAAAAAAACACACGAACTGAGAGCTCATGTTTTCAGTCGGTAAAAAATTGGAACATCTTACTTATCATTTTTCTTCGACAAATCCGCGGTAAAGGCAAGTTCGGCAGTTCTCTGTGCGTCGGGGCCGGTCAGGTAGAACTTCCCATAGTATGACATATTGAATAATGCTGCTTCATTCCTACAAGCTAGTGCTTCTGAACCGATCTGTGAACAAAAAAAATGATATTTTAGGAAAAATATGAAAATATACAGAAATAACACATACAATAAAATTAGTTTGCAAAAGTGGACTTATCTCCAAAAGAGATATCTTCCAGTAAACCTATTGTAGTGAGAGATAATGAGAGAACTAATGTAAAACCAAGTCGGTTAATTTATTCATTACTTGTCTATGGAAGCATCTATCCAACAGCTTTGTCATAAATTGTTACCTAATTACTTAAATAACAAAATTTTATAGTGGTCATGTCAATATAAGATATCTTCTTTTATTTAATATATAGAAGCTCAAGTAGGGCATCAGACGGAGATGTCTTTGTCTTTTCAGTATTCAGGTTTCTAGTTTTATCCACAACAAAGTTACAGGAAAGTCGAAAATGTCCTGAATGGCTTCGAGAAAAGGATGGTACGGCCGTGCCTTTTTTGCTCGACTTGGCGGCGGCACTGCCGTGCCCCAGATAAATTATATGCTGATACTTAGTTCATTCTGGACCATCATCGTGAGACGGAAATTTTATATATTAAGAAGGTATATATATGTACTGAACTACGAACCGTCTTTTTAAAATATGAAAAATGAATATTTTTTATAGTTAAATGCATATTTACAATGTTATGATGCTTCGAAAATCCGAATGTGTATTCTCCCCTTAGAACATCTTCGTAGCGCTGGTCCAAATTTCTAGGATAATCGTTGACACCTCCCCAATCGTACTGTTGGACGCGAATCTAAAAAATTATAAAAAAATGTTTTAAAATTAGTACCTGTTTTAGATTTTAGTAATCAAAGAATAGCACAGGGAAATAGTTTTTTTACACCCTTTTTCCATTTGAATGTTATACGATACTAATAATTTATTTTATGAACAATATTGTTATCTTCATTCCTGCTTCAGAGTAAATGGAGGGAGAAGAAAGAGAATAAAAAATGGATGTAGCAACTTTAGTACGGGTACTTTACGTCGACATATTGTGGAAGTGTAGTACTTCCCAGATCGAACCGGCCATTTTATGCTAATTCCAAGTTTCACCAAACTTTTGCATGCAAGATTAACCCCGTCATCACCTGCACTATCATTTCAAGTCTATATCCCGAGGGATTCGTCAATGAAGAAATATGTGACTTTACCCAATCAGATTATTAATTAATTTAGTACTTAGTCCTTTTTTAATGTCGGCACGGTCCTCCCTTTAATACGAGGGGATCAGGCCATAGTCCACCTCACTAGCCAAGTGCGTCTTGGCGGAATGCACATGTCTTCCGAAAACTTGCTAGGTTCTCTCAGACATGCAGGTTTCCTTCACCGTAAGTGATAAGTGGTAATCATGTTGGATATGATTCGCACTTGAAAATATCAGAGCCGGGATTTGAACCCGCTTGGTTTCCAAAGCGAATGCGTTACCACTGGGCTACCACTGCTCAATTAAATAGCAAACGTTTATGGTTAACTACAAACCTTCTCCCCAGGCATAAAGAACCCGGGTCTCTCCCACCCTGCTCTCGCCTGCATCACCGCTCCATCATCAATCAGTTCCTGGTGCAAGGCGTCATGACTTGCATCTCTCCCTGCGAGGGGTTCATCGTTAGGGAACACTATGCTATAGTTCTTCACGTATGCTTCGTGACTGCTTTCTCGTACCCAGTGGGCGCGAGATAGTTGGGCGGGAGTGAACCGAGTCACGTCGAAAGTAAACATGTTGTAGTGTGGCCTGAAAGATGATAAAACAGTTTTCTTAATTAAGATTTCTGGGCATATCTATTTAATACTATTTACTTCGTATAAAATGGAGAAAACACGAACACGATACGACATCTATACGTGCTAAAATAAGATTATTGTAAAACGAGAAGTAAATGGCTTATAAATTGCGTTTATTTCGAATTTGCTGTTGCTTTGCGATATAAAATAAAAATCAATAATAATCAAAAACTATTGGGCAAATTACAAAAAATATATCAAAGTGTCTCAAATCTGTTATATTAAAATGTATATTGGTTTGTTTATTTGTCGCGTATGAATTCTTAAATTATCCATCAGATTACTATCAGACTTTGGTAAATTATTCGGAGTAGGTCCTAATAGAATTATTTTTGTAATAGATGATGTCTCAGCTTAGTTAAAATAAAGGACATGGTAAATCCGCTAGAATGCATGAAAAATAAAGCTGTCCCGGGGCGCCTGGCAGATGTGAAACATCGAAACTATTTTTAAAAAAATATTAAAAACAAAATATTTTTTATTTAGATTCTTTAAAAGAAAATAAAACCATTAAAATACATATTAATTTAATACACATTAATTTAATACATATATTAAAAATTAAAATACAAGCTCAGCACGTTGAGAAATGAGGAGGTTTATAGCCGAGCTTTTAGAAGTGAGTTTGAGAGTTACGAGCGTGGCGACCTACCGGCTGTTGGCATGGCGACGCATCGCCATGACAACAGCCAGTTTAACGCGCCGCCTTCGCCTTCTTCTTAGATGTTTCACATCAAAAATAAAATTATCAACTTGTTATAACAAATCATACAATTAAATGTCTTAAACCACAATTAAAATATATTGACCTTCCGGTAATAATCCATTCCGCTAACTGTATAGCAGTCCCAGCAGAGAACATCATTCCAGCTGAGTTATACCCGCAGTTGTGGTACAATCCTGTAAAGGCATACATTTGTTACAGACTGGATTACTAAAGACGTAATAACAATAGAAAATAAACGGTTCATACGCAAGTAGTAGGTACTCTTAACCTTGTATCAAAGGTTACAAATAAGAAAAAATTACTACGCGGCAAATTTTTGTCTATCTGTTTAGGTAAATCTCCGAAATAGCTTAATCTATTTTAACTAAGGTCAAGTAAAGCTAATAAGAGGGAGAAGATTTAGCTATGATTTGAATGACGTACATTTTATTTAAAACAATTTTTGTCATATAGGAATTTGTATGAAATTTTGTTATTATAAGGAAACATGGACAAAATTACAAAAGCACAAACAGATATATCCCACGGGAACTGTTTATTTTTCCCGGATAAAAAGTAACCTGTTGTTTGACCGGCAATATAAGGTAAACCAAAAGGTAAAGCATACCAAATTTTAATAAATTAGGTGCATAAGTGGTTGTGTACTATCCCACGGGAACTCCTTAATTTTCCGGGATTAAAAGTATCTAAAATGTTGACCGGGGATATAAGGTACGACCATGTAAATTTTCATTTAAATCGGTCTAACAATTTCGGAGATCAGCCCGTATAAACAGATAAACAAACAAACAGACAAAGAAACAAAAAATTTGAAAAAAGTCTGGAATTGTTCTATTTCTCTTCTTACATCCCCCTGACTCGGTTTTTAGCATTTTTTTTCTATGTACAGACATTCGACCTCTACAGTTTTATTATACATACGTATAGATAAGTCAAGTCAATGTTTATGATACAAATTTGCCAAACACACACAATTAATGTATGTTTAGAAATAGCATATGATAATAGTAATCACTTAGTTCCCGCTAAAATGTTTTAATGCTGATAAAAAACAACACAATAAATCACAAATGTACACATACGTGAGAAATAAAAAATGAAGAAGTCTTTAGAAGTAAATTCAAGACATACCAAACAAATTAGGATCTTCACCCAACAAGGGTTTATGGTCTGGTGTAAACGATTCCGGTCCGCACACTGTACTCTTAATGCCCACTTTACCTAATTTTGGGCATAATGAAGTCGCACTGTCCATATGAACGCCGAATATGTCCCAATCTAAATCGTAGAGATGGAAATGCTGTTGTTCTGGAACCTGATTATTGAAATGTTTATTCACTAGGTTTTGCCTTTAGCTCCATTTAGGCGGTAGGTACGTTATCAAGATAAGCCTATATGTATAACTCCATTATTAATGTTATTCAAATCCGTTGAACCGTTACAAATTGAAGAACTGACTCACGTATAAGTTATATTTATACTAATAATGTGATAAAAGGCGAAAGTCAAGAATGGTGTACTTGTTACAAATAGTTTTAATAAAATTTATTATTGCTAAAGCGTTTGGCGGAAGGAAGCAATGCCTCATATCTACCTTTCCATTTTGCGATAGTAAAACCAAAATACATATACAATCAATTAACTAAATTAATATCATTTTTTTAACAAAAATTGAACTTTACCTGATCTAGCATAATCGGGTTACTTTCATAGCCACCAATGTTACAGCTTTCCCCTTGTATTTTAAAGTACAAATTAACATCGTGATCCCTAACGTTTGGACATCCCCTAATTTCAGGTATACTGTCGGACACAACGTATGCATGTTTAAATGGTATTATTGGTAAGTATGGTATACCAGCAAACCTAGCTATACGAGGTCCCCAAACTCCTAAAAAGAACATAGTAATGTATGAATAAATAATCAAACTAAAGAAGAAAGTCTTTAAAAGACTTACTATCAGTTTTGATTTGTTTTGATATGCATTTCAAGAAAGAGAAGTAGAGAAGAAAAAGTTTAAACTATAATCTTTAAAGTTCATTTCAACAATTTAAATAAAGATTAGCCATCTTTAAAATTATACAAACAAGCTGACATGCAAAAATACTAAAACCTATTACTTCTTTTCTTCTTCTTTTATAGCTTCATCTTACTTTTTAATTCCTAACAAATATGCTTCATTTTCTATTATAACATTTTTATGTCATAAAACTCTAATTGGACGATTTCTAGCTCGTAATTGACTAATAAATAGAATAGATTAAGTAGTTGTTTTCGGATTTACCTCCACAATTGACAACGCATTTCGTTTTTATAAAACCTTTATCCGTATGTACGCCAGTCACTTCTTTGTTGCCGAGCAAATTGTGGGCATAATGAACATCTATTACTGGACAGTCTTCGTATACCTGTAAATTAAGTCTAAGAAAGTCACATACAATAAAAAAAACATATCCTTTAAGATTAAAATTTCGAAATAAATTAATTTAAGAATATAAAAAAATATACTTATATGTTTTTTTTTTATTAATGGTCAGTAAATGTTTACCTACTCGTAACTTTATACATATTATAGTTAGCCTAAAAGACGAGAAGACAACATTCTACGATTGCAATCGGTAATGAAATGAATATAAATGTACGGAAATGAGCTATTAATACATTGTTTCCTGTAGCTACAATATATTATTTATATATTATTAGATAGCTATATCGATTATAGAAATCGACTTATATCGGGGGACTTTTAACTCTTTTTCTTGACTCACTCATAACAATTGTTTGTCACAAATTATGAAATTAAATATTTACTTTCAAGTTTTAAATCGAATTGAAAGTAAAAGATGAGAATAATAAATTCCATATTATTTACCTTTCCACCATATTTAGCTGCTACTTTAACCAACGCATTGCACGCCATTGCTGGGTCGATAGTACCATCCAATGGTGAGTATAGCGCCATTTTAAATACAGATGGGTCCAAAAGTGGGAAAAGCTTTTGGGCTCCATTCGGGTCCAAAATTTCACTCGGTATACCCATAGCTTTTCCTAAAGTATGCAATCTTAGATACTCTTCTGTTCGTGCCTAAAATATAAATAGTCATTAATTTTATTAATTATATATTATAAATACAATGGCTGAATAAAACCGTATATAGCCGACTAAGAATTGTCTAAATTGTTCCAATATATACCCTATTCAGTATAAATAAATACCCAAGATACGCTTAAACCTTTGTTAATAGAAATATTAACTTCGTGCGGGGATCGAACCTATAACATCCATGCAGGATGCTGTGTCAAAACGACAATAAACAGTACGCGATATATTTTTAGTGCTCAAAGTATATTTAAAGATCCACAAATTTGAAAGTTAAAAGTATTTCTGAAATGTTTGCTACCTATCTATTCTGAAAAAAAAATTTTGATATCATGTTTTTTTTTAAATACAACGATTCTTACTTTACTTCTTGATATAAACATGCCACCATTATTAATCCATCCGGCATGGTCGCCAGTCTCCTTCTCCAGTGTGCTATAAACATCTCTAGAATCTTGTAATAATCGAACTTCAAGATCGCACGGTCGAAGAGACCATACTAAGCCTAAAATTAAATTTTAGAATAAACTTGATTTAATTCAAATATAACAAGTATAAACCTACACAAAATAATTATTCTAATAAAATTTGTATTTGATTTTTTTTATCGCTTATAGATAAATCTCTATCGATCCGATCGAGATTGAAATCAGCCTTTAGAGAGCATCCATTAATTACGTGCGCTCAAAATATTTACATTAAAATCTCATCAAATCTCGTTTAAACTGAGAAGGTATAATTGAAAGTCTCATGTCAACTTTAAAAGAAAATATATATATTACACATAATAAAAAAAGTATCCTATTTTGCCCACTGATAAAATACCTGAACGTCATTACTCGATTCCCTCTATTACTAAGTGGGCTTTAAAGATCCATAACTTATAATTTAAACGATAACAAAAACATGATTATTTTATTTATAATTAGAATCGATGATAAATCTTAGGTATATGACCTTTATCTGAGTGTCAACATAATCTTATAGCTTGTCGCTATTCAAGACTATATTAGTTAATTAATGTTTTTAACAACTTATCAGGAAAACATTTGCATATTAAAATATTAGCAAATACGATACGATATTTTTTTCTTCATTTAAAGCGGTGTAATATCCAACAAACAGTTGAATTAAAAAGCTCGCTTTATATGTAAAGTTGTTCTGTTTATTTATATTATTCTTAGACGCGTTTTTTTTTTAATTTCGTTTCTTGAGTTGTAGCAGTAACAGTAGTAACCTAAATTCCCCCCCAATGTGCGTTCACCTTGTCGTGGTGGGGGGGCTCAGTAGTGGCCGGCAACCCAACCGGGCGCGAAGCCAAGAAACACACAGGGAGGTGGACCACTTCGGTGGGCGGTGAGAGGTGGCCCTCTTCGGTGGGCGGTGTACCATGTGGGTTGCTCCTGGTACTTCTCTGATAGCAGAGTGGACCTTGGAGCAACCCCATGGTTGTTGTGGTCTGCTTCGGCAGACCTGCCGTCGGGGCGTCGTAGTTGAATGCGTAAGCGATCCTGCGACGCCCCATTAAGACGGGGGAAGGTTTTGTTGGGTTTTAGTGGGTAGTACTGGCTTTGCCGGTGAGTCCCACACCTCGTGCGAAAATGCATTTCCCAACGTTAAAAAAAAAAGTAACCATAAAATTCAAATTAATTATTAAAAATATTAAGTTGATATACCTATACATAATTTAAATTAACGTATTTATTTTCTAAGCGCTTTATTTTTGCTCACGTAAAATTTTCGGAAAAAATTAGGTGTGTTAAATATAACAGTAAAGTTTTTTTAGGGAAAGCATTTTTAAAATAAGTTAGGGATTTCCAAATACATAGATACTAAAGATGATTTTTTGTTTGTTTGTGCGTACAAACACAAAATGCTCACTTTCTAACAACATAAAATTCAAATTATACCATACATTTAAAACATAGGAACTTACCAGCTGTATGCCAAGTGGTTCCACTTGTCAATTTATTCCTTTCTAATAAAACTGCATTTACCCCTCTTTTCGAGAGCTGATATAGTGTATTACATCCTGCGATACCACCACCTATAAAAGTAAGCCTCATTTTAATATGATCCGCCAATAAGCTAGATCAATAAGAGAAAGTAGTATGACATTAAAAAATGCTGAATGAGAATAATATCATAAAGGCTTTGTTTTGTATTAATTAGAATTATATATAATACAGTATTTTTTGAGTTAAAAGACAGTTGTAGCTCAGTGGTAACGCGCTCGCTAGGGAAACCGAGTGAAGCGGGTTCAAATCCCGGGTCTCTTGCACCTCTGATGTTTTCATGTGCGAATCATTTCTAGCATAATTACCACTTGCCTTACGGTGAAGGAAAACATCATGAGGAAAGCTGCATGTCTGAGAGAACTTAGCAAGTTTTCGAAAGACATGTGAAGTTCATCAACCCGCACTTGGCTAGCGTGGTGGACTATGGTCTGATCCCTTTGTATTGAAGGGAGGCCCGTGCCCAGCCGTGGGACGTTAAAAAGGGCTGAATACAATACAGTATTTTTTAATATACATCATAATTAGTACCAAAAATAGTTTATCCAATCACTTACCAACAATCACAATATCAGCTGATGTTACCAGTTCATTGTTCGTAGCATAACATCGTTTTCCATTTTTAAAATTTTTCAAAAAATTTGTTGCTTTCGATCTAACACATCGATCTGTTATGACTTTAAACATATTAAAGAAATTTTTAATACTGTCTGTAAACACTGATGTAAGTTCTTCAGCAGCACGGAGACAAATAATAGTGTAAGAAAATCAAGAAATAAACATTGATAAGCCTATCTTGCCTACTTTATCATTTAGATGTCAAAGGTTAAATGCGTATTCGTATGTTAGTTATGATATTATCAAATATTATTATAGCAAACAGAGTAAATGATTATAAAGGTTACATATAATTCAACGCTTTGCAAAATGTATTACTTCGCCTATATTGGCCGCAAGAAAGAGACACGATAGAGTTAATTCCTGTTTTCCAATTACAGACCATAATGCCGCACTTTGGCGCACAAATACAAACAACGCGAAAAAACACTTTTTATATTTTCTATTACCGAGTTGGAATCTCTCTCATTGTTAAGTATACTTCCAAAATATTTAAAGTTTTTACCTACATATTTATTGCAACGTCAAGCCAAGCCAATTCATCTACTGGTTTAAATGTTTAAAAAAATATTAAAAAGTGTATTTAATTAGTATCAATTTCTTACATTAAGAATAAAAAATGAAAACTTTTTGGGGCATACGTAACTTGATTTAATGTTACGAGGGACTTTTGAAATGATAGAAAAGTTTCTATACATTCTGATATCACTACTAGAACTTTCCTTGAAAAAGAGCTAAATCGTTTTATTCATATTCTAGATACAAAACTAATTGGCACTTCGATAAAAATAACATGAACTATAATACATCGCATACAACTATATATACTATACATCGCCTATAGAATTTTATTTTTAATTTTAATTTGGTACCAAAGATTTTAAAGGTGTACAGCCTTCTTGATCAACATCATATGAGTTTACATTGATATCATTCTAATGTTTATAATTTGCATATCTACACATATAATAAAATTGTAACTAAGCCGAATCTGTACATTAAATATTTTTTGGAAAATCTTATTGAAATAAACATTATTATCGATACAGAGGCCGAATCTATAGTTTTTAGAAATTTTGTCTGTCTGTTACCGCATCACAGAAAAACCACTGGAGGAATTTTGATGAAATTTGGTATGGTGATAGCTGGTTATCCGGGTCAACATATAGGATACTTTTTACCGCGGGAAAATATCTCATTTCTGATAAAAAATACAAAAACTGCAATGTAAGAGTATATGTAACCTAAAAATTTGGTTTTCGGTCATCTGAACTCGGGCGGAGCCGCGGGCAATGCTAGTTTACATATAAAAATAACTATGACTTTTTTATAAATTATACTTCAATGTAATATAACAAATGTAAAGGCGCTCATACACGTTAGAGTATTTCCGGCATATTACCTGTACAGTTAAACTGAAGCAAGAAGAAACTGAAGATTTATTCAATTAAAACTGTACAGGTAAAATTATACTGATATATCCCCGCGAGTATGGCCTTCAATAATCAAACCCACTTTGTCAATTATAAAATTCAATTACATAAAGTTTTAAAAATTTAGTTTAGTACAATTATCTAAAAACAAAATCGGGTTCGTTACAGCACTTATAACTAGAGAACGGCTGGACCGATTTATAGATCTCTGTTTTGTTGGATTTGTCTTCACAGTTCACTCTGAACAGCAGAATAACTTTTAACACATTGAAAAAATTCACGTTTTTTTTTAAATATCTATTCCATACTAAGCGTTAAAATGTGCCTAGGGACGAACCTGAGCGAAGCGAGGGCGAGTCGCTAGTTAAATATTAAAACAAGTCACGAGATAATCGTTTAATTTTATATTTACAATAACACATAATACAATTACAGTTGAACTGATATTCACTTACATAAACGATAAAGGGCAATATTCTTGAACAAAAAAAAACAGATGTTACATGTTTTTTTTACAAAAATATTTTTTCCATTTTACATTACAAATTATTATCAATAGGAATAAAATAAAAAGGAATTAAATATCTAATACTTGTATTAATAAACCAGTAGTGTTATCTACAAGCAAGGCAATGTATAGATTTTATGTGAAATCTCTAGCTGGTAAGGAGATCTGCTGTTGCAAAGTAAGAAAGTAATTTAAATTACTATTTAATATATGTATATATCAATAAATAACTACAAAATATTATTGTATTAGCATCGAAGACTTTAAAAATTAGGTACACAATTCAAAGAAAATTGTTAGGGAATGTACAAAAACTGTATATTTATTAGTTTTCGTAATATTAAATTCTAGAGTACAAAAGGAAGAACTATTTGGCAAACAATCGTATATGTACTGAAGTATAAGCATCTTATAAAATAACGTAATTTAATATAACATTAATATAAAGAATTATAATTATAGGCAGTATTCCTCAGCTTTCTATTGTGAAGCAGAAGCAACGGTTATCTATCTGTAAAAAATATATAAAGTTATATTTAAAAAAAATCGCGACCACTTTTTTTTACAATTTTAGTACCATTTTACTACATATAACCACATATCATATAATACTACAGTACAGGTATAAATAGTATAAGTGTCTCATCCCATATAAATTGGACCGCGCTAATTCGGGCTATTTTAGTTTGCCTGAATAGATAATAGATGTCGCTGACTCGCAAATAGTTAAACTGTTTTATCTTATATATTTAAACGAGCTATTCTTGTATATATATATATATATATATATATATATATATATATATATATATATATATATAATCTGAATCTCGGAAACGGCTCCAACGATTTTCATGAAATTTAGCACGTAGGAGGTTTCGGGGGCGATAAATCGATCTAGATTAGTCTTATTTCTGGGAAAACGCGAGTTTTCGAATTTTCATGCGATTTTCTTTTGCATTTTCACAATTTTTGCATTGTCAGTTGTCAGTTGTCACTTCTGGTGGGTGGGAGGCGCCACTGTGCAACTGTCAACATCGTGTCCGTATTTACATCAAGTAAAAAAATATTTAAGTGGAAAAAATCTAAATAAAAATGGTAAATTATGTTAATCGATAAAACCTATGGGAAATATGTAAACATCACTAAGTCTTGATGTGTTGAAGAACAAATGAGCTTTTAAAAATTCACCTACCAAACAAATACAAAAGTGACAAAGATAGTATCAGTGCAAAACCATCTTTTCTGTGTGTGATGACAATAAAACAAAATAATGTGTGAAGTGAAAGCGTAAAATATTAAAACATAAGTTTATAACCTCAAAGACTAATACTCGGTATAAAATTGATATTCAACTAGGTATATATATAATTGATGCTCTTTTTCAATCAGCTTTTCTACTTCCAACTTCACACTTAAGATTGAGGACATAAAAAAGTTGTTAATAAACATGCAACAAGAAATAAAACAGCAGAAAACAGAAATGTTAGAAATGAAAGAAGACATTAAAAATACAATCAACAATACTTAAATGAGAGATTTAAACACTTAGAAATAAAAATTGAAGTTCTTGAGAAAAAAATCCAGGAACAAAGTACCTTAATAAATAATTTAGAAAGACATATTAGGCGCAAGAACTTGGTTATGTTCATAGTAGAAGAAGGTGAAAAATCCTATCATGAACTAGAGGAAAAAATAGTCTTAAACAAACGCAAGGAGTTACAAGCCCAACTGAAGATAAAGAAAAAGGCCTAGGCAAAACAGCTTTCTTAAAATATGACAAACTAATTATTGTGGATAATAATAAGAACACTTCTCACCAATACTCAAATATAAGAAGTCTGCCTGTATCTCCAGAAACGCCTTACCTCAATTATAAACAAAAACTAACAAATAAACAACATACAAAGAAAACCATACCTGGTAATATTAAAGACTTTATATTACAAAATCCAAAATTAACTTTCAACCACACAAATGATAACCAGGAACAACTAAAAACAACACTGCAAGATACAGTTTATTAAACACAGTAGGAACCTCTTCATCTTTATCCCCCAGTACGGCCGGTCATTGTGGGGAGTTCGACCATAACCCTCCAAAGAAAAACAGACATACAATGACAAAGGTATACATATCTTCACCAGAAAAGAATTAAAAGCAGTATTTCCTACAACAAATCAAAAGAACTCAAAGATAAAATTATAAACTTGATAGGCATATCAGAAACAAATTATATCTTGGAAACAAAATTTGAAAAGAAACCCTTTGCAATCATACAAGCATAATCTCCAACGGAGAGCTCTATGCAGGACTACTTTGGAGTTAACCGAGAGGGGTCTATACATGAAAAAGACATTTACTAAATAAATACATTTAAATATGAAATTAAATACCTAATTTATAACTATTGTCAGAATTAATGTATGGAAAGAAATTTTATTTATATTTATTATTGTGAAATGTTTAGTATTTACTCAATTGAATTATTTAATTTATTGTCATTGTTTATTTATTTGTTTGTTAATGATAATTTATATATATACAATATAATTTCAAATAATATTAAAGATTTTTAAAATAATTTAATTCCAGATTACAAAATTATTAGTTAAAAAATTATAAGTTAATAAATAGTCACTAAATTATATAATTTTATATTTCAGCAATGTGATATAGACATTTTTTCTGATAGTTAAATTTATTTAAAAAGAAAGTGTATTTAAATATTTAGATTAGTTTTTTTTTTCTTCTTTTGTTTATTGTACAACTAAAATGGCTCCTTATATACTCTTAACCAAATAAAATTTTAATGGAATACTTTTATAAAAAGCTGTGCATACTTTTAAATTAAATTTTGCAATTCAAATAGGTAAAATTATAATGTTAAATAAATGTTTTTATGTAAATTTAGTTAGTAAGCCTTTATAATAAATAAATGAATAAATAAATAGAGCTTTATTATTATTATGATTTCTTTTGCATTATTTCAATAAATTAATAATTAATAATTTCACGCAAAATATTATGTTCGATAATTTTGCATGCTCAGATATAAGCATCATGGTCAAGCGGCCAATGCGTAAGTTTGACAACCACAGGTGTCTGCGTTCGTATCCCGGTCGGACACAAAGTTTTTAATTTTGTTTTTTTTTTTGTATTTATTCAAATTCTTAGTTTGTTTTTTTTTAATGTTTTTTTTGGCCAAAAACTCCGAGCAAGGCTCGGTCGCCCAGGTACTTTTATTAATATGTGCAAACTAGCGTATGGTAAATATTGTACGATTCATAATGCATTCGAATGAATTTTTTTTAGTGATTTTTAAAATTTTTATTTTTTATTGCAAGTCTACTACAAACCCATCATCTGATTGCTGATATTTCAATAATCAGTAAAATTATGCAAATTTGATTTACGGGCGTATTATTTTTTTTTACTCCATTTAGAATATTTTTTTAAACATTCAAAATAATAAATCTTTTTGGGATCTATTTTTTATCTTTTGTTTAAAGACTACGTTAATAACATAAGATATCAATAGATGGCATACATGTAACGTCATCTACTGATATTTATTTGAACAAATTTTTCTTTGTTCGTGATGAGACCCTATGGTATTACTGAACTGTAGTAGCAAATATTTACTCGACTCGGCATTGAATCCGTCACCTGCAGTTGTAAATGGAACAGTACGGTGGTCGTAATGCTATTCCTAATTAATATCGGTCTCCGTTCCACTGGAACAGGGAGGGTAAGGACGAGAGAGTGCTTCTGTGTTTGCGCGCATACTTAAGCACTTTAATATATCCTGCGTAAATGACTGCTTCTGAATAATGGCTTTCGATTATTAAAGTCCTATGGCGATGGACAGAGGTAGAAAGGTCTGGCTGTATTGCAAGCTAGGCTTTGTCTGATGTCTGCACATAGGCGGCTCAAGGAGAGTGGTCGTTTTCGTGCTGCAATTTGGGTGACAGCACGGACTGGGCAGCACATTGAGTGACGAAGCAGCCCTATTCAGGGAGGCACTGCTTCCCCCGCTCAGCCGGGGAGGGGACTAGAAAAGGTGTCCCAAAAATTGTTCACCCACCTTATCTGGGAGGTAGTAACCACGGCTGCCTGTGCAACCCTTACCTCGTGGTCGACGATACAGGAAATATATAAAATCATCAAATATGACATTTGGTGCGTGGAATGTACGCACACTTCTGGATCGGGATAGTAATCTATGCCCAGAACGTAAGACAGCAATTGTAGCAGGTGAACTTGCTCGTTACAATATAGACATAGCTGCACTCAGCGAAACCCATCTAGCTGACGAAGGAGAACTGGAAGAGCGTGGCGGTGGATACACTTTCTTTTGGAAGGGGACTGCCGCGTCTGAATCCAGATGTTCAGGGGTAGGTTTTGCAATTAAGACGTCGATAGCAAGAAAATTAGATGAATACCCAACGTACACTTCAGATCGTTTGATATCGTTACGTCTACATCTCTATAATGATAATTATTTAAATGTAATAAGTGTATATGCACCTACCATGACCAATCCGGATGAGGTTAAGGACAGATTTTATGAAGAATTGGCTCAAACTCTGGCTAGAATCTCGCCTAGGGAGCAAATACTAATCCTGGGTGATTTCAATGCAAGAGTTGGGCGCAACTACGAAGCGTGGCCTTGTGTGTTGGGTAGACACGGAATCGGTAATATGAATAGTAACGGGCAATTATTACTCAGCTTTTGTTCCCAGTTCAACTTATCCATTACCAATACACTATTCAGATTGCCGATGAAACATAAGGCTACGTGGATGCACCCTCGTTCTAAACACTGGCATCTAATTGACTACGCAATTGTTCGCCAAAGGCACATACCCCAAGTAAGAATTACACGTGTAATGCGAGGTGCAAATTGCTGGACAGACCATAGGCTGGTTATCACGAAACTCAAACTTCGTCTTCATCCTCCTCGTAAATCATCTCTAGCAAAACCCACCTGCTTAAACGTAGAGAAACTTGAGAACACCAAAACGAGGAAGGAATATGTCCATGCCCTTAATTCTGCACTGGTTACTTCTACTGAGTCGGATAGTGATCTTCATGTTCAATGGCAAGACTTCTCTTCTCGACTACTGGACGTCGGTTCTAAGATACTGGGCACAAAAATGCACAAAAACGAAGACTGGTTTGATGAGAATAATGAGATTTTAGCTGAAGCATTGAAAAAGCACCGAAATCTTCTAAAACAACAAGACCGCAGTAGACCGTACAGTACCGCAAACAACATCAAACAGCGTAGTTCTGAATTGCGAAAATTAACTAGGGATATCAAGGATAAGTGGTGGCTCGAAAAAGCTGAGCACATTCAGTGGCTAGCGGATACTAAACAACTTGGTGCATTTTATAGGGAGGTGCGAAAACTGATTTGCACAAGTCATCGTGTTAATATGCCTATCAAATCACGCGATGGTTCTCAGCGTCTGTCGTCAAAGGAAGAAGTGCTTGCGCGATGGGCTCAGCATTTCAATGACCTCCTCAATTTAGACCGCTCAGCAGATATAGCATATATTTTGTCATTGTCCGCGCTACCCACAGCCACTGGGCTAGACGAGCCGCCGACTTTATATGAAGTCAAAAGTGCTATCAAACAATTGCATAATAAAAAGGCGGTTGGTATTGATAACATCCCAGGGGAACTACTTAAGTACGGGGGTGAGAGACTTGATGAAGTCATAAGGAATCTTTTCGTGACCATGTGGAACGAAGAGCGGGTGCCAAATACTTTCAAAGTATCTCGAATAAGCGCCCTCTACAAAACAAAGGCGACCGATCGGACTGCAACTCTTACCGTGGAATATCGCTGCTGTCTACCCCGGAAAAGTTTTTGCGAAAATCCTCCTCAACCGGCTCATTCCAATATCTGAAACAATCCTTCCAGAGACTCAGTTTGGTTTTCGACCTGAGAGAGGAACCTGTGAAGCTATATTCTCTGTTCGCCAGCTTCAAGAAAAAAGTAAAGAACAAGGTCGACCTCTATACCTCTGCTTCGTCGATCTTGAAAAGGCATTCGACAGTGTTCCTCGAGACGCACTGTGGGTCCTGTTGATAAAACTGGGATGCTCTGAGAAGTTTGTGCGGATGATACGACTCTTGCATGACGATATGCTCTGTTGCGTCGCGGTAAAAGGCGAACAATCAGATTTTTTTAATGTCACTTGTGGTGTGAAGCAAGGATGTGTACTTGCGCCAACACTCTTTGCTCTGTACTTTGCCGTCGTCATTCGAGAAACCCTGAAACGAACTTCAGAAGGTATTCGGATTCGTTTCCGAACCGATGGCAATTTATTCAACCGTGCCAGACTAAAAGCCCGCACAAAAGTCTCTTATACCACCATAACAGAGATTATGTACGCTGATGACCTGTGCTTTGTGGCAGACACTTGTGAGGGTTTGCAGGCGCTAATAAGTTGCCTCAACGACGTTTGTTGTAAGTTTGGTCTTTCAATAAACGTCAAGAAAACCGAAGTGATGGCTATGAACATAGACGAACAGTTGTTAGTTCCTGACTTCTTAATCGGCAACAGCAAACTGAAACAAGTGGAGAGTTTTAAGTATTTGGGCAGCATAGTCACACATAAAGGGGATCTTGATGCAGAAGTGGATCAGAGAATATGTGCAGCAGCAGCTGCTTTTGGCAAACTACAACCCAAAGTTTTCCGCTCGCATGATCTCAAGTTGACTACTAAGATCTCTGTGTATATGGCAATAGTTCTCCCAAATCTTTTGTATTCAGCAGAAACATGGTGCCTCTATCGTAGGCATATAAGGACTTTGGACAAATTTCATCTTAAATGCCTAAGAAACATCATGAACATCAGATGGTCGAACCGTATTAGAAATACGAATGTTTTAAGGCGAGCCAAAGTTCTCGGCATAGAGGCCTACTTAATGAGACGCCAGCTAAGGTGGTGTGGTCACGTATCAAGGATGCAAGAGGAGAGACTGGCGAAGCGCATCTTCTATTCCGAACTCCAGAATGGTAAACGGAAACGTGGTGGTCAGTTGTTACGTTATAAGGATGTTCAGAATAGACACTTTAAGAGGTGCAAAATTGACCCCTTAGTATGGGAAAAGCAGGCACAAAATCGGCTTGAGTGGAGAAGTCATGTGCATCGGCAGGTCAACGCCTTTGAAGAGGAAAGAAGGTCGCAATTAGACGCAAAACGTGACGACCTTAAAGCTAGACCACCTACAGCTGTAAATTATTACAATGTCGTCAATGGTGTTCTGACATGTCCGCTTTGTGCTCGGAGCTTTTCAGCCAAAGTTGGATACGCCAGTCACATGAGAGCACACGAAAGAGCAGCACATCGAAGCTCACGACGACCACCATAGAAAACCATCGTAATGCAGTCGCTGTGGCCGAAAACGGCTAGATGGCATCATCATTCCTAATTAAGAAGTAACAAAACATTTCTAATCAATTGAAAGGTCAATAGAAGTCGAATACTTTATTTACACTTCTTAGAACCTCTACATGTTTAATTTCTGGTTAGCATATTATTTTTAACTTATGAGCTCCTGGTACTTCCCCCCAGACATAGTTCATAATTGATGAAAACTGGCAGGTGGAATTGAAAGTAAGGCCTTATTTTACTTTTATTTTAATAAACTGTTTGAAAAGTGATTGAGGAAGTAAAGTTTGACTTTCGCTAATCACTAAGACATGATGACACCCGAATAAGCTTAAATTCTTACAGTAACATATGCACTAGTCGCAACATGCTACGTGACAACCGGCTTATTATCCGGCCGCCGCATATCCGGCCTTGAAGACCACCGGACACCCGGTATCCGGTATCCGAACAAACAACTATCCGTTTCGTCACTAATTCATACCTGATATCTTCCTACGGTTCACACATGGTGCGGGCTGGCGACCCGGGGCGGAGTGAGGCCAAGGCGGTGCTGGCGCGCCGCGTGGTCGCCCGCCGCGGCGGCCGCCGCCGCCTCCAGTTGCGCCCGCAGAGCCACCAGCTCTCGCGTGCGTTGGTATATCGGGTCCTGGAATTGGTTTACACGTGACTCGACCTCGATGAAAAATTAGGTCAATCGGGACAATCAATATTACAACAAAATGTAAATGGGAAAGATCTTCTGCGATTACTTAGAAAATATCGATACACAAGGGTTTTAACATGAAGAAAATGTTTATGGTATCCATTTTGAAGTATAGTCTCTTTGAATTATATTTATTATAATTAAGGCATAATCAGTCATTTATTTTTATTATCTACTAGCTACTCACACTCGCTTCGCTCGGGTTCGTCCCTAGTGAAAATCGAAAACCAATCTATCCCACGAGAACCGTATATTTTTTCGAGATAAAAAGATACCTCTGTGCTATTCTAGACTATAATCTATCTCTGTGCCAAATTTCATCTAGATTCATTCAGTCGTTCTGGAGTTATTGAGTGGCAAACATCCATCTAAACTTTCGCATTTATAACATTTATGGGATATATATTGTGGTAGTTGAAGACTAAACAAAAACAAAGAATTCTTACCTGTTGCCTCATGGTGGGGTTCCATCTACAGTACAAAGCTTTCCACAGTTTAATAATCCTTAACGAAGCAACTGGGACTAGCACCATTTGGGGTCTCGAGTTCGGTGAAGGAGGCGAGTTTGGACTGAACGAAGAAGGTCCCCAATATAGAGGATTCAGATATAGATTTTGTCGGCTGTTAATGTATGACCATAGTGATACTGTTTTGGCTTTTACTTCTGTAAAGGATATAAAATTTAATATATAAAAAACAAATTAAGAAATAGTATATAATCTGTGTAACGGTAGCGAGAGACCGACCGTCTGCGTCATATGTGACTCGAGAATTAAGACGGGACGCGTTATGGTGCGATTAACTTAAGTTGTGAATATTATCTTATATTATATGTCTTTAATAGATAGTATTATATTAAGCATCAGCGATTTCAGTTTATTACTAAGTAGTGTATGTATTGATGTTCATTTTGGATTTATAATATTAGATACAGGCAGCGCCACCTTTTGACAAATATTACAAATAGTAGCTTATAATAATTTCTTAGATTTACGCGAATGTTTGACATTATTAAATAAAACTATCTTTTCGGATTATTTCGCGGATTTATTTTGATTTTTGGTTCCCGACGTTTCGAATGCTTTACAGCATCCATGTTCACGGGAGAGACTGAGGTGTTACATGTCTTGAATGTATAGTTGTTACAGACAGCCTACCCACAATTAACAAAATGAAAAATGCACCAATTACATTACAATATTTTTTAACTTTAAACATTTTTATATAAATAAATATATATTTTATATTATATATTAATATATATTTTATATAATAAATTATATAAATAAAAATGTTTATATAATAAATTATATAAATAAAAACTAATTAGCAACCTTTTCTTTTGCAGTATTCTGTTTACTTATTATTTACCTATGATCTAATGACTTATGATTATACATTTTATAATTGCGGATAAAGTCTAGGTAAATATTGCAATTAATATGTTGACAAAAATTGATTTTTTCTATCAGCGCATAACATTGTTTTTACAAAATTATAAACAAGAAAAAAACTAAATGAAAACATAGAACTTACCTTCCAAAAAGTGTGTATTTGAGATCTAAATGTTGCTGTTCTCCGTATGTGAAAAAAAACTGGCTTCCATTTGTATTAGGTCCATTATTGGCCATGCTCACCATTCCTCTTGCATTATGCTAAAACAATATGACAATATTTCTTACAAAACACAAAGTAAAACTTATAGGTAATTCATGCTGATGTAATATTTAACCATTTTATGCAACATTTCAAAACTAGTATAGTTTGATACACAAAATGACTCAATCATGCATTTAGAAATTTAAAACTTTAAACCTTTAGTTCCTCTTTAAATTCGTCTTCAAATTTTTTTCCCCATATAGATGTTCCTCCTTTGCCTGTGCCTGTTGGGTCACCTGTTTGTACTATAAATCCCTAAAATGTATTTTTTAATTAATATTTAATACACACAATGTTTCGGATTGAAATTATATATAAGGTGTTCAATTTTATTAATTGTATTTAGAGATATAGTTTTACATACCTTTATGTTTCTGTGAAATAAACATCCATTATAGTAATCGCTGGCGCATAATGCTAAAAAATTCTCACAAGTCTTAGGACATTGTTCACAAAAAAATTCAATTTTTATATCTCCAACATCAGTATGTAAAGTGACCGACATTGTACATACTTATAATAAAATTAGACATGCGTACTAGCGTAGGTCCGGATTGAAATAGTTCCCGGAACTATGTCCTAGGCCGAAACGATATCGTTCCAATCCGCGATGTCAATTGAAATTTGAAACAGGTTCACAGTTCCATATAGTTCCACATGTGCAGGAGTGAGATGGAGCGAGAAACGAATATATTGGACCGATCACCGGAGCGACTGACTGAACTGAACGTAACCGACTCCTGCCGAACCTACCCGAGCTATAGCTATATATTAAATTTTAAGGTGCTTCCTCACAAGCGTTAATTTTTTTTAGTAAACATCTATTAAGCCGCGTCCACATGCTGGGCGCTTGCCACAAGCACCGAGAATCATAAACACGTGCCAAACACCGAACACAAACTAAATACATTAAATAAATAAATTGAATTAAAATAAAAAAGCCTTTCATTTCTTGCGCTTACTAAAATTGCTATTAAAACAATTTAAGAAAGTAAGTATTTATTAATTATTAATAAAATCCTTTCATATTCAGTTATATTATAATAATAGTATTTTAATGTTTATTAATTTAAACTTTTTTCTTAATTTTTACAATACCTAATATGAATTAGAATTTATAATTAATAAAAATAGTAACAATAAATAATTCAAAATTAAAATTAATGTATATAATAAAATAATTCATAAGTTAAACAATCATTTACAATATTTTTATTTATTTGAAGTAGTTTTTTTAAGTTTTTATTTTCCATTTTTAGTGTAGATATAGTAGATACCTAGTACCAAAGTAAGAAGAGGTCAAACAATAAAAAAATATATTTATACGTGTCGAATTGAGAACCTTCTCCTTTTTTTCGTGGGTTTAAAATTATTTCATGTTAAAAAATGTTAGGTATGAGATGTTATCTGCTGCACTGCTGTGTGGAAGCGCCATTATATCGCGTAGGTACTATGAGTAAACTACTGTAGTGACTAGTGCGTGTGCGAGTATTCGGAATATAATGTCATCTCTTACTATGCTATTACAATTAATAATGTGCCAACTTCACTGTGCCTTAAAGTCGATAATTCATTGATTAAATCTGATTTTCGTTTTGAACTTTTAAAACATTAATAATATATTTTTAAATTTAAATATTCTTTATTCACTTTTGACACAATATTTTTGTACTTTGTTGCGTTCGTCTAGATTCACATTGCGCGCGAAAGCACCGTAGTTTTTTGAAGTTGGTTTAATTTTTTTTAAAACCTTTTTTATTTCGTAATTTTTAGTTTTAAGTAAAAACTGAAATAGTTTTTGTAAAAAGTAGTAATTACAAAAAATACATTTTTTTATCCATATCTTCAAAACCACTAAACCAATTTTGATGAAATGCTTACTATTCCCTAAGTTAAAATAATTGTAAGCAAATAAAAAAGCATCATCACGTCGGTCGGAACAGTAGTTTCAGCGAAATGCGTGGACAAACATACATACACACAAGCAAACAAACATACATACATACATATATACATCTATACACCTATAAAATTTTGTATATTTGCTTCGAAGCCCTAATATATCATATTATGATAATATCTTGCAGTTCTAATAATATTATATACATATACGTGTCGAATTGATAACCTCCTTTTTTTTAAGTCGGTCAATTAAAACTATATCTCCCGTTAAGCTGTCCTCGGGAACCGATGACAGTGATAACCTGTTAAAATCGGAACGATCGGATCGGATGAACTATCGGAACTAGATAGTTCCGCGAACATGTTTCGTGAACATAGTTCCTTTATGGAAAGGAACTATTCCATGTTCAATCCACTCCAGGACCTAGTTTGCGCATCTCTGAATAAAATATAGTTTTCAATTAACACTTTGTTGACAACGACAAGTTTTGACGTGCGCGGCAATCAGAATTCAGAATTCGAAGAATTTCAAACACATTTCAAAATAAATTTCAATATGTCAATTTCACATTGACAATTGAAGGTTAACAATGGATGTATATCAAAATGTATAGCATCCAAATCGTGGATGACAAAATCCAAATGTTTTGGTCTGCTAACCGCCAGGGTTGCTAGAAAAAAAATTAACATAAAAAAAAGAAACTTGTTAATTTTAAAATGTGAATTATTTATTACTTATAATATCCACTTAAAATTAACTTTATTTAAAATAAGATATATTTCGGATTCGCGACTCTCGCGATTCGGAGACGTACTTGTTACTTCTCGTATAGGTAGTGAACCCAATTAGGAATTGCGATTTTATCAATTCTTCTAATGATCAGTTATTGGAATATGTAGCCAAATTTACTAAAATTGGACAGATTGATGAGATGGTTAAAACTATATAAATTAAAACCTTTTTAACCTCAGAAATTATTTCTTGGTACATTTGAAATTGAACATAATTTTAAATTCCATAGAAAATCACGGTTGGGCAATATAATCCTTTTGATTTAGGACTCTTTTATCAAAGGTTTCAGTACAAACACCCACAAAAACCATTCAATAATTTGGAAGAAATAGACAAAATCCAAATTATTGTATATATTTTGTGGGTACATTGGGTACATACCGTCTGTAAGAACTACGTGACCATTAAAAGCAAATTTCACAACAAAATTTAAAATAAAACCTTAAACCACGACAAAATCCGAAAAGATAGTTTGATTTCAAATAACAAATATTCCCGTAAATCTAAGAATTAAATAAATATTAATAATTAAATAAAAGAAGTATTAAATAAACCGGTTGAAGATGAGATTTTTTAGTGCCATGCTTATACTTCAAAGTGTGTACGATAAACAATATGCTTAAAAAGTAATAAAGAAATTTTTAAAATACCTATAGCTATTTAAGCCACACTGGTAAAATTATCTTACTAATATTATAAATGCTTCTTTTTATCCCGGTAAAACTTACGGTTCCCGTGGGATAGATTTGTTTTTCCTTGTCTAGAGGCGAACCCGAGCAAAGCGAGAGGAAGACGCTAGTTAGATAGTCTATAAGTGATTGTATTCAACTAATTAAGTTAATTATGATTATATTAAATAAACAAAAGAAACAAGAAAATATAGTTAATAGTTTAGTATTTATCCAATAAGTCTAATTTCATAATATTAACTACTATTTTTTATAGTTTTCTAATAAAACTAAATTAATTTTTACATTACATGAGTAATGGCAAATGTAAAAATTTAATTTTATTTAATATAACATTAAAAAATTATTTAAATAATTGGAACATTTAATGGAATAAAAGAAACTGTTTATGAAACTATTTTTTTATTTAAATGTGATCAGATCTATTCGCTACCACCTGCCTTTTCATTTTGACCAGCGTGTGGTTCGTGTGTATTTTCATCCATTCCTAGCGAGCCATAGTTGCCTAATAGTCTTTGTCCAGTGGGATCAAATGGAGATTTTAAATGTAGATTCGCTTTATATCTCTTCCCCATAACTTCAATCGCATAGTCTCCCTTTACTAAGTAGTCTTTAGTGACCTGTGAACCTTTATTGGTTATATAACCAACGCCTATTGATTTATCTAAGTAAAACCCGTAATCCCCTCTACGTACGTAGCCTACGGGCTCGCCATTTCTGTATATTGCTTCTTGGCCATGTATGGCAATCTGAAAAATAAAAAAAATAAAGTTTCTATGATTTTTTTTATTGAGATTTCTTTTAAATTAAACTAGATTTTTTTTACAACATTTGCTATTTAATTTTTCCTTTTTTTTATTTAGGCATAGACCAGCTTTAATGTATTTGACATTTAACTTCATCTTGAACTTTTTGCTTGAAGGTATGACAGAAGGTGCCTGGTTTTAGACATCTAATTAAATATGTACTATCCTATTAAAACATTATCCTGGTAGTGTGGAACACAATAGGGATAATATTTTAAATTATTATTATTTTGAAAACACTTCAGTTCAAAAGCTTATCCTTCTTATCATTATTTTTTTACTGCTACTTGTTATCCCGGTATATTCACTAGTATCCCGTTGAAGTAGCTTCCGGATACTAGATAATTATAACTCTGCGGCATATACGTGCAATATAAAATTAATTATGACATATTTTTACCTTATCATCAAGAGTGAAGAAAGCATATTTCTTAGTGACTCCATTCTTTCTAAACTTCTCAACAGCCTCATTGCCGACGTAGTCGCCATCTTTACGACAAGCGAAACCCAGGTTCGCTTCTATTGGATTGTCATCAATTCTCAAATCCGAATTCCACAAATGGAAACCTAGAATGCATAAGTATTATGTTAAAAACATCTATATATATTCTATAAAAAAGTAGCTATCTGCATCTGTCTGTCTCTCCGTTTACTTCTTCTAAACAACGCGACAGTGATACGGTTTTCACTAATAGAAAGAACGATAAATGAGGAAGATTTGTGTATCCAATTTGTAAATATTTTGTACAAAGTAACTGAGTTTAGACACTGTGTCAGTCAGTGTCCAAAAACTGTTTTGGCTAACGCTGGCTAAATTTTTATAAGCCATTGGTAGTAAGATATACAACAATGTACTGAAAATTGTAAGCCTTAAAAAGGGGCGTACTGAAAAGTCCGCGAGAAACCTTGTGCATGTCAGAGAGAACCTAGCAAGTTTTCAAAAGACATGTGAAGTCCGCCCCGCACTTGGCCATCGTGGTGGACTATGGCCTGATCCCCCTCGTACTGACAGGAGGTTCGTGCTCAGCAGTGGGACGTTAAAAAGGGCTGAATACAAATACAATACAACGGTCAAGAATTAACCTTTCTCTGCACTTAGCGAAGTTAGAGCCCTCCACCCCGCATTCTTCAACCCCTTCGCCTGTCTGAGAGCCTGGTATATCTGTATCGCGTGAGACGACGGTACATGCAGCTCCCAGCCTAGCTCGCCCGCCCACGAGACACGCAGTGCTCGGCAAGTATAGGTCTTATTGTCTGGGGCATTAGGTGCTTTTGACACTTTGATGCTCCGATTAGTGTGTAGTGGGAACGCGTC